GCAAACTCTTCCCGTCTCCTTGGCGATGGAGACCGATCTTTGACACGGCGCTGCGCCTACCTCACCACGAACACCTACCTGCGAGGCATTGCTGCAACTCTTCTGCCCTAATGCCCCTCACAAGGCCTCTTGTCTTGTCAGATAATTTCTCGCAGCTTCGATGCTCCCCTTGGTGACCAGGACGATGTTGTGAGCTCCATCATCTTGTAGAGAGCTCGGGTGGCAGATGATCCGACGTTTAGGAGATCCAGTCGACCAGAAAGTTGGCTATATTGAAGCTGATGAGATTGTAGCCATTGTTGGCGGCAAAGCTCAGATCAAGCACGTACATTTACACAATCTTTGCCGGAAGAGTAGGAAGTCCATGTCACATGTACTAGGTTAATCATGATTTACTTTCAATGATGGTTTCATGGTGTAGTTGGTCATCACGTCAGTTTAACACACTGAAGGTCTCCAGTTCGAACCTGGATGAAGCCAAATAAAGTTTTCAGAAATGCATATTTGTTCCAAATTTATTTGACCCCAAGTTGAAAAGAACCTGTTCGACTGAAAAGTGTTAGTTGCTTGTCACTGTGTAATTTCGGGTTCGATTCCTGACACCGCCAACATATGTTCTGTCGTTCTTGCACTACTTGCAAGCGCCCAGGCATCTCCACCATCCCCCAGCTCGTTTGCGCGGCCGAGAGCGTCCACCATGCAGTAGTAGTGCTCCACCAGCCTGTAGAGCGGCCTAGTTGCGGAGGAATCCTTCAAGTCAGTTCGACTAGCGACAACTCTGCAAAAGGCCTATGTCGCGGAGCTGGTCCTCGGCACAATCTCCTCCGGGGTCCAGCCGCTAAGCTGGTTTTCCTCGAGCGCTACCTTTGACAGATCGGGGTATGCTTCCGGATAGGCGATTCTCGTCCACAGCGTATGGTGAGGAACAGTTTGCCACCGATTCTGGAATCGCACGCGAGATCATATTGGAGTGAATACTCAGGATCGTCAACCTGTTCCCCAGGAAGGTCCTGTCTACCATCGAGTAGAAGCTGGACAAGCTCCATGCAGTTGGACAAAGCAGAACCCGTCAGCCTGTTTCCCCAGAGGTAGAGCAGAGCACAGCTTCACCTTCTCTGGAATCCTTCCCACCAAAATGTTCTCCGAGACTAGGAGCTCCCCCGAGATGCTAGAACAGTCGCTTAGCGATCCTGGCGTTGCCTACCTGAGTTGTCGCAGCTTGCCGGTTCTCGATGAGACTTCTCCACGAGCTGCGAGCAATTCCCGGGCGACGTACCGGAGATGTTGTTGCCTTTGATACGAAGAACACGTAGACATTTCACCAATTAACGAGTGATCGATGCTTTCCAAATTCCTGGATCGGACCAGTGAGCGTGTTGAAGCTGAGATTCAACGCTCAGCGATCCATCGAAGCTAAAGAGATCACCCGGTCCGAGCTAGTTGTCTGAGAGAGTTAGCAGATGCAAGCTGTGGAGATCTCTCAGAAGACAATTAGCTTCAGATTGTTTGAGGAGCAACGAACACCCAGATGACCAAGCCAGCTGTGATGAAGGAAAATCTAAAGAAATCCAAAAGAACAAAACTGGAAGGCCTGATCAATGATCGAAAGGAAACAAAACTTAGCCATGCTGGGAGTAAGCTCAAAAACAAAAGAGAGAGACCAGCTCCCATAGATCTCCAGTCACTCTTGTCACAGCTCTTCCTCCATAGGACACCCCACCGCAACGCTTGGCCATGGAGTTGTGCATCATGATCTTGGCGATGTCGATCACATCGTCCTTCTTGCGGCTCCTTTAAGAGAGAGACTGAGAGATCTAATACAACCTAGTGGTATATCCCTAAGGAATACCACTCAACTACTCCGGTTCATTCTTTGGCGCCAGCACCCACCTCGCTCCTGTGACCTGGACGAGTACACGAGCTACCTGTGATGGATCATTGCGGCAGCTCTTTTGCCCGATTTTGTCGGCGATGATTGGCTGCCATGGAAAGCCTGGACAAGAACCGTGCACGCCTTTCAAACACAATCGCATCTCATGCATCTTTCCTGTCGACCGTCGCTCACGGCTGCCACCCTCGAGCTCTCTACAAGACGATGAAGCTCAAGCCTGTGATCACGTAAGTGCACAGAAATTTCTACTGAGGATATCAAGCTGATTCTAAGAGGCGGAGGAGCTAAGTTTAGAGGTCCTGGATTTGCTACAAAAATGTTGTTTGAACAACAATATGGGGACCGGCCCCATGGCTAAACGCACAACATCCACAAAATTGTTTCCACAACCATGGGGCACGGCAGTGAATCTTCCCTGCTTATTATAGATGCACACATATAAGTTGCCTAGCTAGAACTTAGCACAGGCTCCAACCTGTTGTTGATTTATGATCCCTTGCAGGTCGAAACCCAACCTTCTTCGCCAACTTCTGCATGCTACTTTCTTTATCCCCTTCAGTAAGCCCCCACAGTAAATAGATGCGCCTCATAAACGCAGCCAGCATGTAGAGGCATAATGTTCCACCTATGCCGGTTGTGACGAGGATGGCATACCTGAAGCTAGGGTGTATGGTCCCAAACCCAGCTGAAGCGAATGCAACAAGAACAAATGCAATAGAGATGATGAGCAAGCCTGCAGCGAGAGTGAGTTTGGACCTAAGGTCTTTGAGAAGGTGGCCAATATACTCGTCGCGCTTGGGAAGAACACCTGTTGCGCCGATGACTGCACTGGCCATCCCGAAGAAGAACGATAGAGAATTGAATGCAGCAAAGATGTTCAATCCAGTTCTGTTGTTTGTGGTTGGCTGTTGCAAGACTCCCTGGAATGTTATACCAGCCAGCAGTGCCGATCCGACCAATATGGCATTCAGGGCCTCTACAGAGAGCGTCCTGTCCCTGTGCAATAAGTCGTTAAGATCCTTCACAGGTTGGCTTTCAACCTGCATCTTGATCTTGATGTTCTCTAGATTCTTTGCCATGGCTACAAGCTTGAGCTTTTCGTCCTTTGCATCCGCCCGATCCGCTGCTAAAGTAAACAAACGATGTGCAACGACCGCGAGTTCATGTGGCGTTTTGTCGTTCTCATCCCCAGCTACTGCCTCCGCTTCACAAACTTTGATCTTGAGGAGCTCATCCACAACGGCAGGCTTCACCAACAGAACAGCCCAGTGCAGCGCATTCTTCTTTGTGTTGTCGACGTTGCTGCTGAAACCTATATGATCCCACAGATTCTGATGCTCGATGAACTCGGCTGTGGCTTCCACCACAGATTTCTCCGGCATGGTCCTGATCCAAGCCAGTATGAACGCGAAAGGAAGCTGCCCCGGCAGGTTCTTCTCCTCGCAATGATACCTGTTCTTCCCCCATCCCCATAACCTCCCAGAGTGCTTGTCCGACTCCTGTGACAGTTGAAAATCTCTCCATAGCTGTTTCAACGGCACTGTCATCCTCTCCAGAAGCTTTTTCTTCAGATCGCTCACCCAGTCTCCCAGATGCACCTTCTCTTCATCCAGGAGCTCCAAAGCCAAAGCTTTCGCAAAGTCGAGGTTCCCATGCTGGAGCGCATGTTGCAGCGCACAGTTCAACTGATCCAGAAACTCGCCTTTGTCGGTCTCGACCAGCAGAATCCTGATCAGATGCACCAAGTGTTGAACAGCTTCCACATTGTCGGATTCAGCTGCACACTCCAAAAGCCTCACCTTCTTGACGAGGTTCCTCCCAGTTTCCCGGAGATACGGAGCCGTTAACTCGTTCTCAAGCCAGCTGTTGGTGCTGTTGCTTCCATATCGAGCAACATACTGGATCATATGCTCTGACAGGAATATATTCTTCAGGACCTGCATCTTTTCGAGCAGCATCTTGAGCTGGCGCTTTTTCTCACTCTTGTCTATCATGCGGACCATGTCCAAAACGGTTTTCCCATCCTTACCAGTGGCGAAGGGATTAGTCCCGGCTTTGCAAAGAAGGAGCTCCACCACATCAATCTGGAGTCGCTGGGTCGCATAGTGCAGCGGGAGCCAGCCTTGGACATGGTCAGCCACGGTTAAGTCAGCGCCATGCTGGAGCAGCCAGTCAACGGCATCCACGTTGCCCTGGCGAGCGGCCCAATGCAGCGGGGTGATATTTACGTTATTGGTCACGTTGACGTCAACCCTGGTCGCCCGGACCACCTCCTCAAGGGCTGCCACGCGTCCAGACTTTGCCGCAAAGTGGAGCATCTTGAAGCCGTAGTTGTCTTCGGCATGGACGTTGACTGGGGCACCGATGAGATAGCGAGCAGTCTCCAGTTGACCAGCCTCCAGTGCGAGGTGCAGTGGGGTGCGATTGTACCTATTCCCCACATCGGCCACATTCAGCTTGGCGCTGCTGGGGTCCCTGAGCCTCAACTCGTCCATCAGGATTTGCAACACTTTGGCGCTGCCCCCTACTGCTGCCCTGTGGAAGGCCGTGTCCTGCGTGGTGCCGGCTTTGGTCATGATGTCCAATCTGGCATCGAACTTCTTGAGTAGAACGCTGACTGCGACGGGGTTGCCGGACTCGCATGCCAGGTGGAGGACTGGCTGATCCTCGCCCTCCTCGGTCTTCAATTTGCTCAGGTCCACGCATTGACCGCTGGTCAGCTCCCTGATCCTCCTTGCAAGCCGCTCTTCATTCTTTATCACTCGGAATGCGCCCTCCAAGTCTTTGATCAACCCATCCGAAGACATTGTCCACACTCAAAGAACCGTAATGCTTAATAACTCAGCTTAAATAGCATGATGGATTTTTCATTGTTTTCAAAGTGATCCCATCTTTATAACACAAAGAAAGGCATATCCAAGCATTACTTGCAGTATCAAGTACAAATACTTAAGGAAAAACACAAGGAAAGAATATTTCAGCTTCGTGTTAAAAGTTTGTACTTATTTTTGACTAAAATATTTATTTACAATGTTTACACCTTCTTTACCATTATTTTAGGATGAACCACCTAAACTAAACCCTTAAACCACGTAAAAGGGAATGGCGGATGTGGGCGATAAGCGTCCTTGATTGTGTTGGGCTCATTCGATCCTGCTCCACCCTCGCGCAAGCGCTGGAAACCGATGCCGCGGTTGGGTCCATCCAGGAGCGCCTGCCCACCCACACTCGCACATATCTCTCCAATCTTTTGCTCCAAATGTATGGGCGTTGCGGCAGCCTCGATCGAGCTCGGCGCGTCTTTGATCGGATCCACCCCAGGGATGGCTTCTCGCTCAATCTCATGATCACGGCGTGTGCCCAGAATGGCGATCTGGACCAGGGGCTGGCTGTGTTCTGGGAGGCACCGGAGAGGGATCTCGTCGCGTGGAATTCGATCCTGAGTGCGTGTGTCATGGCCGGGGAACTTGGCACTGCTCAAGAGCTGTTCGATCAGATGCCCCAGAGGGACGCCATTTCCTGGAGCGTGATGCTCTTGGCACATGCCCAATATGGGCATCTTGAGGAGGCAAAACGTTTGTTTGATTTTGCTCCTTGCCGCGACATGGTTTCCTGGACGACAATGCTCTCGGCATATTCCAAGAGCTCTAACTTCGAGCAAGCCAAGATGTTGTTTGATGCGATGCCGCTGTGGGATCTTGTTTCTTGGAATGCTGTGCTTTCAGCTTCTGCCCACAATGAGCATCTAGAAGATTCGTATAGTATCTTTGATGTGATGCCCGAGAGAGATTTGTTTTCATGGCACACTATGATTGCCATCTTTTCCCAGCAAGGGTGCGTTGACAAGGCAAAACGTCTGTTTGACTCAATGCCCGCTAGAGATCTCGTGTCGTTGACCACAATGCTTACTGCATATGCCGAGAACGGGGATCTTGTCAGCGCAAAGACCATCTTTGACTCCATGCCTCAAAGAAACCTCGTCTCGTGGAATGCCATGGTCGCTGCCTACACTCACAAAGGACTGCTAGAAGATGCCGGGGGTCTTCTACGTCAGATGCCAGCCGTGGATTTCTTCACACTCACTGCTTTGCTCGTGGGCTACGCCGCCAAAGGAAAGCTCGAGGAATCAAAGTGCGTTTTCGATTCCATGCCCGACTTTGATCTCGCATCCTGGAATGCTATGCTTTTGACTTACGTCCGCAATGGATGCTACACCGACGCTGAGAGCCTTTTCAACAAAATGCCCGAGAAAAACTCCATCTCCTGGAGCACAATGCTGTTTGCGCATGCCCAGAGTGGAAGGATGGACAGAGCAAAGAACCTGTTCGACCGTGAAATCTCAAATAAGGATCCAGCGTCGTGGAATGCTTTGCTCGCGGGGTATGCCAACAATGGTCATCTCTCCCTAGCGAAATCCTGCTTTGGTCATATGCCGCAAAGAGATCTAGTGTCCTGGAACTCGCTGCTCGCTGTGTATGCTCGAAATGGACTCGACAACCTAGATCTCTTCAGAGCCATGCTGATAGAAGGCATACCACCGGACGAATCGTCTTTCACGTCGGTTCTATCGGGCCACAGTGGCGATCTCCAGCTCTCGTGGTCTCATTTCACGTCCATGGTTTCCAACTTTCGGCTCGCTCCCTCGAAGCAACAGTATGGCTGTATCCTCGCAGTCCTCGCTCGCTGTGGCTACTTCCAGCAAGCCGAGGAGCTCATAAGAAGCATGCCCTTTCTCGCTGACTCGAGAGACTGGCTCTCGGTACTGGGCGCTTGTCGGCAAGATCACAGCGCTAGTGCAAACTTTCGAGCTGCGGGACAAGCGTGGAGGATCGATCCCCATGACTCAGCTCCTTATGTTTTGCTTGCTACAACTCGGGAAGTTTGATATCATCCTATAGGGTAATACTGTGAATATGAATCTCTCCTTGTGATCAAACGTGTGACAAACTTTGCACACAAATCTCGAAATACATATTAGATGGGCTCGTATGTTAGTCTTGGTTTTCATCTTCGCCTTGTGCCACCTTTCCTCATCCATGTATTTAAGGGGTTAAATAAGGGTCCAAATTAAACTAAGCTCGGATCCTCCTCTCCTCTCGCATTGCTCGCTCGCTCGATCCCCAACGTCACGATCGAACAAGCGAGTCACAATTCGATCTAGAATGGCATAGCTTCCAATGCCTGGATTGAATAACACGAAGCATTTCCATTAGCCAGAGTTTCGTACGCTGGAGTTTCGTACGTTCTCAGCGACAAGAATTACTGCTCTTGCTAAAAAACGGGAAAAAAAAATTTCCAGACTTACATGCTTCTTCTCCTCCAAACAGTCTTAAAACTTATATCTTACGATGCTGCAAGCACACACACACACAGATAAGCAAGGAGAACAAACACAAAGACAAAGACGAGAAACGTACCTGTCTGCTTTCTCAAAGAGAAAAAAGAGAACACAATCTCATCCAACCTGAAAAACAAACAATGCTCAGTACTTCCCAAGAACTCGAAACTTCCATACCTGGATATCGCTAGAAATGTCACGGTTGAAAAGCAGAGGTCAGTGACAATCTCCCCGCGAGCAGCAGCAGGACATCTAAGCCAAGTTAGTGAGCCCCCACCCCTCCCCCTCTCCCTCTATTATTTCTAGAGAAAATAGAGGGCCGTTTCGGCCCATGTAATGAATCAAGTATCAGAATCTACAGAACCGAGGTGTGTTAGTTCAGTCCTCCTTACTCTTACAGCACCCTTGAGCCATGGACAGGCCTTTAGAGTGCTTCCATCGGCCGTGGTGGACGAGTTTGCGCTGCCGACGGTGGCCGGGAGTCCGGTCCCGTCCTCCAAGAGCAGCCACGGGTCCATACCTGTCTCGGTGTCCAGCGATGGAGAGGGCTTGGACTTGAGGTCGGCTCCAAGCTTTTGGGAATGCGAGAGGTGCAGCGACGGTGAGAGGTTGGCTTGCAGCGCCGTGAAGGCGGACTGTGGCACTTGCGGAGGAGCGGCCGAGAGTGAGAAAGTCGGGCCTGGGGGAAACACTGGCATCGCTGCTTGAAGTCTCATGCGGAGAGACATCGGGAGTTGCATGTGATCCAGTTCGGTCTAGAAAAACAAGTCGTAAGCACAAAGAAAGAAGAAGAAGAGAAGCTTACCTGGAGCTTTTCGGCAGCTTCACGTTCAAAAGGTGGTACTTCTCGAGGAGGCTTTGCCGCTCGGCCTCGAGGCTTTAGCCAGACTGCCCAGGTGTTGCTCAGCAGCGCATGCAGGACGCTGAGCAGCCTGTCGAACAACTCCTCGCCGGCAGACGCTGCTGCCGCCATCGACGCAAGCTCCGCATTCCACTGTCCCTTGTTCAGCATGGAGCTCTCTGGCTGGTGAATACCAAACGACTCTGCGGACTCGTATACGACACGGGTGCCAAGCAACCGGAGGAGAACCGGAGCGAGAGTCAGTCGCATGTTCTCTCTGCGGACAGAGAAACGAAGACAAAACGCTAAGCCCGGGGTGATAACATATGAAACGGATTTACCTGTCGCAGTATATAATTCGCAGTAAAGGCAGAAGAAACTGTAGTCGCAGCCACATCGAGCTCTGGAGCGCAGCAGCAGAAACAGCAGAAGCCTCTGGAGGCCGTCGACGTACACTTGGACTTGCAGTTTCCAATCCGCTTCTGGCTCCTCTCCTTTGATTCTTTGCTGCAGGCCCGTCTGCAGTGCTTGGCGCGACAGAAAATTTTGCACTCGACCGCGTCAGCAATGTCACTTGCTGCTCCAGCTCCGCCATTTGACTCACCAGATCAAACGCAAAGCCGCTGCATGTGTCGTTTAAGCTCCTTGCAAGGCATGGCAGAACCAAGTCAGCCAAGGCCTTTTCGATCGCAAAGTGCAGGCTGAGAGCATCGTCTCTGGAGCTTCCACCTGCTGCACTGGCGTTGTCCTGAGAAACTTCACCCTCTTCCGGAGAGGCGGCTTCCACCACACTCCAAGGAGGTTGCCAGCCCCACGACTTCAGAGCCGACGTCGGTCTAATGTACCCTTTCGTCTGCTCAAGGCGTTGTCTTAATGATTTCTTCCCATAGAGAACGTCGACGCCTTGCAAAGACCACTTCACAAGCTTGATGATGTACTCTTCCAGCGGTTTGCCGAGAGAATGCAGCACCTCGGAGTACAATGCACCTGCGTCTGGTCTGAAGAGCACGTTTGTGAGTACATTTTCCGTGAAGACCTTCTCACACTCGTAAAGTTGGTCCGACGCTCCCACGGATGCTTGCATCGCCTTGACGGCAGAGTTATGAGCTTCAATCTTCTCTACGAAAACCAGCTCGTTGAGATGAAGTCTGAGTTCCAACCACTGCCAGTGGAAAGTTGCAGGCTGCAGTTCATCCAAGATCAAGACCATCTGCTGTTGCGCATGTTTCGGGTCGTGGACATGACGGACCTTCACCCATGCTTCGTCGTCCTGCCATTGCATGGAAGATGGTAGAACGCCGTCTAGTATCGAGTGTAGGAACAGCCGACCGGAGAAAGGTAGCATCGCCTCGACTTTTAATCGAGCATCGAAACCTTGTTCATCCAGCAGTGCAGCGTAGTCGGAGCTGCCTCCATCTGATGAAAGGAGGACATAGAGCGCTCGCGTGTCCTGTAAACACACCTCACGGAACGGCTCATGCTTGACAATGTCCGCTACAGCCACGCTAAGGGATTGGAGAATGCTGTCGTCTCTGCTCGCATTGCTCATGCGCGATAAAACCTGTCGTCGCAAAAGCCCGCAGAACATCGCATATGCCATTGGGAAGACCAAGTTTAACGGTAGTAGCCGCTGAGTACGTGCGAGAGCCACTAAAGTTGCATCGCCCAGGATATCAGCTACCAGGCCACCTGCGATGGCTTTGCAGTCCCCTATCAATATCCGGAACCAGTGAATATGCACCTCATCGGACTTGAGTGTACTTCCCATAGCCACACCTCTGGACAGACCGTTTGAGCTGCCGAAAAGTTTTGGAAGGTGCAAAGCCTCGAGTCCGTCTCTTATCTTCAAAACTGTCACGAGCCTCTCTAAGCTTAAAACGCCATGTACAACTGCCATCACCACCAGTGCTGTTGCCGAGGCTGCTCTTCCGGACGTGATAACGTTTTGACCAGCTGCAAAGTCGTTTCCCAGTGTCCCCAGCTCCGGCGTCTCTGGCGAGAGGTGAAATTGGGAGCGGGGAGCTCTCCCAGGAATATGTACAAAGTGTCCGGCAACAATCGTTGAAGCCTCGGAAGCTAGTGACACGTCCAGCACGCGGCTCTGCCGGTCGTCAAGGCCATCCTTCAGCAGCCGCAAACAACGGACGTGGAGCTGCAAAATGCGCCTGGCACATCTCAGTGATATATCAGGCCCTGCATTGTTCGCTGTCAGCACCTCATGCGCGTTAGCGGCGGAAGAACTTGCGCTGCTAACCAAGGCCGACACAGCAGCATTGACGAGACCCGAGTCCGTCTGAGCGGTTCCGTTCTGTTTTATGGCTTCCAAAAGTCCCGTGACGACACGGTGGGAGTATTCTTCCACTTTCTCTGCCACAGCGTCTTTGATGGCAAAGTTGGCCGTCTGAAGTTCTCTTTCTTTGCTGACTATCTGCGAGACTGCTTCCCCCAAAGCCTTCTGAACTGAGTCCTTCATGCTTGCTCCAACCCTGGCAAGTCGACTGTTCAGGCGTTGAGGAATAGGATCATCTCGATCTTCACCGACGGTATTGATGAATCCCAAAGCGCTTTCGCTGTCTCCCACTTTCAGAGCCTCCAGTTCCATCGCGACTTTCTGATCGCAAGAACCTCTCCACGTCTTTTGCCACGATTGTACCGTCATCAGCCCTTTGTACTTGTTTAGTAGCTCACTGACATAGATCAGTATTTGTGATCTGCCCGATGGAATGGTTCCAATCACTGAAGAAGCACACTGTATCCCAACGGTTAGAACCTCCGGTAAGAGATTCAGAGATGTTATCACTAGTTCGTATCTGAAAAAATAAAGAGGATAAAGAATAAGAAACTAGCAGCGGAAAGGAAAAAAAAAAAACATACCTTCTTAAGCATGACAAAATTGCTGCTTCTCCGATACCGCACGTTTCTTTGTTATTGACTGGTGCTCTCGCAGACATTCCAGACGTACCAGCAGCCATAGGTAGAAGCCACAAGAGAAGCCTGACGAGAACGTTGTAGTCAAACACCATGTCGAGCATATAAACCACCGCTCCAAATTGCTCATCACTAAGCTGACACCTCGCCGTCGGACCCGTCTTGTTGGCAGTGCCTTCCCCGAGCAAGCTGCGGATCGTTCTGTCTAGCCATGAAGAGAAGTTAAACTTCTCAGATACTGTAAGCTGCTTCAGTGCAGAGCCGATCGAACGGAAGTCGTTTTTAGGCCTCAAGTCGTTCAGAGAAAGCTTGGTACTCGCTGCAGGCCTATGATACGGGCAATGCACCTTACTGTCAAAGGAGTGACTGGAAGAAGCACCCTGGCCACCATCTACACGAGCACTATGAAGCTGAGCAAGGCTTTGAGTCTTTCTCACGGTTTTGGGCCTCCCTCTGACGCCTTGCTTTGGGGGCTTGATAGAAGCTTCCAGCTTGACTGGATCCGAGACCTTTGGTACCTTCTTTATCCACCACGAGTCTTCGGGGTCTGCTATAAACCCTGTGCCCTTTGATTCGCCTGTTTTAAGCCTTTTGCTACCGTTGCATTCTTCACACCCATGGGTATCCCCAATGGACGAACCAGCCACCCTCTTGAGGATACCAACCGGGCCAGCACAGAACTTTTGCTGTCCCGCTAAAGTGTCTGGAATCTGTAAATACGCACATACTGCCTGTTTCACTTCCAGCAACTTCATCGGTTTCCGGCTGACCTGCTTCCTATCCAGTGTGTTAGTTACAAAAGAACCAGACATCGGTACCTTCACTTCTGAAGAATACGTGCGATCCTTCAACCTTCGGTCTTTAGCTATTTTGTCGTCGGAATGGAAACCATGCAGAGCTAGCCGACGCTCGTTGCGATACAGTCGTGCATTCTCCGGAATATCGTCTGTGTCTTTGGTATCATCAAGGTCCAAAGTCGGAAGCCCAGGAAGGTAACGCAAGACCCGCCGGTGACGAGCCGCCCTGCTTATATCACTTGGCGACTCTCGTCTTTCTAGTAAGCCTTCCACGATCAGCTGTCGTACGTACGCATCCGGATGAAAAATGCCCCTACGAACCAGTTCGTATAGAAGAAGCTGCATCTTCTCCATGCTCTCCCCTTTCCTCGAATCATGTTGATCTATCCATGCTACGATGATCTCGTGCATCGGAGAGCGCTTGAGTTTGGAATCCGATGCACCCTTGACCCTGGCCTTTTTAGCGTGAGATCCGGGAGGGAAGTCCTTCTTAAGTAGGAGGACTGAAGCTGCAGTATAAATACGTGACAAGTCTTTGATGCCTGTGGATACCTTTATACTAGAAGCTTGTCTGGTATCCCGAAAGTCACAGACTGCCCACTCGCACAGATACCGCACCGCAAAAAGATCTGAGAGGTTGACGTTGTTCAGCATGCCGGATAGAAATGGTAAGTTGGAGCTGGAGGTCTTCCATTCACCGGGTAATTGGTCGTAGCCAGAAAAATCGCTGTCAAATACGGCCTGGAAAGCGCTGAGGAGATCGCCAGCAGCTAGCGACTTGTCAAGAGCCTGTATAACTTTCCCGTCGTTGTTTCTGAGGACTCCCGGATTCACAGCCTTCGTCAGAGATGATGCTCGTTTCTGTATCGAATCGACAACCTCCATAATGTAGACTTCACGATACGGACAAAGGTTCCCTGGCCTGCCGTTTCCCTTCGTAGTATCTGCTTTCGGGTCACCGTCTTTGACGATTTCCATACCTTCCAGTGTCGTAACACATGGAAGGAGAGGAAAACAGTCAAAAGCCACGAATGTGTCTGGAACAGCAACAAGCAGGTAGCGCATTATCTCCACAAAGGTCACGACGATGCGATATTGTTGAGGCTGCTCTTCCGGGCTGGGTAGGACGTTGGACACCCCAAGCTGCCGTAGCCAGTGTTGGCAGATATCTACCAACATTCGGACATGGACCTGAGAAAGTGACAGAGAGTCCATGAACTCCAGAAGAACAGGGAGCAAAAGCTCCAAACCGTCCAGCGATTCCTTTTCCTGCATGCAAAAACATTAGTTAACGCAACAAAGCAAGCGCACATGAGAACCTGTATTTGCTTGAGAGCCCACTCAACAACATGGGATTGCTGAAGAAGACCTTCCGCATACTGCCACTGCACAAGCCGCACAATGTAATGCCATTTCGCATGGCCATCCAGGTCGGTTTCCACAGATTGCACAGAATCGTAGGCCTGGGCCAGTGCTGCACGCGACGCATTTGAGCAGATCTCGTCAAGTACGGATTGTGCGTAATCTAAAACGTCCCGAGTCCACTGTTCCAGACGCTTGCCATGCGACTTATCAGCGCCAGCACTCGAAGCCGGGCGCACCTGGAGACCCTCTGTATGAGAAACTCAGTATAGGAAGTGCAAAGAAGAAGTACCTGGTTGAGGTAAGATATTTTTATAAACCAGGTGGCTCGGAGAAACGGCACATTTTGCTTAACCAGGGCTTCGAATAATGTTCTTCTGTGAAAACCATGTGGAACGTGCTCTGCCAATAAAGATAAGCGTTTACGTTGCGACAGGTCCTGCAAAGATAAACTGTGAACTTCAGCAGATACAAGAGAAGCTACTAGTCTTACTTCTATCCATTTCTTCCGATAATCCTCTCCATAGGTATGTCGCTCTGGGAACTGTCCAGCTTTGGCAAGCAGCGCTCCAACAAGAGGAACATCGTATACTTGTCCTGCCTGAATAATACAACCACTTAGCACGAACTGGCACAGAAACATGCACGTACCTTGCGTTTTCTAACGAGAGCGTTTGTTACCGCCCGCAGTCGCTTACGAAGGGACTGCAAAGAATCTCACGTTGATACACGACAGAACAAAATAAACAAGTAAAGAACCTCTTTGTAACGACTGATATTCTCTTTTGCCCATAGCGCATTATTCGTAGCCAAGGTCCACGTCGTTTCTCGTGCTTCCTGATAGAATCGTATTTTAAGGTAAAGAGAACCAGGCGCAATCGTTGTGAACATACCTCAATCCCCTCAATCGCTTCTTTGTATCCATTTGTGCAAGTATCACGCGTTAAAGACTCCTCTGGACAATCGGGAGCAGGGAAATAAAAGTCGGGAGGTCCGAGCCTAGAAGGAACAATAGTAAGACATCGGAGGAGATTTAGCTTCTAGATATCTACCGTGGGTTCAGGGGTTCTTTCTCGCATTTGAGCCTGTAAGGTGTAAGCTGGGGAGTACGCCTGATAACAGTAAAGAGATCTTTGAGCTCCGAAAAAAAAACAAGAATTTGCAAAGAAAAGATAGAAGATACGTGCCTTGCTGTTGCTGTGAAACCGATACCAGAGTAAGTGGAATCGGATCGAGGACCCTCTCGACTAGCTGCAACGCCACTGCCACCAGCGGCAGTAGAATACCTGTGCATCTCTCCTTAAGATCGCCCGCATGCTGCATCGTGTATTCTAAATCCTTTTTTCCAGCTCTTGGGTTTCCTACTCTTTCCAGAGCAAGGCATTAATCCTACAAGCCTCTGGTCCATGTTCCATATGTGGTACTGTCGAAAAGTCGATGATCCACCGCGAAGAACAGAGGACCCAGTGCCGCTGTGCTCTGGAAATTCCCACTCACTGGTGAGACTAAGCATTCTCCAAGCAAGTCAAAGAATCGGCCATGGCCATACCGCCCAGTCCCTGTCCTTGTGCATTTTAATTCCTTCCTACTATCCCAGCCTCTGTTCCTGGCTCTAGCTCGCTCAATCCAACCCTAGGGTAGTGCCCAAGAGCTTCTCGGACTAGAGCGCGATCCTGTGCTACAGACCTAACAAAATGCCGCTGACTAATCGGCGAGGAGTATCTAAAACCCTATCAGCAGCCAGCTCCAGCAGTAATGGCCGATCGTTTCGGCGCGCCTATCGACGAGCACTTACGGATTCTTGCGGCGCCTCGCCCGGCGCGATCGATCCGCGGGCGCCAAAACAGGGGAGGAGCTATCGGGATCCCTGGATTATTGCTGTGCTTAGCCCGGAATGAGAGAGAAGAGCGCGAGCGTTAAACCTAAAGAGGAATGCGCTACACAGAGAAAAGCCCAGATGCGTGCGCGACTGTGGATGGACACGCGATAGACTGCACTGTCCAATAAACTGAGCGGTCAGTCGTCTTGGTCTCGGATATTCCAAGCACAATCGCTAGAATATGCCGCGGATCAGAATCTCTCGCTGGATATTCCGTTAGCGGCATAATCTAAGAATATACTGTCTTCTTCTAGGGCATGATGATGAGGAAGGCGCTCCAGCGCTATGGTGCCGCGCTGGGCGCGGGAGCTCTGCGGGGGATTCATGGATCGGCGGGAGCTGCCTTGGAGCACGAATTGGAGCCAGCGGGTAGGAGAAATCGATCAATCTTTGGTGTATTTCAATGCGATCGATTGCAGCGACGAAGAAGAAGCTGGGATTATCCGTGGTCTTCCTCTTCTTGCCGTGTGTGGCGACGTTCGGGCTCGGGACCTGGCAAGTCAAGAGACGCGATTGGAAGGTATGAGCTGAAAGATCGGATTTTTTCTCATCGCTGCTGGTAATGTAGGCGGAGCTTTTGGATTATAAGCGAAAGAGGCTGGAGCAGGATCCTGTTCCACTGGCCTTGGCCATGGTCGATGATACGAGCTCGAGCTCCAACGGCGAGAGCGCTCTCGAGTACCGGAGAGTTGTTTGCGACGGTGTCTATGACGAGGAGAAGTCTATCTTTATTGGCCCTCGCATGAAGCAACTGTTTGGCTCCAGCCAGAGGGGATACTATCTCGTCACCCCACTTCTTCCAGCGAGGTAAAAAAAAATTTCTCGCTCCCGTTTAGGCACTGATTCTTATCGTCAGCTCCTCGGATATGCAGCCTGCGGTGCTTGTGAATCGTGGATGGGTTCCAGCAGCATGGCGCGAGGATTTTGAGAAAGGAGTCGTGACGCCTACCTTGGACGAACGCTTCCATCAAGACAAGATCAAAACTGGGACGTGGTGGAGGACTTGGTGGAAGGGAAAACCGACAATGGAGGTATGTTTCCGAATTTGCGAGTTTGCGAGTTTTCCTTCCTGACACATTGCTTTCCTTGTCGCGAAGATTTCTCCCGCGAAGGGTGCCGTCACTGTCTGCGGCGTTGTAAGGAAGAGTGAAAATCCCAGCATGTTTGTCCCGCTAAACGTTCCAGAACAAGGGCAGTGGTTCTACTTCGATGTTCCGGCGATGTTGAAAGCGGTGGGCCTTCCAGAAAACAGTCCATACATCGAAGCCGTTGGCTCAAGTCCTGGTACTGACGATAAGATCACCTTCCCTGTTCCGAAAGAGATCGAGGACTTCGTTCGCACTTCTTTGATGCCAAATGACCACTTGACTTACGCATTTACCTGGTAAGCAATTTAGATGTTTTACGTTCTTAAAAGTGGCCATTTTCCAGGTATACATTGTCCGCAGCAACAACTTACATGGCTTTCAAGCGAATACGCGAGAAACCTGTAAAGCCGCTGAAGAATTTCCGTTAATAAAGTGCACGACTTGATGTGGTTCCAACATGCGTAAGTGCAGCGTAAACTAGTCGGCAGTTTTGGTTTATTTTATATGATCTTTCCTCTTACGTAACGCGTTGAGAAAATTTTCGCAGAACCTGGAGAGAAGCAACAGGGCCGAGCAAGCATGAAAGATATCAATCGGGTTCTAGATCTGGGCTCGTCAAAGCTCACAGTGCTGCTGAGCCTGTCCGGCTTCATGATTCTTGTCCTTCTCGTCATCGAGGATGTCGATATCCTTCACTGGAGAGCTTTATGGGTGTGGAAAGCGATGCCATCAGAACAGACAAGAATAAGTGCGGGCAGCATTGATCCAAGCTGTGTAAGCAGGAGCTCTCAACATCTCTACAGGGCAAACAAGGTGGCTGACATCTCTCCGACGCTGCTAGAGTCGTGGAAGAGATACGGTGAGTTGCACAGGAAGTGTGCTCCCTCCAACTGGACGGAAGTCCTCGAAGAAAGTTCCCATGTCAACTCATCTTGTAAGTTCATGATCTATGTTGAGACTCACGAGGGGCTGGGAAACAGGATCTTGTCGCTACTATCAGCGCTGCTCTACTCTATGATCACAGATCGGGTGTTGATGATAGATTCCAGGAAGGAAGTTGGGAAAATACTTTGTGAGCCTTTTCAAGGCTCTTCATGGCTTCTTCCAGCTGACTTTCCATATGGTGAGCCTTGGTTTGTTTGTTTTTATAATATACACTAAAAGTCGAGCTTGTGGTTTCCAGAGATTGTAAAACATGCTCCGGACTTGGGACAAGCCATCGATAAAAACTTTAGTGTTCCAATCGTTCACTTGCATCTTGCTCACGTCCAGAGAGAGACCGATAAGCTCTTCTTTTGCAACGAGTTCCAGGAGCCACTGAGCCACGTGAGGACCCTCGCCTGGAGCAGCAACCAGTACTTCGTTTCCAGCTTCTTTAAGGTACCGTGGATGTGGAGAAAGCTAGTTACCTTATTTCCAGGCTCTCGGCTCGACATATTTGCTCAACTCTCCAGCCTCGCGATCGCACCGGCGAACTCCATATGGTCCCTAGTCTCTCGCTTCTACAACAGCTACTTATCCTGCTCCAAGTCTCGGGTTGGGGTCCAGATACGAACACACAGCCGACCAGACCTGGCCAGTTTTGATCCGCTGGTGAACCAGATAGTTTCCAGGTGCCTCACAAGCCACCATCTTCTGCCGAACTTATCCTCAAGCTCTTCGCCATCGCTGATCGAGTTTGAGAAGCAGCAACAGCAGCAACACCAGGTTGACGTCTCCGTTTTCGTGGCTTCGCTCCAAGGGAAGTACTACGAGACACTCAGGGACGAGTTTCTACAAAACGGGACAGCATCAGAGGAGCTCGTCAGCTTTCACTCCCTGTCCAGCGAAGGGGCCGAGTGGCACAATCTTCACCAGGCCAGCCTCGCTCTGGCGGAGATGTGGCTGCTGAGCTTCGCCCACCACTTGGCCACGAGCGAGTTCTCGACTTTTGGCTATATCTCTCGGGGGCTGGCAAGGACGAGGCCGTGGATGTTGAAGATCAGAGGGACGGAGCTCCATCCCGAGGGGGACGTGTGTTACTTGAGCCAGTCCTCGGAGCCGTGCACGCATTTTCCCCAGCAGCCAGATTGCTCCAGCGCCAGAAACATTTCCACGGAGCACCGGGAGTGGATCAAGCGTCACCTCGGTGGCTGCCAGGATCAGAGGGGAGGCTTGCAGCTACTCAACTTATGAGGTAATCATCTAGTTCTTCACCATAGCTGAAGCCTTGACGTTGTTTCTATCCAGGCCACCAACAAGTTTGCAGAAGAAAAAAAAGCCACGCGGATTCCAAAGATCTGGTAACTTAGTTTTCGATATAAAGATTCTTCTACATTCTTTGAGTCAAGTAGCAGTCCACTTGGAGCACCACGTACAATCCATGATCCACAGCAGTGGTGACAATCGCGTATCCCTGGACTCCTCTAAAGTCCCCCGTCCCGGCGATCACTGGAAGCTCTCTCGGGGACTGGAGCGCCTTGTACGAGCCATGGAACACCAAGCTCCCGTTGTAGCTGGAAGTCTCAAGAAACGCCGAGTAGGAGACGAGCAAATGAAAGTCGGACCTCGACTCCACCAGGTACATGCCCTGCCCGCGTCCCACAAGCCTGGAATCGTTGCAGGGAGTCTCCGTGAGTGGATCGTCCATGACGATCAGAGTTCCAAAGCCGTAGAGCGTGAGATTGCCACCCTGTGCCGCGACTACAACCCCGGTGCTGTTCGCGATCAGCTGCCTGTCTTGCATGTAAAACTTCACTCGGGACGGAGCTTGGAAGCTTTCTGGAGATGTTAGAGACGAAGAGAGCGCTGCTGCTGCTGCTGATAACACTGCTGGTAGAAGAGTGACGAGCACTGGAAGCTTTGCCATGAGTGAGAGTTCTCTGCTGGCACTGTAGAGCAGACACAACACATACCGTATCATGGAGATCGTCGTGGGAGCTTTTAAAGCCGCGGCATTGATAACGAACACAATTCTCCGCATTATAAAAGTCTTTGCTCGTGCCTCCTGGACACCACCAATCTCCTAAAAAAAAGTCTGGTCAGATTCGTCGTGTTGAAAGAAAAGAAGCGACATTGACATACCAATACCATGGCACGAGGACTCGTCAGAGCTCCGCTTTCTTGAGGTTAATGTAGTCCACAACATCTGCAACGGATCCACTTAAAACAACGCGTCCGTTCTCCATATAGGCAGCTCCATCTGCGTAGTTAAGCTCCTCCAGACGATGAGTTACCCACAGGGACGTTACTGAAGGCGGGCCAGCAACCACTCGTCGGACAGCTTCCAACACTCCAACCTGATGACAAGCAGTCCTTTTGGATGAAAGAAACGACTTGAGGAGACTGACCTGATCGGTTTCGTCTAAGAAAGTCGTTAACTCGTCCAGTAGAAGCACCCGGCTTGTCTCTGCAAGCGCCCCCGCGATGGCCACTCGCTGCTTTTGACCACCACTTAGCGTCTGTATAGGACGCTGCAGGAAAAAAAAAAAAACAAAACTCATCTGCTTGTCCACACAAAAAACCACATTTCATTTACCTGTAAGTAGTTCTCCATCCCCACGGCTTTAAGAGACCTCCAAACTCGGTCCCGGACCTCCTCTTGCGTTAATTGTAGGCGCCCAAGCCCGAACGCAACATCTGCTTCGGCTGTAGGCATGACAACCTGGTGGAAACAACGAGAAGTGAAAAACTGGCTATCAACTAGAGGTACCTGGTGATCCGGATTCTGGAAGACAAAGCTCTTTGGCTGTGCCACACGCATCTGTCCACGGGAGGGTCTCATCAGCCCTGCAAGGCACTGGAAAATAGCCAAACAAGACACAAGCAAAGAGTTAGGAGAGTCATTACACAAACGAAAGTGAAAGGCTACCGTAAAGACTGGCCTTGAGCAGTGTCGATTTCCCGCATCCATTGGGCCCGAGGAGCATCCAGAGCTGTCCTTGCGGGATTCGAATGGAACAATTCTTGAGCACGGGTACAAGAAGCCCCGTGTCACCCCGTACCTCCACAAACAGATCCTTTGCCTCGATATCAAAACTAGCCCGACCATCCACTGACGACGTACAAGCTGTGAAACTTCACCCTCAGCAACAGTCGACAATCAATGACCTCAGGAAAAACACTAAACAAACGAAAAAAATCCAAGCCCCTCTTGTTTTTTCTGTGCGTGAGCAAGCTTACCCGCTACAGCTGGAGATCGCGGCTTAAATCTCCTCGATCGCGAGCGCAAAGTCAAACTTGCGAGGCACGCTGTGTGAGAAAGAAAGAATTTAGATATCCGTGCGCGAGACAATGCCCATAATCTAGCATACAAGTCGCGACCTCACCTGCGCGATCAGCGCCTCCGATTGACACTGGCGCTGTCACAGCGCCGTCTCCCAGCAGCGCCATCGCCCGCCACAGCCCTAGCGCGAGAATAAGAGCCCTAAAGAATCCCACTACCTAAACCCCGATTACTTGGATGGAGACCAGTCGCCATCGTCACCATCCCTGCGAAGAAAAAAATCCTTTTTTTTATGCCATGGCTGCACAGAAAATCGAATGCTGGTGGTGCCGAATTGAAAGCTCCTGATACTTTTCCTGTCCTTTAACAAGGGCCCTGTCAAAGGACATGGTGGCCGTGTCCCGTGCATCCACAACGAGTTTCGGATCATAGCGAGTGAGTAAATGAGAGCTCGGAAATGGAAAAAATGGGGAAAAAAAAATCCCACGAACAAACAAACACGAGAGGCCAAGGGAAGCTACACGCCGGCTTCTCATTACTTTCGTCGCGAGCCATACCTCTCAGTGCCTCTAAATGTAATGCTGACCCTTCACTGGTGTACGACTTCATGGATGTAAGTTCGAGCTTATCGATTCACATTCTGGAACCTGGATTACTCGCGCCGCCCGGTCGATCAAAAATCAAACTTTGCTAGCGCGACGCGGAGGAACTCTAGATAGTCCTTGCAAAGTCACTGCTCAAAGAGAACAAAATCCGTAAAAGCATTATTCACGTGGAACAATGGCGACATTGTGGAGTGCCTTAACATCAGATCGTGGTACTAGAATCTCAGAAGGTTTTACGGAAAGTTTTGCGAAATTGACAAGGTCTTCGAGCGGAGAAAGAGGCAGGGGATGGTGGTGGTGTCCGAGACTTGTCATTTCAGGGACGTGGAAGCGTGGCTCAACACTGTCCATGTAACAGAGCTTCTCTCTCTCTCTCTCTCTCGCTCTCACTCTCACCCTCTCGCTAATCGCTTATAAAACCACTGCCACTTCGGTACTCCGACTCGCCCGAGTGGAAACGTGCAAAGATTGTATTAACGTGCATTCGTTCCGGCGACCTGCTGCGAGTGCGAGATACGGTCCCCTCTCTAAGCAGCAACCTGTCCTTCGGAGAAAAAAAAGAGATTTTTGTATACGTTCAAGGAGAAGTTTGTCCATCTCTTTCGATATTCGTCTCGTGGCCCTGGCTAAGTCGCGTGACTAACGCGATGATCTTGGTGTTACTGTAAAGAATCACGCTGCACTGTTCATTTTGCGACGATGGAAGACGAAGGAGCTCGCCATACTCGGCTCGCCTCGTCACAATTGCGAGTCTTGACTTGCGGGCGAGGCAGCAGCGATGGGGCAGCCTTTTCTTAATTGGCTTTTTATTCGTTGCCTCTGCGAGCGAGCGATCTGACTTTACCATTGTTGCTGCTTATGATCACCATCTCTTCCAGTCCATTTTCCCAGATCTTCTTTTTTATAAAGCCTGGCCCTCTCTCTCTCTCTCTCACCCATCCTGTCCAACCCGTTTAGAACGTTCAAGCTACCACGCTACAACTTATCCGAGCTTCCGAGCTCCTGCCTGTGAAAGAACGATTTTTGCAACAAGGATCTCTCTCGACTCGCGGTAAGTCACCGGAAAAATCGCATTTTTTCCTCACTCTCGGACCTTTTTCTTTGATCCTCCAGCGTGCAATGCCACCGCGTAGACGACGATCCAAATCCTGCTCCACTGCCACTGCCACTGCCACTGCCGCTGCTCCTCTTCCGGATGGATCTATCGAGCAATCCATCCACCAAATGCTGAAGTCACCACTCCTGGAAGAGACTCGATTGCCCTCTTTCGAGCTCGAGGATTTCCCAGAGTGGTGGCCGGCGGCGGCCACCTCGAGCGATCAGGGAGCTTCTCCAATGGCCACATTCGAATCCATGGACGACCCTTTGCTGCATTTCCCGCAAGAACTCCCCGAGACCCATTCCACATTGCAGGGCATTTGCTCGCCAGCGTCGAGCGTTCTCCCGTGCTTGACATCGCCATCCCCGACGCAGTTCGTGGCTCCTCCAGCTCTCCCGCCGGTGGGGAAGGCGGCGGGGGCTGGATCTAAGCGAAGCAGCCGAAGAACATTGGCAGCGACTCACGATCTTGGAGTGGACACCAAGAGCAAAAGCATCTCGCCGCGCGAGAGCCACATTCTTTCCGAGAGGCAGCGGAGGAAAGGCATGAACCATCTCTTCTCGACGCTGGCATCGCTCTTACCGGAGACGTGTTCCAAGGTACTTGGAGCTCCTCTCTCCCTTTATTTTTCCTCTCTTGTTCTTGGTTTCTTCGTGGTTTTTGTTGCCTTCCTCGATCCTGTAGCTAAAACCGATTGTCCGATTGTTTTCTCTGATCTTAGAGCGATAAGTCGACCATCGTCTCCGAGATCATCAGCTACATCCATCTCCTCCGAAAGGACCTGGAGGATCTGGACAAGAAACGCTCCGATGTGTTGAGAAGCGCTTCTCCTCGCGCGGCGATGGCGATCAAGGACTCGGGCTCTCCATCGCCATCGATTTGCACCACCACCAATGACCGCGGCTCCAAGAACGCCGGAGGGGGGGATGATCATCCGGGCATGATCCAGCAGCAATCGCAGCAGGCGTCCAATGTGATCCTCAGCGTTTGCGGCAGCGACGCTTTCATCACCATGATCTGCGCCAGCAAGAACAGGAGCGTCTTCTCGAAGGTGTTACTTCTCCTGGACCATCACAAGTTCCGAGTCCTCGACGCGAACATCTCCACCAACGCGTCCACGACCTTCCACTACTTCCACGTCAAGGTCTGAGTGATCTTTAAGTACGATTGAGCTGATCGAAGCTAAGCTCGTTTTTTCATCGCTCTTTCTCTTCCAGGCTTTGAATTCACAGCTTCCAAAAGATGCCTTGCAGAGAGACCTCCAGAGCCTGACCGCATCCGAGACGAAAAATGAGACATCGTCTTCGTGAAGACGTGAAACAAGAGCTCGCGGAAAGAGTGTTTTTCTTTTTCTCTCTCTCTTTGTTGATTTTGGTTGCGAGGAAAGAGATAATGTTTGTACCAATTTTTTCTTCATCTCTGGCTTTGTTTCTTACAATTCTATCCTTCCGCGAATCAATACGAGGTGGAAAGCTTGCGAAAAAAAACGAAGGCTTTGAAAGCGACGCCACAAACCCTATAAGGTTGATATATATAAACCCTACTTCCTACTTCTGTACAACAAGGAACGCTTTCCACAGCTTTCATGGAAACTCTGAGAGCTCTTCCAGTTTTCGCCACAGCGATGCCAGCGCACAGCTCAAATACACTGCCAACACTTCGATCCAAGAAATGCTCCTGGAAAAATCTCGGTTTGCTGAGCATCTAAAAGATCAACATTTTTTTACCTGATCAATTCGTAGTCTTCTTCCAATTGTTGCCGCTGGGGACCATCATCGAGTGATCGAAAGCTCCTTCTCGAACTGTCCAGCAGCGGTGAGAGATTTTTAACTGTGTGTCCGCAGATGTCACACGAGCTCTTCCCCCGGATCGTAAACCACTTCGCTGCGCAGTCGCTGTGAGCCGCCGCGAGGTCCCCTTTGCAGCAGCAATCCATGCGAAAGCTCTCGCCTTCGCTCAGCTCCACCAGGCAAATCCGGCAAACGGCCTCACTTACATCGCCTGGGACACGGGAATCAAGCAACAAGGAATCAGTAAGTGAAAGCTCCATAAAAATGAGATTTTTTTTGTAAGATACCTCGAGAGCTTTGTTCTTGGCATGGCATCAGCGACTTTGTTGCCGAGTTTACCACATCGGCTGTCTTAATCAGCTGGTATGAAGCTGCTATCGTTGCCGGTAATTCGTGGCGAAGGCCCTGCAAAATAGCGCATGAGAGCAGCCATTAATGCTGTGAGCTCGATTAATCTTTGATCGCCAGAACCCTTACCCGTGAATTGTTCTTGGGAGGGGACATGAAAGCTCCCGCTCCAGCTCTCTCTCTCGCACTGGTGTCTGCTCGGAGATGTGTCCACGCGCTAGTGTCCAATTTCATAGCCGGAAAGCTAGAAGATTTCTTGCGCGAAGCTGCACAATCATGAGTAGATCACAATACAAGTCAAGCTTGGAACAGTGGCATCACTGCTGGAATGGAATCGTGGAAGGGAAAAAACGAAAAAAAACGAAAGGAATAGAGAGTAGCATCACGCGGTGACGACTGAGTGTGTATAGAGTGGCTAAAGGACACAAGTCACGAACTCCATGTCTTTAGCAATATGCTCCGCTGCGAGCTAAAAAACAACGATAAATCACGCATAAGAAAAGAGAAGAAAGACTTGTGTGTTTCTCTTGCCTGTCCAGCAGCACGAATGTTTTGCTTCTTCTTCTCCTTTTTGATGCCCGGAGCTCAAAGGTCTTTGTAGATATATACGAAAGAGAAGCTCCATCGCAACTTGGTCGACTGGAAAACTTAAAACAGTGGAGCGTTTTAAGATTTGACTGACCGGTTAAACCTATTGTGCGTTTCCTAAATCCATTTGCATTACTCTCCATCACTTTCTGCTTTTCTGCCAAGGGCCCAGCCAGTGAGATCGCAAAGTGATAGAGAAAAAAGTACCTGAAAGTCAGCTACGAGATATCTCACATTCTGCCTGAAGACAAAACCAACACCTTCTTTTGATTAACAATGGAAAAGAAAGAGAGATGAACATATAAAAACTGTATAAACTCCTCAACTTATTACTCTCGTCCAGGCTCTTGTAATTTGGTTACTTACATAGATAGATGATAGCAGATGTCAACGCATTTATAGGAATCCGATACTCTAGTAGACTTTCGTCGCGAGGTTGCTAGCTCTGTCATTACGAATCTGATTAGCTGACCCACAACACTCACTGACAAGAAAGCTGAGAAAGCGAACCATGTTGTTCGAGCTCTCTGATTCACGACGCCTCGCCACTTCCTCCTCGATTATCTTCACTGCGGCTTCACTCTCGGCATCCCTCGCTTCGTCGAGGGGCGTGTGGCCATGCCTGTGACGAGAAGATTTACACAGTTACACATTTACAAACAAAGTTCCACAGTTGCTTTCGGTGTGTTTACCGGTCTTTCGCAAGAACATCAGCACCTTCATTTACAAGAACGGCGACGGCCTCCAGGCTTCCAACCGCAGCAGCAATGTGAAGTGGCGTGTTTTGAGCATAGTCGACAGCACTCGGATCCACACCGTGCTTTACGAGCCTCTCCACATACTTCACGTCACCACTGGCCGTTGCTTTACAAAGTTCTATCCCTGGTTCCTGTTTCACACACACAAAGGAAGGATTAAGATAAAAAAAGATCATCATTAACGTAATGCCTGGAGCTAAAACTTGCAAACCTCCAGAAGCGGCTCAGCTCCCTTTTCAACGAGCAAGTCCGCAGCAACATCGTGGCCTCCTTTCAACGCTGCGAGCAATGGCGTCATTCCAAAGTTATCTGAAAGAAAGAAATGAAAATCAAGCAATGAAAGCGAAGAAATCCATAATACGAGACCTTTCTTGTTCACGTTGGCCCCGGCATTTATCAGCATATCGACACACTCACTGTGGCCTTTCGACGCTGCCATATGCTGCGAAGAAAAAAGAAAGCTCAGAGCATGCAGGGAAGGAGAGAGAGCCTGTCTTTACCAAAGCTGTACGACCGTCAGAATCCGCTGCCGATGGATCAGCTCCTCTGGCCAAAACCTTTCGTAAGGTGTTGACATTCCCCTCCAAAGCACTTCCTCGTATGCACTGGGGTTGGCTCAGTGCTGCAGAGACTCCAAGTTTTCTCACCGCGATTCCCAGCTCCAGCGCAGTCACCGCATACTGTACTGCTTGCAGCGGTGTCAAGATTTGCACCAGCTCGTCCGCTGCTCGTAGCCGCAGCTCCTCGGCCTCGAGAACGATGTCACGCAGGTACGCCAGCTTCGGTTCCATGGCCTCTTGAAGTAGTGACAAGTCGTCTGATTCGCTTGGTGGTGGATCTGTGACGGTGGCCCTTGCTATCTCTTGATCTGCAACCAGCATCTAGTCATGAGACAAGGTGAAGTTTCATCAGAAGAAGCTGGTGGAAGAGTTATAAAAAGTAATGAAGAGAAGAGAGAAAGAAGAGAAGTCGCAAAGACTTACTTGTAAGTCGGCAAGATGATTGGAGATGTTGTCTTCGGCATGACGATTACGCTGTTGTAGCGAGTTTAGTCTCTGGAGTTGCTTCCCGGACAATGCTGCCATGGTTGGGACGTCCATTCCTTCCAAGATTTTCACGAGATCATCTTCTATCTGCATCCCCATGAGCGAGAAAACCAAGATGATGCTCATTGTTGGTCGCCACCCTCCCATCCACAGGAAAGAAATCTCCAGCGGGGACCTCCAGCAGCTCGCTACTACGTGAGAAGCATCTTCTTTGATCATCTGGATCTTTTCCTCGGCATAGTTTCTGTAGAAAGTGTAGAATTGTTGTAGTGCTTGGATGAGCAATTCCTCTGAGCAAAGCTCCTCCTTCAAAGCATTGCGAAGAGATTTGAGTTGCAAGCTAGCTGCATCAAACCATTTCTTGTGGAATTCTTCGAAATCCCGTGATGCCATCGATCTCAATTGCCTCCGGGAAAGATGTGCAAAACAATTGCCACTGAAAAGACGCGCCAAACAAATCAATCTTTATAGTCATGGACAAGAATCAAATCGCACAGCACAGACAAAAAGACTCTACCATTCAACAAGAACACACAAAATTCTCTACTTATCGCACACGCACAGCGATCGCACAATGATCTCACGTAGAAATCACGCAAATCTTTGTAGCAATTGGCTTCGCAAGAGCTCTAAAATCTACTCACCTGATAGGGAATGCGCTCGCTCCCTCCTCGCGCGTCCTAAAACCCTAGCTCCAGTGCGCGCATCCCTGTCAGGGATCTCCAGAGCTCCACGGTTCGAATCCATGTAAGCACGGTTTTAAAACCATGCCAGTAAATATTTATGGAACCGGGCGATTAAACTTAAATGGGCCAGCCTGTTAACCAATACGCTATACGGCTTTTACGCACATATTCATTCGGCATTTAGGTGTTGTTGTTCCTTCTTTTTTCTTCCTCCGTTCTATCCCTTCTTCTTCCCAGATCCAGCTCGTTGCTCGTCCAGGCGCTGGCCGGGGCTACATTACGACGCGGAGCTGATTGAGCGGCGCTTCTAGGAGGTGGATTTCGAGCTTCTCGCGAGGTTTCGAGGGATTTCCGGCCTGCATTCTTCGTCTTCGTTGCCGCGGATTGCCGGAGGTAGCAGGCGCGCTGGCGGGGGCGAAATATCGATCCTCGGCTAGAGAAATTTCTCAGGTAAGCGCCGGTAGCGAGGGTTTTCTTGGAAATGCTCGTTTCGATTGCGATAAGGAGTGCTAGATCTGTGGTTCCAGGGGCTGATAATTGGGTCTTGGCAGAGATGTACAAGAACCAGCTCCAGGAATTAGCGCAGAGGAGCTGCTTCAATTTGCCGGCGTATTCGTGTATCAGGGAAGGCCCTGATCATGCGCCGCGATTCAAGGCGGCCGTGAACTTCAATGGCGAGGTTTTTGAGAGCCCAAATTACTGTAGCACACTGAGGCAGGCCGAGCATGCCGCCGCGGAGCTTGCTCTCAATGTTCTCTCTCGACGAGGTCCTTCACAGTCTCTCGCTGCTCGGATTTTGGTAAGTGTTTCTAAGTTTCAATGCTTTGTGGAGATGGACACTGATACTTTGTTCTCTCGTTTTTTTTTTTTTCCTTCGCAGGATGAAACGGGTGTTTTCAAGAATCTCTTGCAAGAAACGGCCCAAAGGGCGAATGTGCCATTGCCAACGTACACTACCACCAGGTCTGGGCCTGGGCATTTGCCGGTTTTTACATGCGTCGTCGAGGTTGCCGGGATGAACTTCACCGGGGACGCTGGGAAAACGAAGAAGCAAGCTGAAAAGAACGCTGCCATGGCCGCGTGGGCGACGCTGAAGCAATGTAAGTTCCCTCTCTTCGTTTTGATTGTCTCTTGGTTTGAACCGCGAGTTCTGGCTGATTGCAGTTGCGAAGAAACTGGCTCCTCCAAGTTTGTTCTACTCAGACGAGATGACCGAGGATCAAGAGCAGATCAGCATAGCACGAGTTTTGTACCTTGCTTACGAGAAAGTTGGCGGCGGACAAGCTTCCAGACCGAGGCAGTATACGGTGCCGTCCTTGTTCGACAAGGACTGCACTGTGGGATACTTGGGCAGTCAGCAGCAGCATCTAAGATCTGGAGCAGGCTTTTGCTCGACGAACCCGCGTTCCTCGAATCCGGAAGCGCTAGCGTTGCCCAGGGATATCAGAGCTTACGGCATGACGCATCCACGGGTCCGCACGAGGAACGTCCAGCTGACCCACGAAGTCCCTCCCCCTATCGAAGAGCATCGCCGAGACGAGGAAGATTGGCTCCGTGGAGAGAGCAGCAGTAGCAGCAGCACCTGCGCCAGCAGCAGCAGGCCCATGCCTGAGGAGCCTAAGCGGAGCTCTCGGAGCCCGATGTTTTGGCCCCGGACGACCGACTCTCACTGGTGGCAGTCGGACAGCTCCTTGCTCTCGTCGGGCTATCACTTGAGAAGACCACAGGTTTCGCTAGCTCCGCCGGTGAGAGTCCGCTCGGTGGTGGCCGTGAGTGCTGCTCCTCCTCAGCGATCACAGCCGCAAGAGGCAGCGGATCAGGATGGTCTCAGCGATGGACTCAGCCGGCTCAACCTCTAGCAACTTTCGAGATCGGACTCGACTCATCGCGCAGCTTGGATTGGATCGCATGGCTGGTTCGTGGAGATTTAGCTCGGAGGGACTACTACTGCCTCGAGTAAAAGCACCGATCGGCAGCCGAGAAGAGGAGGCGAGAATGCATCACTTATTGGAGCGGGGGCTACCGTAATCAATGATTCAGCGTGGGAATCCATCTTCCGAGTTAAAGAGCATGCTGACGAGCGGTGTAGGTGACCTCGTTTGGCTTCACGCTTTTATTAATGTGTGATGCGGAAGACTATAAGCCCAGGAAGGAGGAAATCCTCGCGACTAAATCGATCGAATCGAATTGGAGAAGAAGAGAGAGAATGATCGATCTTCGTTCGTCATTGATCGATCGACGCATCTAGTTTTCTCTTCTGCCAAAGCTATGGTGTTGATAAGATTAAAACCCAAGGGTCATGTTATCTATTTTCCGTACAATATGTACGGCGTTGGTACGACTTGTACGGTTGACGAGAGATGGCAGGAGAATGGGAGCCAAGCGAAATCCAAGATGACGATCGGGCCATCCACGTGTCAGACGGGGCCCTAGGTTCGCGTTTGTCAGTGTTCGTCGCGGATCATCGGTGAGAGAGGCGAGCTTGGAATGCGATTGCGGGCGGGAGGCCGAGCTCCTCCTCCCATCCTCCTCCTCCAGCCGCCGCCGCCGCCGCCGCCGCCGCCCCCGCCGCTGTCTCCATCGATCGATCGCCGGCTTCGCACAGTTCGAGGTAGGTCATTGGCGATTTAGCTCAGATTTCGAGAGGATCCCATGATTCGATGACTGCCAAGAATCAAGAACGTTGAAGATCGGTGGTATCCAAGAAATTAGAAAAGAATGGCGCCTATGATCGCGCCATCGCTGCTCAACACCGGTGTGGAGGGATTGCTACATCCATTTAATGTGGCTCATTCCCGGACACAACTATTCTCGGGTAAGAAAATTCTACTTTGGTGGTAAGCTTTCAATTCTTACCTTGTTTGATTTGCTTCCAGGATTTGAATGTGCTGGGATAAAGAAGTATGGGATCGATCTTCTCGTCAATGGCAAGTATTTCAGTCGATTTGGAAGGCAAAATGGGCACTTCCAGAGGTTGACGGCGGCCTCAAAGAGGCTGGACGAGACGACAGGGAATTCAGTGGAAAAACCAGAGCTTGACGAGCTTATAGCGGCGATTGTGTATCAAGCAGAGATTGAGGGTAGCTTGAGTAACGCGTTCCAGAGGATATCGACGGAGGACTGGAGCAAAGTTCTTAGCAACGTAGGAAAAAAGCATTGGGAGCTAGCATTGGCCGTGTTTGGAGTTTTCAAGGAGACGAGCTCCATCTTTCTGAAGCCCAACACCGGCGTCCAGAAAAACGAGGAAGACAGGGAAGTAGTACAGATTCTAAAGGTGTACACGACGATGGTAGCGGTGCTTGCCAGGCACGGGAGGCTTGAAGAAGCCGAGGCCATTCTTACGGAGGTCCAGCAGCTAGGCTTTGGCCTCGATCTTTTTCTTTACAATGCGCTGTTGGGTGGCTATGCCAAGCAGGGCATGGCCGAGCGCATGCTGGACTGCATGCTCGAGATGCAAAAGTTCGGCATTCAACCCGACCATGTTAGCTACGAACAGGTATCTTTTGAGTTTGAGTCTGTCTTACGCACAAGGATGGCTTGGTAGCTGGTTGCAGCGTATTTGAATTCGAAAACTCCCGAGCTCAAGCTGGCGCTGGAGGTTTTGGATCATATGCACAGCCACGAGCTGAAGGCGAGCCAAAAAACGTACTCGGAACTCATTGCTGCCTGCTGGAAGAAAAGTGAAGTAGAAAATGCGGACAAGTGTTTCTCCGCTATGATCGCTGCTGGCCATTCTGCTGATTCCAAGGTAGGATTTTGGTACTGTTAAAACCATTTCAAAAGTGCAAGGTGTTGTTTTGTTTCAGGTGCTTGTAAAGTTGATGCAGCTCCACGCGCAAAAAGGAAACCACACTCGGACCCAGCAGCTGTTTCAAATGCTAAAACAGGCAGGACTGAAAGCCAACTCGACGTGCTATGAACAGTTGCTCCTTGCTTATTGCAAAGCTGGCTGCTTGGATCAGGCTTTCACCATCTTCCGTGAATCCAAACAGGTACTTGTATCTTACAGCTGATGTTTATTACATCGTTGTGTTTCTTGTGGCAGATTGCAAAACCTTCTCTAATTGTCTATAACATTTTACTGGACGCATGTGCCAAGGCTGGGCTTCACCTCCAAGCCATGCAATTGTACAACGAGGTGTGTGGCTCGGGGCTGAAAGCCAATGCTATAACTTATACGTCGGCCATCACAGCACTTGTGAGGAGCGGGAGGTGTGCTAAAGCAGAAGAGCTCTACAAGAGGATGCTGCGACTGAAAATCTCTCCAACAGCACATACATACACGTCAATGATTCACGCATACGCAATGAAGGGCTGGACAAGATCGGGACATGAGGTGATCCCATACCTTTTGGTTGTGCTGACACCCTTTATCTTTATCCGCATTACAGGTTTGTGTTACAATGAGGAGCAACTGTCAAATCACTGCGGTGGCATACAATGCAATGCTGCACCTATATATTCGTGGGGAGTGGTACACGGAAGCCGCCAATATTCTGAGTGAAATGGACAGCGAAGACATCGAGCCAGGTGTTCCAGGATACGGAGTACTGATAGCGGCATGCGGTGATTCCTCGCCGGAGATCATGCCACTGGTGAGAACGCTGGAGACTAGCCGGTGGGAGACGTGCAGGATAGTCTACCAGCTTATGTTCCTGCCTTTGTACGAGAGCTGCGAGTCGCTGCTGGAAGGTAGCATAGCGGACTTGCCGAAGGACGTCATGGCCTTCCTTCAGAAGTTGGCTCAAACCAAAGACGCAGAGGCCAACCTTTCGTTTTACAACTCGCTCATGGACGGGCTGTGGAGGAAAGGATTGAAACGCCGGGCAAAGTCAGTGATGGTAGCAGCCAGGAGCTTACTCCCGTGGTACAAGAGGCCAAAGCTCACCAAGATGAAGCTTCTGCTGGATCTCGGAGGATTGTCACTGGGAGCAGCACAGGTCGCAGTGCTGGACTGGTTGAGTGGAGTGGCACAGCTCCACGAGGAAAAGAGCGAGCAGCAGATGGTTCTTGTGACGGGCAGTGATTCCAGCGACAAACTCGTGGTCAAAGCTCGCAAAGGGATAAAAAAGGCTGTCGGGGCCACTCTAGCGGAGCTGGGATCACCGTTTGCCGAGGATCCCCAGGGAAGTGGGAGGCTTGTAGCATCGGTTTACGATGTTGTGCAGTGGCAGGCTGTGTATGGAATCTCGTCGGCCTTGATGCTGCTCGACAACACCCAACCTTACATAACCCAGTGACGAACAAAGTCCCAAGTTCTTACAAACACTGTGATTGTTTCAAGCATAAACTATTCAAGGTTTAATAATCTCAAATGTGACCCAAGCTGAAATGAAAGTTCGCCTCATGGAATTCTGAAACATTCAAAATTTCATATTGGTTTTGGCTTTCTTAATATTATCTTGTGATTAAAAAAACTATTTGCTACACATATTATATGTTTTAAATCCTTTTTAATAGCAAATAATGAGCTATTTTGTAGATTGTGTATCCCCACTCTATAAAGCACAAGTCCAGCGTACTATTTCTATATACCATATCCAAACTCTTCACCTTCTGCTTCTACGAGCACCAGGTTCAAATACGTTGTTGTACACTTGAATTCCGATATCTATACAAGTTCATAGTTCCACGCTCCAAAAACTCCAAGCCACGCTTGCTCCACAAGCTCCAAGCTCCAAAAAGGATCAACTCCACACTCGAAAAGCTCCAGTAAGCTCCAACCAGCACCACCCAGGCGATCCACCCAAGCTCCAAAAACTCCAAACCTTCACGCTCCTAAAACTCCAAACGCCAAGCTCCACGCTCCACGCCCTGTGCTCCATGCAATCAATCGAAAGGATGCCCGAGTATCCTGGTCTTCCATAATGGATTCAATCGCATAGCCCGAGGAAGTCACGGGTTGTGGCCTCTAAATCACAGCTAAAAGATGGAAGCTCTTATAACTAATACGCCTCTCAAGAAACCTATAGCTTTAGTCACCATCCAAGCAACAAGTGCAGATAAGGCTAACTGGACATCAAGCTCTCCCTATCCTTCACACGCAAAGGCCTATCTCAAAGACTTTGTTGGTTGTTTTGACTTGGAAAGCTCTCCTAGAGTGATCAACACCTCCGCCACGGCGCAAGCCAGTCGCTTTCAAGGCTCAGGATGGTCCCTCACTCGCCCAAGAATATCAAGCTCGAGATTGTTTGATTAAATCTATCCATAATAGTTGCTATAGGTGCTGATGTCTTGATCCTCGTGATTCTATATCTATGTACATTGTACAGCCCAGATATCTTCTCCTTCCGAATCTCGTCTCGTCAAGCAAAAAAAGGCCTCCGGCTTTAAGACCAACCAGGTAGAGAGAGTTGCTTGAAAGACTTGAAACTCTTCATGCTTTTTTTTTATTAACTTTTGTTTTCCATAGTTTTTTTCGTTGCTGATGTTGATGATCAAAGACCTCGTGTTGTTCTTACTTCCACTTTCTACTTTTATTAGCTACAGTCAGTCGTTTTTGGTGTCATTTTCCAGAGCTACTAACATGAGGGTCCAATTTCTTCGCGAGAGAAACGCGTTAAAAAGGCATTTATATAGTATATATAGTATATATTATTTACATAAAGAAAAAATGGAAAAGACCAGCTTGCAAAAAAACATGTACACAAAAAAATTCAAGAAATAAACATAGACTTGGAGGATCTTCATCCAACCAAGTGAGCAAGAAAGAAGGAACGAAAAAAAAGAGAACCCCCAAACTACAGAAAGAGATCTACTAGCTCCATCCCTCCTATAAACATCATATACCACAACTCCTCTGCCAACTTTCTCAAATTTTTCTTCAATATCGTTAAACTAGTACCTCCTCCGAGTTAAATCGGTTCACCCCTCTTGCCTTTGCTTGATCCGGAACCAAAGCACCTCAGTTCCTGAGAAACTCTTCCCTTGTTTTTGTTTTCTTCAATCCATCGTCTCTTGAGTCTTTTGCTGCTACTCCTGCTTGCTTGCTCCTACTGAATAAATCTTAAAAAAAGAATCGAAAAATGCCTGTATAGAGAGAAATCGCCAAGCGCGCGTTGGGTCGGATCATCCATCCATGTCACTCGGTCACCAGATCGTTCACCCAATTCAGATCCGGGCTTGGCTCTCCAATTCCAGCCTCGTACCCGATCCCCAGTCCGCTACTCTCGCCACCACCACCACCATTTCCACCACTTCCAATCACCTTGGTCGCCAGCCTCCCATAGATCTTTGCTCGCAAATCCCTGCCCGATTCCACCCTTGGCACCGGCATCGATAGCATCTCCTGCTCCTCCAAAAGATCCTCCTCGCCCATCTCCATCTCCCACATTGTGTCCCACCTCGTCGGCTTGGTCGGGGTACACGGCAGGCTGACGCTCGTACCGCGCGGTACGGCGCACGGCGGTGCCCAGCTCCCCGCGCTCGCCCCCGGCCGGAGCGGGCTGGGGCCGCTGCTGTACTGCGGGCTGCACTGGACCCACCCGGCGGTACCGTGCTGCATACCGCCCGCGACGTGCGGCACGGTAACCGACTTCTGGAGCTCGAGCTGCTGGAGCGCGGTGACGAGATCGCACATGGCCTTATTGTGGAGCGGATGGTGGCTGGTGGCGGGGCTGGACGGCGCGGACGCGAAGCCGAGGCGGCGGGTGTCGAGGTGACGCCGCGGTACCGCCGAGGGCGACATGGGCGGCGACTGCGACGGCGAGAGTGGCGGGGAGAGCGGCGGTGGAGACTGCGCGAGGCCGACGAGAGTGGAGGTCGGGGAGGAGATGAGGCGTGCCGCGCTGCATGCCGCCACTGCCCGAGACGACTGCTGTTGCGGGCCCTGGTGGCAGCAGCAGTACGACGTCGACATGGCGCTGGAGGGCTCGAAGGAATCCAAGCCAAGCGACGGCGACGAGCCCGCGAATGGTTTGTCGCTGAAGCTCCGGAGGAGCGATGCCGCGGCCGAGGCGGAAGATCTTCGCGGCGAGCAGGGAGAGCCCACGAAGGGGGCGGAGGAGAAGGAATCCGGCGAGGTGGTGGCGCAGAAAGAAGAGGGCAGCGATGGCGACGAAGAACACGGCGAGGACGAGAAGAGCGCGTTTGAGGAGGAAGAAGAGGGTGGCGAGGAGGAAGAGGGCGTAGTGGAAGAAGGCGAATTGCTCATGGCCTGCGAGACCTGGGGAAGAAGGCGGAGCTGCTCGGACGTGTGCGCAAAGAAGCACACTCTCCTCTTGCAGCTCCGGCCATCCTTGCACGGCTGCGTGCGGTACCGCGCGGGATGCAGCCAGCACTCGAACACGCCGTGCGCCAGCTCGCAGGCGTCGCCGTTCTTGCAGCTCCCCTTGCGGAAGTCCGGGCAAGCAGTGCCCGAGTAGTGAAACCGCCGCGGATCTCTCCGCCGAGCCTTCTCGCCCGGATGAGCGAACGGACACTCGGTCCAGTCGTGGCTCCGGCCGCGCATACACCGCCGGACCTTGAACTCGAACATCCGGAACTCGTCGCAAGAGTAGACGTCCTCGGCGCTCCAGGTCGCTTCATCGCTGTTGTTGGACGGTAGGAAGCGGTGCAGCACGGTAGACAGCGCGGCGTCGTGCGAGGTGCCGCGCGGACTGTCCACCGGAGAGGACGGCGGAGAGGACGAGGTGGGAGAAGAGACGGTGGCCATTATGGATTCCAAAAGACTGCTGCTTTGCTGGTGGAGGTGGTGGTGGTGGTGGTGATGCATCTGGTGGAAGGGGGAAGAGGGCGATGAGAGCGGCGAGAGATTGTCCAAGAATGGCGATGTGGAGGCGGGATGATCCAGCGAGAAGGGCATATCATCGATCAACACTCCCGGCATCTTGAAATCGAAGAAAAAAATCGCTTGGGTCTTCCTTCACTGCAAGAATTGGATGAGCGGCGCCATCGTCTGCCTCTTCTTTCTTGTTGGGCGATCCAGATTCGATCGATCAAAGAGAGAGGAAGGCGCAAAGAAGAAGAAGAATGAGCTCTCGCGCTCTCCGTCAAATCAATCGCTAGCCAAGCTCCTACACTACAAATTTTTTTTCTTCCCCTAGGCAAGAACCAAAGAAGAAGCAAAGATAAGAAGAATCTCCTCAAGTTAGAAGGGTGAATGAAAAATAGGAAATGAAAAGAAGTCCCAAAAATTAGGTCAAACGAAATTTCCCAAATGTCCCAAGAAGAATGCGAAGAGAGGCCATTTTAACGGACCACCCGCTTAAAACTAACTTTACCTTTAAGACAAAGCCCATAGGTCCCGGGTTCGAATCCCTTCCCTACCTCGAAAATATCGCCGAGCAGCGGCCGACTAGCTATGTGACAAGTATAAAGATCTAATCGATGCCACGAACGCGTATGGATACTTTAAGGTTTATTCCATCTTTCCCCAGGTTTAATCCACTCCCGTTCGTGCACGATCGTGGCCCCTCTTTTCTTTCCATGGCGCCTCCATTTCTTTTTACTTCTTTCGGTCGCCCTTGGAAATTTTTACACGGGCTGTCCCTTGACATAGCGACACGACTTATCTCGACAAAGGAAAGAACGCGATCAAGCAAGATTCGCACTATAATGTCGTAAAAGAAAAGGTATATTCTTTCTTTCTTCTTTCCGCGAGCCGTTCCACGCGTACGGCTGTGGGGTCCGTGGTGATTGGACCATGGCCCATTCTCTTTTCCAACGTGAACCACAACCACCTAACTTAAAGTAGTGACCCAAACTTGATAAGGCTGCTTTTGTCGTACGGTGTGTGACCCGCAAAGAGAAAAAAAATAATTTCTTTCCCCATAGTTTTCTCAGGATATTTATTCGGGCGTTATCCACAGGGTCCACATGACGTGGAGCTTGACGCCGACAATGTGGGGGCGGCATATTCCACCCGGGATGCTCCGGTTGAGAGTCGTGAGCTAGAAAGCTAGGATTGTGCGCCATCATTTGCGTTGCGCGGTGCGCCATGGATTGATTCGATTGAAAGCTCTCAAAGGTAAAAGATTGAAAGAAACGAGGGGCGAAACAAAGCTTTATAGGAGAACTTGTAGCAAAGAGAAACTTTTCCGGGACTAGAAATCAAAATCGCCCCATCCATCCGCTTCGTCAGGGCTCGCAGAAAAATTAGGTTTAAGACAAGACTTGTTCGCGCCCAAAGAAATGCCCGTCAGACGTACGTGGCGGTTGCCAACAAAAGTGCCAAGACACGTGTCGGGCGGTGGAGGCGGTATCAGATATTTGTCCGGTGACATGGGGACCTCCCGACACGTTGCCTGCCCAAAATTTAACTCGCCGGCCAGCCGCCTTGTGTACGTGTCGCCCAATTCCCGGTGGCGCCAGTGTACGGAAGTGCATAACGGCCGGATTGGCCGTTACGTTTCCCAGGATCTGGATTTAGGGCTCCTGATTCTTAGGGCATGGCATAGTTAGGTTGTGGCACACTAGACATATGAGGTGTTGACCCGCCCATGAGGAGAATGTACGCAATTGTTCGCCAAAGGTGGTGGCAGCGAAATTGGGTATGTTATTAGGTGAGGATTGTTGTATGCCCACCAAACTCCACGCGGCGTGTAATGTGTGGTATCTTACAGAATCAAACTGAAAGAGACGCTCCACTTCAATACACATTTTGCTTGAATGTGCGGGAGTGTGTGTGTGAGAGAGAGAGGGGGGCCCTTTTCGAAGAACCCTAAAAACAGAGTGGTAAAGAAACAAAGGTAAAAAGAAGAAAAGGTGGCGGGCATGGCCTCTGGGCTCGAATGCAGGAGCGCATTTCCCCCCAAGATGGCGACCTGATTTTCTAGGATACGAGCAAGATTTGGTGGGTCCTGGGCTGACACGTGGTCGGGGTGGTCGTACGGCAATCTCGATGCTCCAGAGGTTGTCGGTTCCATTCCCTTCCCGGCCAGCTATATGCCGTGTCTGGGCCATATGGCCACAATCCCTGGCCACACCCACATCATGTTCCCGTGAATTATCCGATTGAAACGCTCGGTCTCGCGCTTGCTTCGTCGTCTTGCATGGAATCATCAGATAGAATTTTATGTTTTCGGCCAGGAAATGATTGATTGCTCCTCCCTTGGCCAGCAGCAAGAAAATCGTGATCGATCTCAATGTATTTACCGCACTGCTACCATGGCCCAGAGGTTTTTTTATTCAAGTCCTGGAGATTCTTGGACAAGCGAAGACACCTCAGAGGATCAAAGAGATCCTGGAGTTTTCAGGCAACTTAAACGCGAAGAAAGTATGGTACTAGTCCTTCTGCTGCGATCGTTTGGTGGTTTCCTCCTCGCATAGAATTGTCCCAAACGACACCTCGCGTCCTTCTTTTTGGACTTCCCCAGAAAGCGATTTGTTCCATAAAAAGCTTGGTTGAATGTCCGAGAGCGTGCTATTCTATCTCGAATCGGACCTTATTCCTGGAACCAAAACTATGGCATGTCAGTGAAAGAGATTGGACGCTCTCTCGATCAAAGCTTTGTTCTTCTTTGTAGGCCAGCTTGTCAGAGAGCCTCTCAGAGAGCAACACCTTGCAAGGTGTTGCTTTGAAGCTCTCCAATCCAACACTATTATAATATAGGTATATGCTTGACTGGGTCCCCTGCGCAAGCCAAAGCATGGCACCCACGCACCAAAGAGAAGAAAAGCAAAGCCCAGGCTCAGTGGTTCCATCGGGAACATTAAAACATTGGCAAAACGTGGAAATCTTTTGAGTTGAGGCTTCACAATCTTTGAAGCGCATCAAACTCGAAAACCACAGCTCACCAGCTCACTTGCGAGCTGTCATCAAAACTTGTAAACAACCTCGGAATAAGCTGTGAGAAAAGCCGCAAACAAGCAAAATCTCTCTCTCTCTCTCTCTCTCTCTCTCTCTCTCTCTCTCTCTCTCTCTCTCTCATGTAAACATCCTCGGAATAAGCTGTGAGAAAAGCCTTAAACAAGCAAATCAATCTCGTGTGTGTGTGAGAGAGAGAGATGAGAGAGAGGGCGAGAGAGAGACACTGTGTGTGTTGAGTGCTCTGCTCCATTATCAGGAACACGCGTTGATCCCAAAGGCTGACACCCAGGCTGTTTGGAACTGAGCATTTCCCACAACCTTGTCGCCCAGCAGCGAGCGATTTCGATCGACCCGACCTGGAAAAACATAAATGCAACTGTTTAGAGGCACTGTCCACTAGCCCGTATTAAGATTAAGTGGATCCCCTGAAACCAGCCATGCGGCTATAACTTAGCAGCCGCGTAGTAGTCGAAAGGCTCATAGACACGGTCCAAGCAGCGGGCAGCTTCCAAGTAAACCCAGAGTGTTGTCCGCTAGCTCCTCCACAGCCTTGGATCTTCCGTCCCAGTTTGGATACTCGGCCCTTGTTTTATGTCCGCGAGCACGTCAAGGTGGCTCTCTGCGACAAGGATTTTTATATGGTTGGGCTGCTCACCGCTTTTTTACGTGATTAATGAGACAAAAGCGATTTACCGTGAGTTTGAGAATGTTTCTAGGGGACGCCGAAGGTCGCAAGCGATTCCGTCCAGCAGTTTTTCTGTGGTTTAGTTTCACAGGACAAGAAGAAGCATGAGAAGCTATGTAACACATCCTCCTTAGTGTGGCCAGTAATTTTTTCAGGAAGTTCACTTTCCATGGCTGATGCAAAATGCTTAGTATAATCTAAAAAATCATATAGAATATTCTATTAGCCAGAAACTATCATTTGGGTGATCTCATTGCCAAATGTTGAGCTCTTGTGACTCGGAGCCGATTACTTGTACATGACCATGAATAGAAAATATTCTTCCAGTTCGATTGTGATTAAGAGAGTGATCATTGATTTAAGCGCAGTTCCAGATACAGACAGTTCATGCAAGGGAACGACTCCATCCTTGGCAGCTGCCATGGCTTCCACCACATTTTTCCAGTCCTCACTCCTCAGTGGGTGCCTCATCGATCTTGGTCAGAAAGTTCGGAAGGAAACCTTCAACAACAAAGCTTTGGGCATTCGCCATGTAGTCCCGCTTCACCACCTCCCAGTTTTTGCAGATTTGACCAGGTTGTGAGCGTAGCGCCACTCGCAGAAGCTGTCGCAGCAGCAGAATGGCTCCCCCGCAGTGTGCATAAATGTCATCCCGAATGGCAAACACCTCCGCTTCAAAGCCCCTCCAGGTTCAAGGGCGACTCGCTGATGACCTACGAACTCTTTGGCCTTTCAAGTGGCCTCACGGGAGTAAGGAGATCCCTTAGAGCACTCAGCTCTGATGTTCGATTAAAGAACCTCCCAGAAAACAGATCTGGCACTGAGGTGAACCATTCGCATAAACTAAGGATTCACTTTATGGATGAATGGAGAATTCAGATTTTAAAGTTTTGGCCCATTCAAAATTAAGATATTGACCCAGATAGTTGCATAATACGGTTGAAAAGAATTGAATTTATGTGAACCTCTGCTGTGCTCTGCTCCTCCGCTGGTAATCGGAGAAGGAATATTCTGGAGATGATTTGGTTGTGCTACAACTTCTCTCATTGCCAGATGCTCAGCTCTCGTGACTGGCATGACAATCGGAGTTGATACAACTTTGATGTCCCTGTCCCAACCAGTTGGCTCCCTGTATTGGAGGAGATAGCAACGAACCATTGATGCAAGTGCAGCTCCAGACACAGTCTCACACAGTTTCTCCACGGGGACGTCTCCATCCTCAGCAGCTGCCATGGCTTCCACCACCTTCTTCCAGTCCCCGCGCATCCATTCGGGTGCTTTCAGGACAAGTTTGTTGCGGGTCTGCATGCGCCGTACGAAACCTGATTCAACAACGTCGTTGGCAATCCTCATGTGTATCAGTTTCTCCTCCTCCCATACTTCGCGCAGACTTTACCAGGCTGTGAGCGTGGTAAAGTCTTTTCGATAAGCACGCACAGCTGAATAATGGCTCCCCCATAGTGTGCATAGACATCATCCCAAATTGCAAACACCTCCGCTTCAAGCCCCTCCCGCTTCAACTCCGATTTATTGAGACACTGCCTCACGAACTCCTTGGCCTCCTCTTCGTTCAAGTGCCCAATAGTTGCGTGGACGACGTCATGACCCCTCAAAGGTCCCCTGTCACACAACCATTCCTTAAAAGAGGTTCTCCAATGAAGCGAAAACTACGTTAGCCCACTCTTGCTGAGAGATCCGCACCAGGAACTTCAGTACGGCATCTAGCTCCTTCGCACCCTCTGCGGTTGTGGTCCAGTGAGTCAGGAAATCTGCTTGATCGGTGATGATTGTGGGAAATCCTTTAGAGTGTTTGTACTTGGAAATGTAGCGCGTGAAAGCAACCTGCATTCTGTCCATGGGATCCTTCTGCTTCAAGAAAAACTCATGCAAACACCCGGGCGTCTTCAGCACGATCTTAAGAAGCAGATGCGAGGAGACTTTATCAAATAACCGGGCATCTGCTCCATTAAGCTTAGGAGACTTTGCAAAGCTACCAGCTAAGCTGATGGGAAAATCTGAAGGATTTGGAACACCTTGGTAGTCACCAGCACGCTGCCTAGATGAGAACTCGCGAAGAAGCGCCGTTTTGCCCGAGTCCATTGGCCCTATATATGCGAACATTCCAATCCAAGGATGTCCATACAACGTTTAAAAGCTGGATGGAACACCCATCGAGTAGTCGCCATAGCCACACCCTTACCCTAACTAAGGAAGATGACGTTTCTCATCAGCACAAAGTTTCGTCGAGGACATGAAGAAGTGTTCCATGTCCACAGTCATGAGATTGTTGATGTCTCGTTCGTACCCGAGAATAAACCTGCGTGAGAGGACGCAGCTAAGAAAACTACTTACGTTTACTAGATATAGGATTGTCTTACCACACACATCAAAGCGAAAATGGTAAGTTTTAGCAAAGGTAGCCTTGCTGCTTCTACAAGAAAGATGTCATAACACGCTTGAAAAGAATTGAGCAGGGACGACCAATTTTAAGGCTCTGTTCATCTTTGTTATGTATATCTGGTTGACCTTTAGTTGTTCCACTTGCTAGCTCTAGTTCTTCAGACAAATACGTCTCTGTCTGTGAAGCGGATCCCTTTTCAAACTCGTTCTAGCTGAAACACTTTTTTCAAAAGGTCTACAGGCAAGTCCTCTCATCCATAAATTATCATGTCGCTTTGGAGTTGTTTGACGAAAGACCATAAAGCACTACAAGGTAATTCCCATGGGCGGACAAGGAACTTGGATTTTCCCGACGCATGACTTTTCAGGAAAGAGGACCGACACAACATCCCATCTTCGTTAACGTGATACCATAATCAAACGTCATTAAATCCTATGTCTCGCTGTATAACTTGGAGCTGTGCTACAACATTGCGCTGGATCCCAGCTACAAGTTTCCATCGATGGAGCTCCACTTTGTGCTCGCATCGCTTGAGTTTCTCTATGTGATGCTCGCCTTGGTAATCTAGAAGAGGACGATGCCAAAGCTTTAATTGTTGCCTTCATTCACACAATGACTCCATCATTCTAGCGAGGAGTTTCTCGTTTGCCTCTCTCACCAATACGTGCTTGATCCGCCCATCCCTCTCCATTATAATTCCAAGCCTTCGGAGTTTATCCACAGCGTCCTTGACCTCAAATTCACTTGTCCCATTCTCGAAGTAGCTATCAATCACTTCATTGCATCGGCGCCGCAGTTCCTGGAAAATGAATCGATTGAATACTTGGTTGAATGGACCAAAGGAAACCTCTTCACTGATGGCTCCGCCAGGGTTTCTCATCAGCACAAAGTACGCTATGATCGCCTCTTTCACCTGCAAGTAAACACGCGATCAAAGAAAGAGTTTTTGAGGCGAAAAGTCGTAGTACCTCCTGCTGGATAGCTTCGTCGAGGACATGGAGAAGTGTTCCATGTCCACAGTCGAGTAGTTTCCCAGCCATGAGATTGTTGATGTCTCGTTCGTACTCGAGAACATTCATATTAAACCTGCGTGAGGCGAGCCATAAGCACGCAAGTGAAACCAGCTAACAGATCTACTTACGTTACGTAGATCTTCATGGCGTAGCTGACAAACGCAACAACAATACCAATCACGATGGCCGCTTGAGAACGTCGTCTCAATGCCGAAACAATTGCTGCCTGAAATTCATAGATTTGAGATATAGGATTTCATTGCTTCTCTTACCACACAGATCAAAGCGAAAACAATAAGTTTTATCCAGTCCTGCAAAGGGAGCCTTGGATGCTTCTTAGCGGGCTGCAAGAAAGATTTCATAACAGGCTTGAAAAGAATCGAGCTTACGAGGACTAGTTCCATGTCCGCCATAGGAATTTCCTTGTAGTGTTTTATGTAGATTCCAAAGTCTTTCTTTCTCTTAGCATCACACAACTCCGTGACTTTCCTGCAGCCCAAAGCGATATGATAGTTTACGTTAATGAGAGAACTTGCCTGTAAACTATGATCGTGTGATCAAAAGTCGGATCTTGCAGGGTAAACCTTTTGAAAAAGTCTTTCAGCTCGAACGAGTTTGAGATGTGGATCCGCTTTACGGAGACGTATTTGTCTGAAGAAGTGTGCGCGGTTCTAGTGCCAGCAAGTGAACAAGTAAAGGTCAACCAGATAACTATAAGAAAGATAAACAGAACCTTAACATTGCTTGTCCGTGCGCTTTGGATTTCCCGACGCATGATCTTTTCAGAAAAAAAGAGGCATTTTTGTAAGTAGGAACTGATGGAAGCACCATACCTGAGGCGGTTCCACAGTTTCTTGAATGTCGCATCCCAACAAAACTGAACAATATAATCCAGCTTCGCTTTGAAGAAGTAAGCTCTCTTTTGATCCGTTCCAATACCTCGGCGAAACACAACGTAAAATCGACCCAGATCCGTGTTTGAAGGGTTTGAGTATGGAGTATCTACGAAGAGCTCGTCATCAAGCTGCATTAGGAGAAGATGAACACGAATCTAAAGGGAAAAAGAGAAGATCAAAGAAAAAAACCTGTGTTTTATCGATCCTTGTAGGAAGATGAAAGAGATACTGACTGGAGGTAGCCACATTCCATTCGTAGTCGCTCAAAGCCTTGAAGTTGCTCTTGCTCATGATCTATGCATCGAGTCAAACGATACGCGAGGATAAAGAGAAACCACTCACACTCGCAAAGTGCTCCAAAAATCGTGCCTCGTGTTCTTTCACTTGAAGATCCGAAATTTCTTCAATCTTGCTCGAGCTGTTCCCAAGTGGGTTGAACAGATCATACAGCTCCTGAGAAATATCAGCTTGTTAGCTTGCAGACACAAGAGAACGAAACATACAGTTAACTGTTCCTTCCTGGTACGAAATTGCAAGCCGAACATTTGCTCCATCCTCTGACAAAAGAGCTGGAACTCATGCCGTTCATCTGCGAGAAAAAAAGAAGTTAGCCTCAGCTTGGAACCAGCATTTACCTGGATCAGCAATGCAGGAGCTCAACTTAGCAATGAGCTCCTTCTTGGGCGTTTCGATCACGACCTCGCGCTTGAGTCGAATGCTATGATCTTCTTCTTGGAACTCTATCTCCGACCTGGAAGAACACCATTGGCGAAAACCCACCACTTTCAAAGACACTTACATGCCCGTGTTTCGCGGATAAGCCCTCTAAAAACCCAGGACAGAGAGGAGATATGTAGATACTGCTGAATTTATTGAAAGCATAAAGTAGTAGTACAAAGTACCTGTGGGGGCCGATATAATCCGCTGCTTTTAAAATCCAGCCCAGCCCGCCGGAGCCTGAGATCTAGAGCTCTGCGAAGAATCAATTGTTGATGATCGAAAACCACCCTTTGAATCCTGTTGCTGCTGCTGCTGCTGCTGATTTAAACTCATCGAGCTGGAGCCGCTACTGTTGAATCCCCACGTGTCTCCTCCGCTCAAGCTCGCAGCTCTAGCGTGTTGCCTTCTCGGTGGTCCAGAGCCTGTATTAAGCGGAGGATCACTGGACGGTGGCGTAGGAGATGACGACTTCGTGGAGCTTCCTTTGAAGGCATCACCAAAGGCTGACCACGGCGAAGAGTCGACGAGGGGCGCTTGTTGTGAGAGTCCCTTCGAAGGAGCTTGCGCTGTCAAACCGCTTTGCAAATCCCAGATAGAACCGTTCTGTTTGTCCTTGTCTTTCTCAGTGTCCTGCAAATACATTTCGCCCATGTTAAGCCCATGCGTTCGAAGGATTGATCGATGTTCTCTGGTTTACCTGTTCGGTCGAAGAATTCCAGTTTACTGGACGAGAAGTGCGTCTCGATTGAGCACTAGCAGACTGGAGAGGCGGCTTTGGCATCGGTTCCTTGCTGACCGTCGCTGCAGCTAAAGCGGACTTAAGCTCATGTATCTCTTGTCTCTGTGACCGGCAAATTGCTGTTAGCTTCTCATACTTCCCGGCGAACTCTGTCTTCTCAGCCAGTGCCTGCTTCAGTTGCAGCTTCAGCTTCTCCGTTTCTACATTCTTGGCACTCGCTGCGCTGTCGAATTCCGCCACGAAAGCATTGAAAGCCCCGTCATTTGAAACTTCGGACACCTTCGTTGAAGGAGCACTCAGTTGCTGTTCCATATCCACTTCAGACATCATGGCGTAGCCGTCCCCATCACCATCGTCTTTATTCCAGGACCCGACCTTCTTCACAAAATGTGCCACGCCACCCTTCTTGAAAAGGTTTCCCGGCCTGGTTTCTACATTAGCGTTTTCCGTCTGTACAGAGTTGACGCTATTTTTCTGTGTTGAGTTGGACCCGTTAAAACCGGCAGACCATCCAGGAGGCGGACCTCCGCTCGTCACAGGCGGAGTTACGCTGTTTTCGAGATTATTACTCGATACTGAATCACTGTCATGCTTTGCATCTGCTGCTAACTGTGACGACCAGAAGCTGCCGGCCGTCTTTGCAGCCGGAGGTGGTGACGGAGTCTTTACAGGCGGTTCTGCCGATACAAAGAGTCAGTCATGCAGGCATAGAATCACATCTGACGAAGGCCGACTTACTTGTTTCAAGAGAATCCTGAATGATTGAACTATTTACAGTTGACGAAGCTTTGTCTGGGAAAGTTTTCCGGCTCTCTATCGGAAGAGCCTCGTTCACGCGATTCCAGACCTGCCACACAAATCACACTTAATACTACCGGAAAACAAAACAGGCTACGTAAGTGCACGACAGGCAGTTTGCTGACTCTCGAACTAACCTATGAAACAATGCAGATGTGGGAGCCACCCTTGCCTGCAATATGTCTGGTCGTGAGCCTGGACTTGGCATCAGCATGTCCTTGATGAGCTGCGTAACGTTTTCACTGTATCTGGGGGCTTCTGGAATTCGATAGTTTCCATTCAGGATTTGTAGCTTCGATTCCCCGTCAAATGCAGACTTAAAGAAACATAGTCTATACAAAAGGCATCCAAGAGCCTGCAAAGACCACCGCACCAAGTGAATAAAAACCATTTAACAAAAGGAAAAGTAAGTGACCAACCCAGATGTCAACTTTCTCGGAGATTAATTCCCTCTGATAAAGGTCCCACATCTGTAAGAAACAAGAGAAATCGTCAAAGACACGCAAATTACAAGGACCAGTTCGTTACGTTACCTCGGGAGCACGGTACGCGGGGGTTGTGTGTTTTCTGATAACGTCTTCCTCCACTCCCATCTCTTCAGCTCTCTCGAACCTCCTGTGATTCGTAGAAATGCTCCCAAAATCACAAAGCTTCCACAAGCCATTTGCACCCAGCAATATGTTCTCTGCCTTTAAGTCTCTGCAAGAAAAAAAAAAAAAAAAACGTAAAATAGAAAAGATCAGTAAGAACTTGCGGTCTAAACTTTGCGTCCAAACCTGTGAGCGATGGGAGGAGACTGGCAATGCATGGCATAAACCGCATTGCAAATGTCGCGAAAAATCGAGAGGAGCTGCCTCTCCTCGAAAAATCCGGCACCTCTAGCGTCCAAAACAGCCACCAGCGTTTTCTCGCAGTAATCCATCACGAGAAAGCACTCCTTGGTGCGTCCATTGGCAAGCACTGCATGGGCATGGAGCGTGACAATGTTGGGATGCCCACGCAAAGCCTTCATCACCGCGACCTCCTTGCGAACCAAGTGAAGGGACTCGTCATCGTTGCAAATCAAATGCTTGAGGGCGTAGTTCTTCCCGGATTGCGCGTCCCTGGCGAGATACACTGACGAGAATCCCCCTTCCGCGACCACGCTCCTCACCTGGAGCTTCAATGTGCCAACCTCCACGCTCTTGCCCTCCAGCCCGGCCTGATCCTTGGGCATCAGCTGCTTGAGGCGCCACATCGTGGAAATATCGAGCCACAGCGCGATCTAGCCGCCGGATATCGTCGATCGAGCAACGCGCATTCCCAAAACTCCCTGCCGCTTACCTCCGAGGGGATCGATCAGATCCAGCGCGCGGCTGCGATCGAGGAACAGTGGATCGGCGGAGCCGCCAGGCGTGCGCTAGTGCTAAACTAAAACCCTATTCCATCCATCTGCTAGTAGCATGTCAATGTCTATGATTCGAACATCACACCATTCTTGGTCAGGAGTCGAGCACTGGACCGATCTTTGTTGTGGCAAGTCATGTCTAGTATGGGAATCGAGCACCATACCGGTCTTTATTGTGCAAGTAATTTCTTGAATGGGATTCGAGCACGAGATGGATCTTTGTTGTGGCAAGTTTCAAATGAACTGAAGAGACATTGGAGGAGGGAAAGAGAAGAGGTAGGGCAATCGTCGGCGATCGTCGGCGATAATCCGATCCCGCGCGTATTTCCGGGTTGCAGCTTGGATCTAGCCTAGAAATTTGGGCGAGCGCGGCAGGGATAGATTTATAGGGTTGAAGGATCTCTCTCCTCGTCTTTCTCGTTGATCTCTTCTTCTCGATGAGCAGAGGAATGCCAGTGGATGAGGAAGGAGCGAGGTAGAGCAAGGCGGCGGCTTAAGATTTCGAGGAATTGGGCGCTACTTTGCCCGCACAGGGGAATGCATTCGACGTGCACAGCGCTCCACAATGAAGCGCGCTTACAAATTACGTGAGTTTCTTCGCATTCGGTTTTCTTTCAGAGCTGTTGGTTGATCTTGTTGGTGGCAATCCAGAGGAGTTTGTTGCGCATTCTTCCCAGGTGAATTGCCTCAAGATCGGGAGGAAAACATCGCGGGTGCTCGTCACCGGTGGAGACGATCACAAGGTCAATATGTGGGCGATCGGCAAGCCCAACGCGATTCTGGTAAGCACAGCTTTTGATAAAGCTAGGAAAGCATGGTTAGGGGCATTCTAGGCATGGCTGGGAGAGTATCTATTTCTCCATAGTTTTTTCAAGTGTGGTTTGGAACCTTGCAGATAGCTTGTGTAAGTTCTCTCCCAGCGGCCAGTCGGCATTGTGATCAAGAGGGATATAAGGAAAAACAAAGTTGGCGCATTGCATTCTAGTAGGAAGCGACGATCTTATGGACTGAGAAGTATTTCCTGTTTGTGTCACAGAGTTTAGCCGGGCACTCGAGCCCTGTGGAGTCCGTGACTTTCGATGCGGCTGAATCTCACGTCGTTGCTGGCGCAGCCAGTGGTGCTATCAAGCTGTGGGACCTCGAAGAAGCGAAGAGTAAGGTTTTACTCAATTTCCTCCTTTTCCGTTCTCTCCTGAAACTCACTCAGAGTTTCTGTGATTCCAGTTGTCCGCACTCTTACCGGGCATCGTTCCAACTGCACGGCAGTCGATTTCCATCCGTTTGGAGAGTTTTTTGCATCCGGCTCGCTTGATTCGAACTTGAAGATTTGGGATATCAGACGAAAGGGGTGCATCCATACATATAGGGGTCATTGCTGTGGAGTGAATTGCCTCAAGTTCAGTCCAGATGGTCGCTGGGTAGTTTCAGGTGGAGAGGATAAAACTGTGAAGGTAATGTTTTAACGTTAATTTTTCTGTGCGTCCTATCCGTGCTACTAAGGTACAGTTGTGGGACTTGACTGCTGGGAAGCTCATCCATGATTTTAAGTACCATGACGATCAGATTCTCAGTCTAGACTTCCATCCTCATGAATTCCTTCTTGCGACAGGTTTGGCTTTACGTGATATTTATACTCCTCTTCCAACTTGCATTTTCAGGTTCTGATGACAAAACCGCAAAGTTCTATGACTTGGAAACTTTCGAGCTCGTTGGTTCTTCCGGACCTGAAGTAAGTTATTTGTAACTGCGGTCACTTTGTTCTGATTTTGTTTAACTGTGTCAGGATTCTGGAGTTCGACCGATGATCTTCACTCCTGACGGCCGGACGCTGCTGTGTGCATTGCGGGAAGGCTTGAAGGTACCTTTGAGAAGTTTGGTTATTTTAAGGAAACTGTTTAGTACTTGGCAGGTTTATTCATGGGAACCATTACGATGCCATGATGTTATTGATGCCAACTGGTCACGCTTGGCTGATTTGAATGTGCATGAAGGGAAACTCCTTGGATGCTCTTTCAACCAAAGTTGTGTGGGAGTATGGGTCGTGGACTTACCTGTAAGCGTCTTTTGCATCTATTATTGTGTCTATAATATATGTTTGCAGCGAGTAGCCCCTTTCAGGAGTATTTCCACACCAAGAAACTTGAGATCTCCTACAAACAGTAAGCCTTTCCGCAATCCTTTCTACAGAAGGGTCTTACGTACTTAGTGCAGCGAATGGAGAGCACGTCTCATTTCAGAAAGTGAAAACGCCTTCTCCAGGGAGAGACCAGCCTACTATAGCGACCCCTCAAAGGCGTGGAAGCGCGCCTGAGCTTCAACCTTCAAGGCCAAATACCAGTTTAGGGACAGAAAGGACGTCGATAAAGCTTTCTTCTCTCAGAAAGAGTTCGGGCGAGCTATTGAAACGAAATAGTGACAGGGAAGCGGAATGTACAACTTTGGTGTCTCCAAAAACTCCACTTGCTGACAAACTCGAACAAAAGAACCACCCGGAATCGCACGGGGACAAAACTGGAAGAGGTGATGACGATGGTGGTATGTTCACCACGAGAAGGCGGCTGAGGAAACTAGAAGAAGACTTCTTACTTGGTCAGGCTTTGGCAGGTTTGCTGTCTTGTGACAACGTATCACGCGATAACCGGGTGTTTCTTTTTGCAGAAGCCGACTCTCCGAGAAACTTAACATCGTTTGGGGCTTCCACTACAGGTATGTACTTTTAGTGCATTATAATTATACTTATTTCGTTTCCTGGACAGCAGGTAATGGAAGGCCATGGTCTTCGAGTGCATATTGGGAAAGAAGGGAAAAAGAGCGCGAGAGAAGTGCGGGGCCAGACGCACGGAATGGAGGGAAGTTTTACGTTGAGCTGGATTCCGTATGTTTCTTTTGTTTATCTCTTTTAGGTTCTGATTTGCTGTTTGTTGTTACAGAAGAGAAGCCGAAGTTCATGTCAAGAAGATACTCGCGTAATAGAGGAAATTTTGCAGGAGCGAACTACTATGAGCAATACAATGCAATCTCGTCTTGCCAAGCTACAAGTATGTCTTAAGATAGTTTCCATTCGCTCCTGATGCAGATGTGCACGATGCAGGTTGTTAGGAGATTTTGGATGAAGAAGGATTTGAAGTCAGCAGTGGAAACAATGGCTAAAATGGGAGATAAATCAGTAAGTTTGATGGCTGCTCTCTTGTCAACTCATGCTTGCTTTGCAGGTTCTTGTAGATGGTTTAAGTGTTTTGATTGAGAGGAGTGATGTTTTTACTTTAGAAATCGCGGCCATGCTTCTGCCGTTGCTTACCGGCCTTCTTGCTAGTGCAACACAAAGGTTTGCAATGCATTATCGTGTGCATATCTTCTAAGCTTTTATGATTTATCTGCAGGCATGTAATGATCTCGATAGCGTTCACGTCGATGCTGGTTAGGAATTTTGGACATGTCATTAGCGACGCAGTCTTGACCTCTCCAACTTTGGGTGTGGATTTGCAAGCCGAGAAGAGGTTTGTGTGGTTTGTTTGTTTTTCTTTAGTTTCCTTTTTGTTATTCCAGGTTTGGAAGGTGTGATGCCTGTTTCAAGGAGTTGCAGCTTCTCAAACAAGGATTGAAACCATTTCTAAGGTACTCCAAAGGATGAAACTTGCAAGATCCAGCAGCCTTTTGCTTTGTTTATTGTCCAGGAAAAGCGGTGAGCTTGGCAAGGCTGCTCTTGATCTCAATTTGGCTTTAGACAGAATGAACATGTAAATCATGTAAATTATTTTTGATAAAACATTTGTTTTATTCATTGGCTATGAGGCAAAATGTTTGTATACCATCATTCATAAAAAACTTAACAAATGGGAGGATCATACATAAGTACATATGATCATTGGCAAAATAGTATCTCGCATCTAATCATGGGTCAAAAACGAGCTCTTCCTTTTTGCTCTTTCCACGAGAAACTTTGCTTTGCAATCTAGGCTGCTCTTTAACGAGCAAAGACGAAGAAAGAAAGAGGAGAAAAACAGACCTCTAGCTCTGGAAAACTGTGAAGTCTCTCTCAGTGGATGAGTTATGGCTTGCTTCCCCACCATTTCTTTCGACTCCGCTCCGACGAGGCCTCCAATCTCTGCAACACCATCTTCGTCTCCCTCACTTGCACCTTGAAATCCTTCTTCCATACGTCGAATCTCTGCTTGAGCTTCTTGAGCTCCATGTCGGGATCCAGCTCCGCGTCGCACTGTCCAGATTTCACCTCCACTATGAACTCGATGTCATCGCTGAATACCTGTGACCGGTGCTCGAATTCTCTCACCAAGTGCTCCACAACGGCTTGTCCCTGGAAACATCGATAGCTTAAACTTGAGAAAGTTGAGAAGCTAAAGAAAATACTTTTACCTCTCTGTTGATCGATGTGGTGGTGGACTCGGGAGTCCTGGTCCCGAAACTCGTCCTCTCGTCCCAATCAAAATCCGAATCGTTTTCGCTCTGCGGAAGGATCGGCCTTGCAGCTCGCTGCCTGGACGCATTGCTTTGCACCTCAAAGAGATCGTTTTGCTTCGCGTCGAGCACGGTGGTAGCCAGGCTCTTCTTGGCCGCTTCCAAGCTCTGCTGCAAGGAGGCCATCTGGTTTTGCCACAGGCCCTCCATCCTGTTCATCTTGTCCTCGTACTCGCTCCAGCGCGTTTCGTACAGCCTCAGCTTCATCACCAGCTCGGCATTCTCGTCTTCCTTCTCGCACAGGTTCCTTTCCATCTCGAGAAGCCTCTTTTGCATCTCAAAGACGGTCTTTTCTGGCACAACTTTGGTGGCGCCATCTTTTTCCGGAGTTTCAAACACCGTCTCTCGCATTACCTTGCAGTCGACATCCATATCCAAGTCCACTGCTGAGATATTCACGTACTCACTGTCTTCCTCAGACGGCTCCGTATGGTGTTTTCGTTCATTCCGGCATAGCCATCCTCTCACCACTGTTACAAAAAGACCGGTTAGCATGTATTTGGTTAGCAACTTAGTTTTTAACTTACGTGCTTGAACCAGGATCAATCTAGCTCGAGCTTTCATGTAGGCCATCCGAGCCCGTATGCTCCGAAAATACTTTTGTAATGTGACCGTTGCGAAGAGTCTCTGCTGCCAGATTCTGGACCAGCGTCTCGCATGAACGAAAGCCTTGTAAAACTTCTGGATTGTGACAGCTGCCTGATGGATAAGTTTTTGCTGGTGGTATCCACGTCTTGATATGATGCCTCTAGCGTGTTTCTGTATGATGATGCTAGCGGACCATCTCTTGAGTAGATTGTTGTAGTGCTTTCTTGCCAGCATGCCTCTTGAAACCTTCTGGAGCTTGATGGCCGACACGTGAACTAGCTTGAGGTGCTCGTAATAAACCTGAGCTTGCCGCCTCCTCATCACTGCGACGAGAAAGTCATGGCCGGAAGAAAAATCAGATAAATTCATACATGATTGTAAGCAGATTGTGGTCCTCCGCAAGTGGAGATATTCAATGCGATCTCTCCTTCCTCTGAAACGGGATTGAGTATAAACCACTGCGTTCAATGTGCCTGTACGCAGGTGCTCCAGAATTCCTATCTGCAACGCATGATATGTAAAGTTATGGCAGTTTGTGTTTCACAGCTCAACGCAGCTCACCTGGCCTGGGCGGAAAAACAATTTACTTAAGCCGGCTTGAAAGGCACCAGGTAGAATTGAATTTTTTTGAAGAACTAGAAGGGAATCATTGCGATAGTCATTATGCCGAGACTTGGTTTGGCCAAGTAGAAATCCATATCTAGAAAAGAAGAAAAAAAACAAGATGTTAAGAAACTATAAGAGCAAGAAAGACACCGACACAAACCTCTGTGCAAAATGCTCGTAGGAGTAGCGCGTTGGGTATCCAGATCGCGCGATCCGAACGACCTCTAACACGCCACAGCAATGCAACTGCTGCAGTACGAGATCAAAGTCGAAAACGTTCCGGAGCTGCCTGTTATTTGGTTTGACACATCGTATAAAATGCGGGCTTGTGGTTTCCAGCCTTTCCATCAAATTAAGCAGCTGATTCTGCAGACCATGAAAAAAGAAAGGTTAGCAGCAAATAAAGCTTGACATCAAACTTGATCACCTTGAACTTGGTGGACACACTCCGCCTTTGTAAATCAACGCCGTTGAGTCTTCCTGTACCCCCAAGCTTAGCCGCAAACTCTTTTGCCAGATCATGCTCGCAAGAGCCAAGCAGTTCCAGAAGATCAACATGGAGAAGGTCTCTATTTTTCTCGAGGAATCCGGATGTCCCGTAAGTTACCTGTTCAAAACAATGTGAGCAATATACACAAATTATCTTGCTTACAGTACTTCTCCTGCATAGTGATTGATCGTAAAGCCGGGAGAGCGCTCGGCTTTGAAACAGCTATTTCCTTTCAAATGTTCGCTAAGTTTCAAAGCTAAGCTAGCTTCTGTTGCTTTAGGAAAGCTGCACTCCTCATCTAGCAAAGTGATTAGGCCCACTGGTTTCTGCACGTAAACAAGAGCTTATACACTTTCTGAGATTTCAAACGGGATAATACCTTTTCAATAAGGTCCAAACACTCTTGGTTGTCCACAAACTCGATCTTCGTCCAATCAATTCGTTCAGAACTGTATTCCTAAAATGAGAAAAGAAAAAGAAAGAAAAAATAAAGATCCAAATCATTATAACAGATGAGCTTACGTCCTGCTCAATTTTGAAGAGGTGGTGATTGAAAAACTGTTGAAGCCTCTCATTTGCATAGTTTATGCACAGCTGCTCGAAACTGTTGTTCTACACATGTTGAAGCAAACTGTCAAAGATCGGTGAGAAGCGGCGTGTGTGATACTTGTTACCTCAAAAGACTCAAACCCATAGATGTCGAGAATGCTGATAAACTTCGACTCGCAAGCCTTTCCGGCGTCCAGAGAGTTGTTTATCTTTTCAACCAGCCACTCAAATAAACAGGAATATATGGCTTTTGCCAACGCATCTCTTGAGTCGATGGCCTGTGACGAGCGAAAACGAGCTTACATATTGCCATTCCATGAAACCTATCCATAGCATACCTGGGCCTCAGTCAGTTGTTGGATTATGACCTCGCCTCTAGCATTAATTTTACGGGTGCACAGCGCCGTATGAAGCACATCTATCTGGCATCCTAGTAGCGACGCGACAGACCTTGCAGCTGACAAAGTGGCCATTAGCGTGATTTCTCATTTTCAAGCTATTTACTGATACCTTCGTCAACAGCCATTGTCGAATAGTTTTCGCTCTCAGCCGTGTGGAACGAGATGTTCCCCAGCCAAAGAACCGCTGCAAGCATCTCAAAGAGTCGTTGCTGGTCGTTTCTGGGAATTCTCACGCGATCCATTGCATTCTGGAGTAAAAAAGGAGTGTTTTGCCATCTTGCATAGAATCAGGCATTATGATTCTGCCTACCAACATCGCCCTAAACTGTGCTGCATCATCCACGGCATCAATAGTCAAGCACCCGTTTCGACTCAAGTATTGATAGTCAGATGCGAGCTTCAAGTTGATTTTCTCTGAAGAAAACAACCACCTACAGTGAGCTCATGAAACTTTGTGGAATCAGAATAAACTTACGTCGTAATGCATGGTCGGCTCCAGCACAAAGCTGGTAAAAGACATGATAAGAACGCTCTCCATAAGATTGATAAACAACTCTTGACTGCACCAAACATAAGTCAGAAACAAAGAAACAAGCGAATAAGAGGTACCTTTTCCAATAAATCTGCTCGTTATGCGTCGATAAACATGCACAGAAAACAAATGATAAAGCGGTTCAGTACAAAGGCATAAAATGTTAGTTTCAGGCAGCACTAATGACAAACTCAGGAAATAAGAATGAAAACAAAGCAGAAGATGACAAAGAAAAGAAACGCTGAAACTAGACAAGCTACCAGATGAACATGTCAGCTCGCATTGGGCTCACAAGTTTGAATCTTTGCCCCAGATATTGTCCCAGACTCATCAAAGTAGATGTCAATCAATTTTCCCTGGAGTACAGGAAAAAGAGTTGTAAGTTACAAGTAGCAACGACAGAATGACTTACAAATCGGCTGGAGTTGTCATTCCTTAGCGTCTTTGCATTCCCAAAAGCTTCAAGTAACGGGTTACTTTCAAGGATTTCATCCTCTACGCCCCGTCCTCCACCGAATGTAGCGATGTACTGCATAGCTATTTTTGCTGTTTCCGTCTTTCCAGCACCACTCTCGCCACTGAAAAGTATCAGCATTGAAACAATGCATCACATAAATTCCAGGCAAATCCTCACCTTATAACAACAGACTGGTTGATTCCATCTGATAACTAGCTTGATCAGAAACATAAAACATGAAAAAAAATTAAATAAATGACTGATACCTCTAAACAAGGCCGTGCATGCGCTGTCTGTAATTGCAAAAACATGTGGATCGAAGTTCTTAGACACCTTATCACGATACATTTGAACACGCTCGGCACTGTAGAGTGGGATTTTCTTGAACGGATTGAGAGCAATGAGCACCGGCCCAGCATTTGTCTGTGGTCGCCAAAACAATGTTATAGAAAAAGAAGGAAAGAAAGCTTACATAAATATTGTCCTTCTCAAAACGAGTTTTCAAGTCGTGTAGAACAGAGGGCTCGTTCAGATAGCTCAGCTTGGTCAGATCATCGACGCCTTCAAGGATATCGGGATTTGCAGGATGGATATCCTTCACTGCAAGTTCGAGAACCTGGAGAACAAGCACAAAGCTATCGATAACAAAAACACGCCGAAACTTTCCTATGTACCTCGTCATCGTTGGAGCTACAGATCAAAGATCCATCCTGTAAGACCGACTGGACACTGCCAATCTCCCAGTTTCCAGTGGAAGCTTTGAACCAGATCCTAGAATGCTGTAACATCAAGTCGAGCTCGTCAAAAGTTCAGAACAGAGAAGAAACAAAGATTGACAAGTACCTTCTCGAGTTTCTCTGTGTCTGGAGCTTCCTGAAAGCCTTCTCCTAAAGACTCATCCATGCCGACTTTACACGAGGACTTTACCGGCTCGCTGTGTTCTTCCAAAGAACACACATCAAAGAACGCTGTGGATGGAGGAAGCTCGCAAACCGGTCTTTGGAGCAAAAGAGCTCGATCGATTCCCACTCGATCGTCGCGGACGATGCGCATTGTTTCGCTCCTCTCAGTTCTTCCTCATCAAAACGCCGCCCTGCAAGGCGAGATTTATTCCCACGCTGTTAGCATCCAGAGCCGGCTTCCGGAATTTTATGAGCGAAGGGAGAGAGAGACAAGGGGGAAAGAAACAAAGAGAGCGACTGTAGTGGACCACACGCAGTGAGCCACAACACAGGAAAAGAATCAATCAAATGAATCCGACCGATCGATCGATCGATCGAGCAATGTATCAGCATCAAATCACCGCTCCATCGCATTAAAGAATGGATCGATCGAGGCTACTTACAAGATTTGCCGGCCTAGGCACTGTTCTTCCTTCGCGTTGCGCGCCCTTCGTTTAGGGCAAACCAGCTCACTTTTTAGGGCAAAAACAGGGCATATTGGGATGGTCTCAAACTTCTCGCGGAGGTCTGCCGCTGCGATTCCAGCCAAGAATCAGGCATTCTCGAGCCCTGGATCCGTGAGGAAGGTATATCGACCAAAGATCCAGGCCGCAGCGAGCTCCAGCCCTTCGCGTGACGATCCACAGGCTCCAGCTCGATCAAAATCGAGCGTTTTCAAGGGAGTGATCGATCTTTCCGGTGGCGGCAGTAGCGGCACCCGTGCGGTAGCGAAGAAGGAATGCATAGCATCGCCATCGAAATCCATCGCTACTGATCAACAGCTCCAAAGCTTGGGGAAGAATTTGTAAGCAAAGTTTTTCTCTTTGCTCTTTTGGTTTTTACTCTCTCTGTAGAGTGAGGATCCTTCGACACCAAGCGGTGGAAATGGGATTGAAAATCCGGAGTGATGGCTACTGCCGGATGAATGATCTTCTCAAGCTGCAACCGATGAGAGGTCACTCCATACAGGACGTCTTGAAGGTTGTGGAATCTTTTCTTTTTTCTTTGTGTGTGTGTGTGGTTTTCTTAAGATCAATCCTTGGCACCAGGTTGTGGAGACGGATCTAAAGACCAGATTTTCCACCAATGTGGAGAACGGGATTCTCTTCATCAGAGCTAACCAGGGGCATTCCATGAAGGTAGATTTTTTCTTTTGTTGCTAGAATTTCTTTAGAGCTGAGCCAGTGAACCAACAGGCTGTGGTCACGGAGAAACTCCTCAAAGAGATCGAGTCGGCTGATCAAGTTCCAGGCACTTCGAAAGGTTTTTGAAGATCTTGCCTCAAAGATTTTGATACTTTGGTGCCAGTGTGTGTTCATGGGACGTTCAAGAAAAATCTCGCGAGCATTCGGCGAACAGGGCTGTGTGTCATGGGAAGAAACCATGTCCACTTTGCGACTGGCTTGCCCCGGGACGATGGCGTCGTTAGTGGTAATGTTTCGAGGAAGAGATAACACGAAAGTTCTCACAATGATCTCTTTGTTCTTTAGGAATGAGGAACACTTGCGATGCTCTCATCTTCCTCGACGTGGAAAAAGCTCTCGATGGTAACTTCAAGCATCTCTTCTTTCATTCTCTTGGGTTCTAAATTTTCGATGGGCTTTCTCGCAGATGGCATGCAGCTTTTCATCTCGGAAAACCGTGTGGTGCTGACAGAGGGATTTGGGGGCGTTGTTCCTCCTCGCTACTTCTCCCGGATCATCGAGTGGCCGAGCAAAAGAGTTTTGTAGATCTTCTCGCGAGAAAGCGGATCTTTGCATTCAACCATGAACCAAGAGTGTTACAAGCCAAGTCACGAGCGAACCAATCATCCACAGAACTAGAACAAACACCAAAATCCCAGCCACTATCGTTGCAATTGGAGGCCCGCTCTTGTAATCGCTGGTAGGTTTTGATTCGTCCTCCGTGGAGCTCGCATCAGAGCTGTTCGTCGCTGAGAATTTTTTCACTTGCCTGTGATCCAATGGCACAACACCCCGAAATTTCAAGCTCCCCCGACTGACTTGCGCGAAAATGGAATGATTAATGCCAAATGCGGGTGAACGCGAGCGAATCCTGCCGGAATCGGGACCGCCCAGCACCGATTTGAGCTGCGCCGGGCACGCGATGGCGAACGCCATGAAATGCTCTGTTCTTAGGGCTCTCACACCTTTTAGGGCTCACGTGATTAGCATATTCCAGGGTTTATGCGGGGTTTTAGGGTTCATGAGGCTTTGGGGGAGAATGGCGCGCATTTGGAGGCGGCGCATTCGATTCCATGTCGCGATCGATGCCAGGGAGATCCACAGCAGCAGCATTCTCCAGGGCGGCCGCACATCTGAGAAGCGAGGTAAATGGAAGGCACAGAAGGAGCTAGATCAGCTCAAACCACCGCCGCCGCTGCGCATCGGCTCTACCGAGTACGCCGACCGGCTCAAGCGCTGCTGGGGCGAGTTTGGGCTGGGCTACGTCAAGATGACTCACGAGCGGATCATCGACGCCAATCTGGAGCAGGAGAAGGAGACGTTTTTGGGGAATTGCCTGGTGCGCGCCTATGGCCGATGCAAGAGCATCGACGACGCGGTGGCGGCCTTCTCCGAGATCGCGGAGAAGAACGAGTACTCGTACGCGATCATGATGGGAGCTTACCAGGAGAACGATCTCCACAAGAAGGCTCTCCAGCTCTTCAAGAAGTCGATCAACGAGGAGCTCCAGCAGAACCAAGCCACCTACGTGACGGTTCTAAAGTCGTGCGCTCATCTTGGAGATGATTACCTCGAGGATGGTAAGGAGATTCATAGGCACGCGATTGCTCAAGGCTTTGGTACTGATCTCGTCGTCCAAAACAGCCTCATCCACATGTACGCAAAGTGTGGGAGCTTCAAGTTTGCGGCCGGGGTGTTCGACAAGATGGAGCCCAAGAACTTGATATCCTATACGTCGATGATCCAGGCTTACACACACACTGCCAAGCACGTCGAGGCCTACGAGCTCTACAAGAAAATGCTGTCCGAGGGAATAATGCCGGACATCTACGCTTACGCCGCTGCTCTAGCCGTGTGCCCGACTATCCGAGAGGGAGAAGCCATCCATGTCAAGCTGGGAAATCACGAGAGACGAACTCCAGTGTGCTCCAACGCGCTCGTTGGGATGTATGGAAGGTTTGGGAGGATCGCCAGCGCAAAGTGGGTCTTTGATGGGATACGTTACAAGGACCTCGCGTCTTACAACAACATGATCGCGGTTTTTGCGAAGTACGACGATGGGAGCAAGGCTATAAGTCTCTACATCGAGATGGAAGGCAGGAATCTCGAGCCAAACTTGTGGACTTACACGAGTGTTCTCGACGCCTGCTCAAAGCTGGGAGCTCTCACCGAAGGGAAAGAGATTCACAAGAAGGTGAAAGGAGGTGACCAGCCGACCGACGTTGCTTACAATACTGCGCTTGTCAACATGTACGCCAAGTGTGGCAGCGCTCACGAAGCCAGAGCCGTGTTTAACGACTGTGGACTGAAGAACGTCTTCACCTGGACGTCGCTCATGTCCGCTTACTCTCAGCCGGGGCAGTCGCAGTACCGTCTCGAAGCTTACCAGCGGATGAACTGCGAGGGAGTGATTCCAGACGACGTGACTTTCACAGCAATCTTCAATGCTTGCAGCCACTCGGGCCTGCCGGACGAAGGCTTGCTCTACTTTCGAGCCATGAGAGAGGACCACTGGATCGTTCCGCTTCAGCCCCACTACACTTGCATGATCGATCTTCTGGGACGGGTTGGCCGGTTAAGAGAAGCCGAGGAGCTCGTCCGCACCATGCCGTATTCTCCCGACGTGGTTACTTGGACGATCTTGCTGAGTGCTTGCAAAGTCTACGGGGACTTGAAGATCGGAGCTCGGGCTTACAAGCGGATAACCGAGCTGAATCCTCCCGACTCGGGGCCTTACCTTCTGATGGGAAACATGTACGCAAAGGCTGGAAAGTGGGCAGACGTAGCGGAGGTGAAGAAGATGATCAAACAGAGAGGTCTCGCAAAGCCACCCGGGAAGAGTATGATCGAGGCACAGCGAAGAATTCACGAGTTCGTGTGTGGAGATACTGCTCACCCTCTGAACCAGGAGATTCGTGCTCGGCTCCAGGAAGTCCACGAACAGCTTTCTCATGCCGGATACGAGCCCGACACGAAAGAAGTTTTGGTGGACGTGAACGAGGAGGTGAAGCCCGAGTTGCTGCTCTTTCACAGCGAGAGGATGGCTCTGGGGCTGGGACTGTTGACGTCCGACGCAGGAGCGACGCTACACATTGTCAAGAACCTCCGAATCTGTCCCGACTGCCACTCGTTTTTCAAGCTGGTTTCGAAGATGTTACACCGAAAGGTTCTTGTCCGGGACTCGCATCGGTTTCATATCTTCCAGAGAGGCTCTTGTTCGTGCGGTGATTACTGGTAGAAAGAGACCCAAGCTGCGGTTTTTATCAACTCATAAGCCCGAAGGATTCTCGTTCCAAAAGGTAAAATTCCAAGAGAGTAAGTCTTTTCTTTGCTTTCATACTTGTAGGGTTCTCAAGGCGTTTGTGTTGGTGCAGGATGGATGCATTGGCGACAAGGATAGCGCCTAGAATGCACTTAACGAGCAGCGTATCATTTTACGGTACAAAGACCGAGCTTAATTCTCGAGCGCTTGTGAGAATTCCCCGGAGGAAGAGCTGGGTTGTGTTGGTTTCCGGCAAACAACGAGGATTTCCAGAGCAAGGTAAGTCACGCAGAGCAAAGGCTGTTGTGGAAGAGCCACCGAGGAAAAACTGGTCGCCGACGATTCCAAATCCTCCTGCTGGTTTTATCCTCAACGACGCTGGAGAAGTTGTACTTGTAGCTCCTGCAAACAAGCGTGTCGTGGATATGGTAAGCTGCAAAATGAGAGTTTTTTGCATTCCAAAGTATTTTCCTCTCGACGGTTCTCATTTTTTGCCTCGTAGATCGATCCGGAGACAGGGAGATCGCTCGAGTGTTCAGTGCGAAGAGCATTTTTGAGCTCCAGCGGACTCCAGTGTTTGCTTTTGTCGCCTCTTGATACGTAGGTATTGTTTTCTTCACAATTCCCGAGTTTGTGCAAGCAGGAGCTCCAGATTTGTGTTGCAGTCCTTTGCAAATCCTCAAGTATGACGAGCAAAATGAGGCCTTGAGAGAGGCAAGCACGCGATGTTTCTATTCTCTTTACCTTGAGTTTGATCTTTCCTCAGATAAGCGATGACGAACTAGAAGAGCTAATTCCAACCGCGGAGTACGCTCTTGCGAAGAAGAGGCTACATTTTGTGTTTAGCGGGTAAGATTTTCTGGACAAATTCCAAGACTGTTTTTCTTGTTCTCTTTGGATATTAGATACTGCCTCACTGCTCGAGGATGTTTTGGTTTCACTGACGACGATGTTTTGGAGCTTGAAACTGGTACGGCTACAAAAACTTGTTTCTCCTTTCCTCGTTTTTTATGCTGCTTTACAGACGGATCCATCACTGAGGGAGTAGAAATCACAAGCTTTCAAGTGGTAAACAGCAAGGACATCCCTCAAAAAGGTTGGCAGGGTTTTTTCTCATGCTGATCATTCCAGGGAATCAGCGAGTTTGTGGTCTTCACTCCATTTTACCCTCTTCTCTTTGTTGCGTGCAAGGTAACAGCCCTACGTATCTATCGGATTGATTGATAAAATCGTGTTTTTTTCCTAGCAGGACGAGAGTACGGGAGCATTGACAGTGGCCGACGAGGTGAGTAACAGATCAAAACTTCGAATGCAATCGACCGTCGCGTGTGTTTACCCGCAACACGATTTATCAGGACTTGATGAACGATCTCGGCGTCGTAAATGCGATGAAAGATGAGGCAGAGTTCCAACAATTCGTGGTCTAAAATCTAGCTTCCATGTTCTTCGTTTCTTCGATAGTTTAATCATTCTGATCTTTACAGGAAGGAGGAGGATAAAGAACTCACGCAAGAACACTCTCGACTATTCTTTCCAAGCTTTCTTAATTGAATCAAACCCCCAACGTATATTTCCAGAATGTTCCAAAATAGCTCCAATCCATTTATGACTTTCTGCTGCCACGTGGCGTGCATCCAACGGCGGAGTAAGTCGGTAATGCATCGTTTTGATGTATATATAAAAGAGGGCTGGGGTAAGCTCCACACAAAGTAGTTCCTCGCGGCTTACAGGAACGCGGGTAGTGTTTGTGCGATCGATCGATCTTTCTCTGCTCAGAGGTAGCGATTCCTCGATTGGCGCTCCTAGGGTCTCACTGAAATTGCGAATTTCTTGCTCTCCAGAAGCTAGGGTCTTCGACGGGACGCTTGTGGCGCTTTCCCCAGCAGCGATCAGCGATTATGGCTTTCGTGATCAAGGTATGGACGTGAATCCCTGAAAAGAATCTTCTTATCTTCGCTTCGTCTTCTTCTTTTCAGATAAGATACGAAGAGTCTCTGCGGAGGCTCACTGTTCCGGCATCATCAAACGGAGCTCCGGCGATTTCTTTTGCGGAGCTTCACTCGAAAATCTGTGACAGGTAGAAAGAATCGATTTTTTGTATGCTTGAACTAAAAAATTTTTTTTTGCCTGGCAGCTTTGGAATCCCTACTGCTTCAAAGCTGGTGATAACTTACGTCGACAAGGACAACGATGTGATTACTATGGCGAATGACCAGGAGTTGGAGGACGCTTGCGTGCTCCAGGGAATAAATCCTCTCAGGCTGGACGTCCGCCTGGAGGTTCCCCTTGGGAGCAGCTCCAGCAGCAGCGAAGGAGCGTTTGTTGGGGATATCAAACCAATCTTGGAGGCGGCTCTCAAGGCGTTTGATGCCGAGACGCTCAAGGAAGCTGTGCATCCCTTCCTCAAGCCCCACATGGTGACGGTGGCGGACCTTATGCGAGGTCTTTCCGGAAAGATCCGCGCTGAGTCGTCGACCACCACCTCTGCTGCCGAGAAGTCTGCTGCTGCGCCTGATGCTGTGCCTCCTCCGGCTGGTGATCGTAGCGAAGCTCCTCGTTCTGGAATGGAGAACGTCTTCCACCAGAACGTCCAGTGTGATGGCTGTGGCACGTCACCAATTGTTGGTCCACGCTTCAAGTCGACCAGGTAATTAACTTCCTCTTTCTCTGTCTCTATGGTTTCTTATGTGAGAATGGTTTTTTTCAGCAAGCACGACTATGATTTGTGCGTGACTTGTTTCAACAACCTGCCGAAAGGCGGTCAGCTGGATTATACTCGCTACGACAAACCAATTCATCGTCATCACTACGTTCCTCCCGGGCGAGTGGTGAGTAGTAAAAGCTCCACTTCGTTTCAGTGTGTTCTTAAAAAAATTTCTTTAAAGCAGGGAAGATGCCCAGCTGCGTTTGGGCCGAACCGCTGCCGCTCTGCATGGGGACGTGCGGGTGACTATCATCGTCACTCGGAAACAGAGTTTGCTCCAAGACCATTCTCTCCGTTCTCTCCGTTTGGCCGTCCGATGGATGTGGCGTACGCCAAACCGGATGGCCGCTTCGTCTGCGACGTCAGTATCCCTGACGGGACTGAAGTTAGCCCCCATACTCGCTTTGTGAAGATATGGAGGCTTCGTAACAGCGGCAAAGTTGCCTGGGCACCCGACACTAGACTGGTGCGTGTAGGCGGCGACGAGATGGGAACAGTGTCGGCTGTGTCGCTGCAGGTATGTTTCTCTCTTTGATCTTTCTCGAGTGTTCTAATTCAGTCGTTTCGGTTTTAAACAGACCGAAGGTGCTAGCGTTCTTCCAGATGCCGAAGTTGAGGTAGCGGTTGATCTCGTTGCCCCGGCTCGAGCAGGACGATATGCATCGTACTGGAGGCTTGTAACACCTTACGGTGTTAAGTTTGGACACAGAGTTTGGGCACTGATCCAGGTACTGGACATGTTCTAGAGAGCACTTGAAGTTTCGATGTGGTCAATGGCTGATTATTCGATCTTTCTTGGCTTGCAGGTCACGCCTAACGCGTCTGAGAGCGATGTCGAGGTGAAGGCCGAAAAGCCTGCTGGGGAGGAGAGTCCTGTCGTCGTGGTAGACTTCGATGACGAAGCGACGAGCGTGGAGGTGGAAGTGATGGTGGGCGAGGCTGTGCCGAGTGAGAAGAGCTTTGAAGGCGAGGACTTCAAGGCGGATGAAGTCGATGACGGGTTCTCTCTGGTGGAGATGCCGAAAAGCGAGGAAGCTTCGGCATCTTCGCCACCGATGCCACCGATGCCAGAGCCCGAGCCCGAGCTGGAAGCGGCGGAGGTTCCTGCTACTCCACTGGCCTCTGCGGAGAAGAGGGTGACTCCAGTTGCTCCAGTTACTCCAGTTACTCCGGAGGCCTCTCTGGAGAGCCAGAAGGAGAAGGCGGCGGTATTCTTCCAGACGATGGGTTTCACCAACAAGAAAGAGCTGATATACGAGCTCCTGGAGAAGAACAACAATGACTTCCACCGTACGCTGGATGATCTCGTTGCTGCGGCCGAGTGGGATCCCATCTTGGAGGAGCTCCAAGAGATGGTAAGCGCAGCGCAGATTTTCCTTTGCAAAGCTTGCATTCGGGATTCTAATTTTTCTCCTTGCAGGGGTTCTATGATACGGAGATGAACCGCAAGCTGATGATCAAGAACGGTGGGAGCGTGAAGCGCGTGGTGAAAGAACTTGTGCAGATGTACAAGGAGCCAGCTCCAAAGCTGGCAGACAAGAAAGATTAGGACGATTCTCGTCGGAAATGCCCCCATAAAAAGGAAACTTCTAAAAAAATCTCTGCAATAATTTTTGGAAATGATTTTTGATTTGAATAAACCGTGTGTGAATAAACCCTGCTTACAGTTTATTAGTTATAGCTACATCATGTAATAACATTAATTGTGAATAAACCTCTACATCAACATTAATTGTGATAAATCGTGCTTACATTTTATTAGTTATAGCTACATCATGTAATATTGAAACTGATAAACCATGTTTGAATAAAATGACAAATAATTTCCTGAGTTAGTGGAAAGGATATATTAATTAGTGATAATGCAACTTAAATAAGTTATAATAATCATCAAACCTTATTTATATACAATTTATTCATAGTTAATATTAGGTTAATTTTTATAATGGGACCACCTTCCAGGAGTCATTTGTCAACTAGTCCCAGCGTTCAGTTTTTTTGCCACCGACAACTCACCTACGCTCTACAGGGAAGGAAGGACACTTCTCTCTAATTCTCTCCTTTTTGTTTATACGCTCGCAAAAATCTACCCCTCTTTTTACACTCCTAAGAGGCGTGAGTGTCTTGATCCGTTCTTCTAGTCTATCATCGCTGGCCACTGTCGGGAGAGATAGAATGGTGGTACTGTGAATGTGAGTGGAGGAAGAATCAAGCCAAGCAGCCACAAGATCGCCATGAAGAAGGTAAGGTACTACTACTGAATCTCCAGTTTCTCTGGCTATGGTGGAAATGCTCTATCCAGAGGGATCTGTGGCTTCCCTTATCTCTTCTCTCTGTCCCAGGTCACACTCAATCTGTGTAGCTCTTGCAAGAAGTGCCGAGAGAAGGTCCTGGAGATCCTCAAGCACACCGCAGGTTCTAACTCCATTCCTTGCTTCTCTCTTGGATGATGGATAGATCGATGCTGTAGGTGTCAAGGAGGTGGAGTACGCCCCCAAGAGCGGCAAGATCGTCGTCACCGGCGAGGTAACGCTCGAGGACATCCTCGCGGTGGTGGAGCGATTCAAGAAGAAGAAGAAGCTTGTCTTCCTCTCCATCGAGGATCTCCCGCCGCCGCCAGAGAAAGAAAAGGAGAAGGAGAAGGAGAAGCCCAAGCCCAAGGATCCCCCGCCCGCCGCCCCCACCCCTCCATCGCCCAAGTGCTGCGACCACCGCCACGGCCACCACCACTGCAAGTGCCCGTGCCACCACCACCACCACCACAAATCGCCGCCGCCAACGCCACCGCCACCACCGCCAGCTCCAAAGGAGCCCAAGCCCCACCATAGCTGCTGTGACAACGAGCACCACCACCACCACAAATCTCCACCGCCAACGCCATCCCCACCGCCGCCAGCCCCAAAGGAGCCCAAGTGCTGTGACAACGAGCAGGACCACGAGCACCACCACCACCACCACGATCACGATCACGATCACGACCACGACCACCACCACCACCACCATGACTGTCCTCCGGAGATCCCATTCTGTCCGCCCACCATCATCGTCACTGGCTGCGACGCCAGCGATCCTCCCTGCTACAGCCAGTACGACCCGGATCCTTGCTGCGGCGGCGGTGGAAGAAACGACTCGATGGATCTGGCAGTGCTCATCGGACTGGTGATCGTCGTCATGGTCCTCCTAGCATCACTCAGCTCCTCCTCTTCTTCCTCGAGCACCTCCGAGGCCGCTGCCGAGGCTATGAAGGGATTCTTCACCTCCATCATTGGGACGCTGGGATCTCTCTTCCTGATCATCCTGGCGCTGTTCGCGATCATGGGCTTCCTCTGCCTGGTCGATCCGAGGCCTTCCCAGTCGTGTAAATGTTGAGTCAACCTTAGTCAGCGGTCCAGTCCACGCCTTAGTCAATGAAACCTTTTCTTCTTTAGTTGTCTGTGTTCTTGGGAGCATCACATGATGGAGTGAGTGCCTGCCCAGTTTTTTCAATACCCGTGCGAGTTTTTTAAGCTCTGCGCGATTGATTTCCCTGCAGCTGGGACGCATTGGTAAGTTCGAACCGACCAATTGCGAAATCTATCTACCTACGAGGAAACGAAAAAGAAAACGCAGCTAGATCGTAACGGGAGCTTTGATGGTCGACTGACTGACTGAAGCCAGTCAGGCAGTCTTCCAGAAATCTGGGAGCTACCGCTTCGTCTGCGACAGAAATCTCTCTACCTTGGAAGCTAGCCAGAAATGGTACTCCGATGCTCTCAGCCAATCGGGAAAGCCGCAAAAGCACCTGGAGCAAGCGAAAGTTAGATCCACTTCGAAACAAAACTTGGCAACAACCGGAGAAAACGACTGGCACGAGAACTACGAGTCAAACTTTAGGCCCCGCGCATCTGCAAGACGAGTGAGACCCTTTCCCTGTGCAAAGACAAAAACATATTGATTCACTCACGTTAAAGTTGCTGATGAATCTCGAGAGCTTTCGTTTGCAGCTGACGTATCCAGCTCAACCAGTTACTTGTCAAATCCGCCTGGACCCCTCCCTGCACAAACCAAACTAGTCAAAAGAAGGAAAAAAAAAGGAAGAAAACGAGTCCACACCAATGCAAAGCTTACCAGACATTTGGCTCTTCAGTGCTCCCTCCTTTGAATCTGTAATAGTAGAGCGAAAGTCGTCAGTTCCACCGGGCATTTCGTCATGAAGCTTTGGAGCACGCAGGACTGGTTTTTGTTGCCGGTTTCTTCGCAGAGTTCCTCACCAAGTTTGCCAGCAGCACGTAGCCAGAACCATGTTTTGGATCGATCTCCACAATGGACTTGGCTGCCTGAGCTCCATGCTTGGAATCCGAGTGACTCCGACACCCGGCAAGCACGCACGTCCAGTCCAGAGCACTCGGCACAAACGGCATGGTGTAGATGAGCTCCTGCGCATCGTCCAAGCGTCCAGCGCGTCCTAGAAGATCAAGCATACAGCAGTAGTGTTGCTTGCTCGGCTTTACTCCAAAATCCACGCTCATCGATCCAAAGTAGCTCCTCCCAAGCTCAACTTTGCCTTTGTGGCTGCAAGCCAGAAACGCGGACACGAAGCACGTCTCGTCCGCGAGCTCCACCATCTTCATCTCCTGAAAGACTTGGATCGCCCGCGAGGAATCGCCGTTATTGGCGTAAGCAGCGAGGATGGCCGACCACGAAACTCTGTCCGGCTCCAGCATCGAATCAAATACTCGTCGAGCATCATGCTGGCGGCCGTGCTGCGAGTACGCCGATAGAACAGTCGTCCAGGAGATCAAGTCCCTCTGCGGCATTGTCCCAAAAAAGAACACCACCTCCTCCAAATGCCCATTCTGGGCATACCCTGCCAGCATCGCGTTCCAGCACCCGACCTCCTGCTGTGGCATCGCATCAAACAATCGCTTTGCTTCTTCGATATGTCCGTGCTGAGCATAAGCCACCAAGATCGCCGTCCACGAGACAAGATCCCGCTGTGGAACCGTGTCGAACAGCATCTTTGCCTCCTCCAATTGCCCATTCTGGGCATACGCCGCGAGCATTGAGTTCCAGCAGATGAGATCCCGTTGTGGCATCGCGGAGAAGATTGCCATCGCTTCATCCATCTTCCCCTTCTGCGCATACACCGCCACCATCGCCGTCCACGACACGAGATTCCTCACTGGCATCGCCTCGAACGTAGCTCTCGCGTCGTCAATCCGGCCACACTGCGCGAATCCCACCAGCATCGCAGTCCAGGAGATGAGATCGCTCGTCGGCATTTCCTCAAACATCACCTTTGCCGCGGTAGGATCACCGCTCTGGACGAGTGCCACGATCATCGCTGTCGCAGAGACAAGATCTCTCTCCGGCATCGCAGCAAACATCCGCCTCGCATCACCCAGATTGCCCGATCTCGCGTAGCACTGCAGCATCGCGGTCCAGGACACCAAGCTCCTCTCGCCCATCGCATCAAAAACCCTCTTGGCCGATTCAAGATGCCCCAGCTCGGCAAATGCGGAAAGGACAACGTTCCAGGAGAGGAGATTCCAATCCGGCATAGCCTCGAATAGCGTCATCGTGCGATCGATCGCGCCGACGTGTGAGAGCGCAGTGAGCATCGCATTCCAGGAGACGAGATCGCGCAGCGGCATCGCATCGAAGACGCGTCCGGCGAGATCCAGATGCCCGGTCTGGGAATACGCCGAGAGCATGATGTTCCAGGAGATGAGATGCTGCCGCGGCATGGCCAGGAACAATTGCGCGGCCGAATTGACGTCTCCATTGCGAGCGTAGGCGCAGAGCATCATATCCCACGAGAAAACGTCCCTGGCGCTCATGAGATCGAAGATCTGCCGGGCGTGCTCGGTGCTACCGCATTTGCCATACATCTCCACTAGCTTGTTGGCGAGGAAGAGATCGTTCTTGCGGCTGTCCAGGAACCCCTGGATCGAGGCGTGGATCTTCTTTGCCGCGGCTAGGGTTCTTGCGGATGCGATGAGATCTAGGCATTCTTTCCTCTCCATTTTGCCCCTTTTCTCAAGAACAATCCATGGATCAAATTTCTTGCCAGTGACCTTCGTTCGATCTATCGATGACCTCCTTCAACCTGATCAAGAACGAACGATCGTTGTTGCCAATGACCTCCCAATGCTGCCAAAGATTGTCCCTGCCAGCGGCCGAGAAGAAGATCGATGTGTTCTTCGCGAACAAACGAATCGATGCGTGTGGCAGATCTGGAAACGTCAGGGAGGCGGTAGAGATCTTCATCGGCCTGGGCGACGCAAGAAATCCCTTCTCCTGGTACCTCATCCTCTCGGCCCTGGCAAGAAATGGATGCCTGATGAACGCCAAGCAAGTCTTCGATTCCATCACGCCATTCGCCGATCTGGGCGCCTGGAACACGATGCTGGACGCCTACGCGCAGGCCGGGGATCTAGATCACGCGCGAGAGCTATTCGATAGATTCCCTGGCTGGGATTTGAGAAGCTGGACCACGATGCTCGTTGCCTACGCGCACAAGAACCGATTGAGGGACGCGATGCGCGTGTTTGAAGCGATGCCGCAGCGCGATCTCGTGTCCTGGAACGCGATGCTCGCCGCATTCTCCCGGAGTGGCGATCTTTCATCGATCCAAGAACTCTTTTCCGCAATGCCGCTAAGAACCCTAGTTTCTTGGAGCACGATCCTGGTGTTCTACGCACAATCCGGCCTAGCGGACGCCGCAAGAACGATCTTCGCCGCGATGCCGGAGCACAATCTCTTCTCTTTCACCGCGATGCTCTCCGGCTACGCCAAGAGCGGGAATCTTGCTGTGGCGAAGCTCCTGTTCGATCAGATGCCAGAGAGAGACCGCGTCGCATGGACGATCCTGCTGGAAGCGCTCGCCGAGAGCAAGAACATCGATCTGGCGTGCCAGATCTTCCACACGATGCCTGAGCGAGACCTAATCGCCTGGACGACAATGCTCACCGCCTATTCCCAGATAGGGCGCCTGGATCTCGCCAAGATCATCTATGACGACGCTCCCGCGAGGGATATCATCCTTTGCAACGCGATGATCACAGCGCTGGCTCACAATGGAGGAGTGGATTGGGCGCAAGAGATCTTTCACAGCATGCCCCAGCGAGATCTCGTCTCGTGGAACGCAATGCTTACAGCATTCGCCCAGAATGGGCAAATACTCGACGCCAAAGAGACTCTAAATTTCATTCCAGAGCTCGACCTAGTCTCCTCCAATACGGACCTTTTTATCCTTGGAATATCCGGCAAGCTCGAGGAAGCCAAATGCCGGTTTGATTCCCTACCAACGAAAAACCTCATTACCTACACAACAATGCTTGCAGCATATGCCCAGGAAGGTCATTTAAAGGAATCAAAACGTATCTTTTCCAAGATGCCCGAGAGAAGTACGGTGTCCTTCAACGCACTGCTAACAGCATATGTCGATTTTGGCAGCTTGCGACAAACGCAACTCTTTTACGATACGATTCCTGCCCGGAATACGGCGACCACAAACGTGATGCTCTACGCATATGCCCGGTCGGGGCATCTTGTACAGGCGTGGAGTCTCTTCCAGAGGATGCCCGACCGCGACATTGTGTCATGGACCACCATGGTGGCGGCATATTCGCGCCTTGGCCACTCACACCAGGGTCTCCATTTTCTTCAATCAATGAGAGTGGCCGCGGAAGATCCCGACCAAGGGTGCTTCTTATCTCTAATGGCCGCCGCGAGCCACGGAGGAACTCTCCGCGATTCATGGAGCTTGTTCCAGTCCATGATCTTCGATCACGGCTTTACCCCGACCAAGCAGCACTACTGTTGCATTGTGGATCTCCTGGCCCGAGCTGGGCGATGGAGAGACGCTCGCGAGCTCATAGACACGATGCCATTCCAGCCGGGGGTCTTGGAATCGACGTGCCTGGCAAGCCGGGAGATCCCTGCGAAGCTCGGCCATGGGGTGATCGAAAGCCTGGATTCGCGAGCATCGAGCTATGTTCTCCTGGCAAATGGAATCATCTCTGGATCGTGCTAAAGTTTTGATTTTTATTAGATTCTTCGAGTTGGGGAGGAGTGAAGTTTCTAGAAGTTATTCGGCGATGATCTCTACGTACCTCAAACTGATCAAGCTACTAGCAGCAGGAATCACAGTCGGAGACTTGGTTGTTGTGGGGGCAGAGGATCAAATTCTTGACGAGGACGATGATGCCGCCGGGGAGCTTTCCAATCTTTGCGAACTCGCTGGGCCATGTATCCACGCAGATGACTTGCGTTGGTGGCGGAGGAGGGGGCTCCTCTTTCGGCGGCTCCTCCGCGGGCTTTGGCGGCTCCTCCTCGGGCTTGGGCGGCTCGGGCGGCGCTGGCTCCGGCTCGGGCGGCGCCGAGGGTTGCTCCGGCTCCGGCGGTGGCGGTGGCGGAGGATCCGGCAGCTCCTCCATGGACTCCACCGCCAGGCACTTTCGCCGCTTGCCGCTCGCCTCCAGCACCTCGTTCGCCTTGAAGTCGCCGGTGATGACCAGCGTCGAGCCGTCAACTAGCTCCACTTTGCTCACGCCTGCAAAGAAGTTCCCTCTCACGGATCGCTCAAAAAAGCGAATTTGTTTCGTGGCTTCCTACCTGGGACCTCGCTGAGCTGCTTCACGAGCTTGTCCTTGCACTTGCCGCAGGACATAGAAACCTTCAAAGTGAGCTGCGAGAGGGGAGAGGAATCGATCGAGGATAAGGGGGGCCGCCACACAAAAAACAAAGAGAAATGTAGATATCAGATGAAATCAGTTACACTGTGATCAGAGATTCCAAATACCTTCCTCATTGCTACAAACGCGATTGATTGATTGTCTCCTTTCGCGGTCGAGAGAGAGAGAGAGACGAGAGGAGCTACTCGAGAGGGTGCCTCTTATCTCGCTCGAGGCAGACAGCCACTTTATATTTCTTTTTCTTTTGCTTTTTGGCTCATAGGCATGCTAAGCAAACGCTAGAGCGCAAGCAAACTTGTGACAAAACACACACACAAAGGAGTGCCTTCCATCTTTTACCCGCGATACGTTGAGCCTTAGTAGTGCCAGCCGGGCCCCACTCTCCACGTCGCTGTCTCTTGAGTTGACTCTGGTTGACCTTATGTTGACCGTCATTGACATTTTCTTTGACCGGCTTGCTGACACTTGCCTGACCGTCTTTGACTGAGTTTGACCTATGTTGACCGCCGCTGAAGATTCTGTTCTATCGAGGAGCATCGTTAAAGGCTGTGGATTCTAAAGGCCGGAAAGGGGAAAAAGTGAGTGAGGTGGGCAATTGCAGCATCTTTACAAACATTTGGACCGTATGACGCGACCGCCACCTTCCTTGGTGTGTTCGAAAGAAATGCAAGCCTTAGGACCTCTTCTTTTTGTAGGAGTGGTACTTTCGCTTCTTTGGAATAAAGACGACGAAAACCTCTCCATGTCTCTCACTCTTGGATTGGGACGTGGACCAACCTGTAATGCAGTGAGCAAGACGAAAAAGTGTTAAAAAAAAAAAAAAGACGGAATGTCGCCACACGCCGGCCATCTTGCTGATCCGATCCAGTCGAGAAGAAGATCTTTTTCTTCTTCTTCATGCCAAGTAGCAGTACGTTCTCCTGTCATCTCTGTCCCGCTCGAGGTAATCTCTCTCGATAAGTGCCTCGATTCGCTTCTTGATCACCGCCGGGTTTGGAGTGAATCGCGACTGGAGCTGCGCAATCACCTCGCTCACCAGATTGTTGTGCTCCATCCGCTGCCTCGACTTCATCACCCGGACAATGGCCGCCTCGATCTGCGGGTTCCGGTCGCTCTCAATCGTCTCCCTCGTCCGGGAGTTCTCCTCGCCAGTCTCCTTCTGCGCCGCCACCGTGCAGATCTTGATCTTGGCCAGCTTGCTCGTGAACGCCTCGTTGAACACGAACACGTCCGTCTCGCCAATCTCCTTGCTCATGGGCTCCTTGCGGAGGACGTTCTTGCCCCGGACCAGCGCCAGCGACTGTAAGTTTCTCTTGAGCTCCGACGCCTGCTGGATCCCCGTCGCGTCCTTGATCTCCTTGTAGCTCAGCCGGTCGGAATCGTTGAAGAGCATGAGGATGCACATCTGGTACGTCGAGCAGCTCAGCGTCTTCGTGGTGTCGTCGATGGTGAGCTTCAAGTCCGCTGAGCCGAGGTTTCCTTGCCAAGTTAGCCGCCGGCCCCTGTGCTGCATGAGGTAGAACGTCTTGAACCTCTCGCACAGCCCGTGGACCTCTCTCGGGAGTATGCACTGCGAGGACGACGCGTACGCCGGCCAGGATCCGGTGGTGAGCACCTGGACGTTGATGTTCACCGCCGCGTTGATGTTTGCCTGCATGTTCCTAAACCGCTGCATGAGATCCTCCGAGGTCCTCATGTCCTTGAGCATGGTCTCGATCTTGCTCGTGAACTGGTAGCCGCACACCGTCTTGATCTTGAGGATGAGGCTCCTCTCGAGCTCGTCCTCGGCGAACTTGGACAGGAGCAGCCGTTTCGCGAGGTGGTGCTTGTAGTACTTCTCAAACATGTCCTTTTCGTTGATGTACCGGAAGATGAGCATCGCCTTGTCCATGAAGGCTTCCGGATCGTCCGAGCCACCACTATCCGATTTGCCACCTTGCCTAAGCTTGTTATCCAGGAACAACGAAAGAAACTCCGGTAGCCTGCGGTTTAAGTTGACGACCTCTGCGAAAGCCACCTCCAAACCCGCGGCCACGGCCTTGTTTCTCTTGAACGAAGAGCTCACTATCGCGTCGTACTTCTCCTTGAAACTTAGCAGCAGCTGGATGAAAGCCACCGGATCCTTCTGCCGCTCGGGATCCTGGACGAGCTGCGCACCGTTTGCTTTGATATGCCTCGTCAAACCATCTAGAATTTCTTTCCCTCCTTCTTCCCAGTGTTGCAAAAACTCGTACATGCGTGCCAAGTCGTCCAACCTGTCCTGTGAAAGCATGAATTCGAGCCCCGTGTTCTCCATATCCACCAGCTGCTTTATGTTCTTCCCGACGAAGATATCCACCACCACCCTGCTGATCTTTGGCCCAGTTTTCTCCGAGAGGTACCGCGACACTCTCATGCTTTCCTCCTTGAGTCGTCGCTCCACCCTCTTGAGCATCGCGGAGCAGTCCCCGCAAGCCAGCAGCTGCTGGCTCTCGATCGAGTAGAAATCCTTGGAAGCCGAGATGAATGGTTCCTCCACCACGAGAAGATATATCTTGTAGTCGAGCTCGATGAGCATTTGCACAGCCCTCCTCATCTTGCTCCTGTCAATCATCTCCCCGGACCTCTCCTTGTGGATCTCGCCCAGGAGAAAAGCCGTGAGCGCGGCTTGCAGCTTTGGCGAGCTCACCACCTCCACCTTCCATAGCTCCAGCCCCAAGTCATAGACGGACCTCTCCCTGTACCGGATCACATAGGTCCTGTCCATGCAACTCAGCAAAGCCCTGATCAGCTGGAGCGCTCGCGAGAATTCCAGCCACTTCTCGTCCAAGACCTCAAACATGGATCCAGTGTCGGCGGCCGCGAACACGCCATCCCGGTAGACCGCGAGGTTCCGGATGAGCTCTTCGCGAAACATCTGGTAGAGCTTAGCGGCGTGATTGCCCTGGCAAAGATTAAAGGCATGCCTGCCATGGAAAGATCGCCCGATCGATCAAACGACAATCCCAGTTTTACCTGTAGAGCTCCTCGAAGCTGAGGCCGCTGGCATTGCTGCGCCGAAATATCTCGCCGATCGCGTTCTGGAGCACGCGCGAGCTACCCTGCACATCGATAGGGTAGCGCCTTACCACGGGATTGATCCGGATCTTCTTTGGCGCCGGCGCCTCGATCGCCACCGCCGCCGCCTTGGAGCGCGCCCCTCGCTTCGCCGCCGCCATGGATTGGGAGGAGCTGCCTCCCTCCTTTAAAACCTTTTTAAACCGGTATATTCTCAGTACAAGCATTTTCTATGTCTCTAGTGTTGTCATGTCTATAGTTTGATGAAATTGCAACTGTCATGTCTATAGTTTGATGAAATTTCGCCGGAGCTTTGGAACGAAACGGCAAGTGAGAGAAACGCGAGCTTCGTTTTGCTGGAGAATGGATGTTTTTGGATCGAGAAGATGCGTGTTAGAGACCTGAAAATCAGCCACGGTTTTTAATCGAAACATAGAAACTGGGAAAAGATCGAGCTTACATTGTCGTCCAGACGATGCTCTCTGGATTCGTCAATCCCATGGAGATAGTCTGAGACTCGAGAAAACGATGAGAAGAAGAACTGCTTGGAAGGAAGAAGGCTTTGCAGTTACCTTGATAGGCAGCATCTTTGAAGATTAGCAAGCTTCCAGGCAGCAAAGCCACGCTTGTGTTCTCTGGCGCTTTTTCCAAATCCTTCGTGGCTTCGATCAATCGAAGGTGCGGTTTGAATCTCATCAGAGTTGGTGCGCCGAGAGAGAGAATTGCTACTACGGGAAAATAGCTTGGACCATCTTGATGGAGCTGCGAGCATGAACGAAGAGAAAATCACAGTTTTGGAAGAAATCATGATAAACTTACCATGATTCCCTGGCCCGGAAGATATTCATTGACGAGGACGTGATTGATCGGCGATGGAAACAGTCCTGTCACGCTAGAAATCTTCTCGGTGACCTTTATGAGCCAAGAAGGCACTGTTGGAATCATCAAATTCTCTTAGAAGTCTGCTAAGATAGAAAGGAAAAAGAATGAGCGAGAATGTACCAACATGGCTGAGGCACGAGGCCATTCGATTCGACGATTCCACCTGAGAAATCCTCTGCAAGATCAAGAAAAATCCTAGAAAACCGGGAGATTACCCCAGTTTTGGAGCCGCCGATTCGTGAGCGTCTTCCATTTCGAGCTAGGAGCGGAATTTACCTACACAGAAAATGGATGCTCTGAATGAATCCTCGATCGACCGATGAAGCGCCTTACCTGATGGAGCAGGAAGCTCTGCTCGGCGGCAGTGATGAAATCCGGAATGTAGAAGATGCTATCGACGCGTCCCACGACATATTTGCTGAGCTCCATCAAGAACCCTAGAAAATATTTTAGGGTTTATGGAACGCATCGCAGAGCAGCCCCTGTTCGGTGGCGCGATCAGCTGCTCGCTGCCCACGAGATTCCAGGTTTGTTCGTCCTTCTCTTGATTGATCGATTGATTCACTGTGGAGAATCTCTAGACCGTGAGCAACATCAGGGAGGTTCCAGATAATCAGGCAAGAGCTAAGTGTTTCAAAATATTTCTTACAAACTTCTTTGGCGATAGGAGGTTTTTGCGGATGCATCACGCGACGAGAGCGTGATTGTGGAGCTTCTGGAGCTCAAGCCAGAGATTCCGGATGAGCAAAGCGCGTCATGGTTCTTGCAAGATCTTGCGAGCGAACAGGACGCTCTTATGGTATGAAACAATCTCTCTCGTTTTTCCTCATTCTCCGTGCGCTTAGGAAATGGAAAGCGTGAGCCAGCTTCAACCAGGAGATGTTCCTTTCCTCGATCCATCGATTGTCAAAGGCGTCGCGGTTGGAAAACTGGTATGCTCTCTCGATTCTTTGTTTCTCTTCTAGAATTTCGCGATTTGTTCTTCCAGAAAGTCTCCAAATCCAGGCAAAGTGCCGACGCTGCTAACATCGTGAGAGTAGGTTCCTTGCTTTTCTATCACGAGTTCTAAGATCTCATCGACGATATCACAGATTTATATGGCGAATCTGAGGCTGCGGAGCGTGAAAACTGATGTTCTAATCTCCGTCTACGAGCCACTTTACATAAGGTACTGCGAAATCGAAGAGCGAGCAGTGAGTGGTGATTTGATCTTTTCCTTTGCGTTGCTCCAGTGCTCTTAGCGAAAGCGCTGCATCGGTTGGATCGGGATTCGCAGTTCCAGCGGCTGTGGCTGGCTGTTCTTCCGCGCTGGAAGTCTTCCAGACGATCCTTAGAACACTCAAAGTTCACGACTGGGCACTCTTCGTAAACTAAAAGTAAGCTTTCGTTTCGTCGATTGAGAAAGAGAAAGAGATCGAGTGACAGTAGATTCGACCGATCTTTGGCAGTGATTTCGAGCGACACAATGGTGGCAATAGAGCGAGATTCGATCAATCTCTTCCAAAGTTTTCGAGGGAGACAATCGTAGCAATACACTTCGTCGCGAAGAAACACGATTTTTACCAGAGCTTGTAGCTTATGACATGGTGCGCATTGCTGAGATGGCACAAGAGGGAAAAAAAATTAACCCGTGCGTATACAAAAATAAAGAAAGGAGAAAGTGGCTATGGCGAACTCTTCGTCTGGCAAGCCCTAGCGCATTCTCCCAGTGGCGGTGTTCCTTCCCGCGACGCTACGAATTCTCGCCCCCACGGCAATCCATGGCGACGATTCCCTAGGGCGCTGGGGTCGGGCAAAGAAACCCTAGGGGGAGAGCTTGGAGCAGATCGACCGGCCCCGGCAAAGATGAGCCAGCCGAAGAAGAAGCCGTTCAAGATCGAGCCCTTCAAGCACAAGGTCGAGATGGATCCCAGGTATGCCGAGAAGACCTGGAAGATTTTGGAGGATGCGATTCACGAGATTTACAATCGCAACGCCAGCGGCTTGAGCTTTGAGGAGCTCTACAGGTTCGTGCTTTACTTTCCTTTGCCGCGATTCCATTCCATTCCATTTTCTTTGCTTTGCTCCTCGTGAATTTGCATTCTTTAGAGTAGATCCATTCTTCCTCCTTGTGCTCTAAGTCTTTTTTCTTCTTCCTTTCTAGGAATGCCTACAACATGGTTCTTCACAAGTATGGAGAGAAGCTCTACGCGGGGCTGGAAACCACGATGACGCAGCATTTGCAAGAGTTTTCTCGGGTGATCGAGGCGGCGCAAGGTGGTCTCTTTCTCGAGGAGCTAAACGGGAAATGGTCCGAGCACAACAAAGCTCTACAAATGATCCGGGACATCCTCATGTACATGGACAGGACTTACGTACAGAACTCCAGCAAGACCCCCGTCCACGAGCTGGGGCTAAACTTGTGGCGAGACACGATCGTGAGATGCCCGACGATCAAGGACAGGTTGAGAGATACGCTGCTCGACTTGGTTCACAGGGAGAGGACGGGGGAAGTGATCAACAGAGGCTTGATGCGAAACATCACCAAGATGTTGATGGACTTGGGGGTGGCGGTGTACGAGGAGGAATTCGAGAAGCCTTTCCTGGACGCGGCCGCGGACTTTTACAGGATAGAGTCCCAGCAGTTTCTCGAGAGCAGCGACTGTGCCGACTACTTGAAAAAGGCCGAGAGGAGGCTCAACGAGGAGATGGACAGGGTGACGCATTATCTCTTTCCTCGGAGCGAGCCAAAGATCACATCTGTTGTGGACAGGGAGATGATCGGCCACCACATGAAGCTGCTCGTGGAGATGGAAAACTCGGGGCTTGTTTCGATGCTCACTGACGACAAGTATGACGACTTGGCTCGCATGTATAGTCTCTTCCGGCGGGTCACTACAGGGCTCCAGACGATTCGCGATCTCATGACTTCACATCTTAGGGAGGTTGGCAAGAACTTGGTCGTCGACCCGGAGAGGCTCAAGGACCCGGTAGAGTTCGTGCAGCGTCTCCTGGACGAGAAGGACAAGTATGACAGGATAATCCGCTCCTCGTTTAGCAACGACAAGACGTTCCAGAACGCCTTGAACTCGGCGTTTGAGTACTTCATCAACCTCAATGCCCGGTCGCCCGAGTTCATCTCGCTGTTCGTGGACGACAAGCTCCGCAAGGGGCTCAAGGGCGTCAGCGAAGAGGACATCGAGACGGTGCTGGACAAAGTGATGATGCTCTTCCGCTACCTCCAGGAGAAGGACGTGTTTGAGAAGTACTACAAGCAGCACCTCGCCAAGCGGCTCCTTTCCGGGAGAACCATCTCGGACGACGCAGAGAGGAGCCTCATCGTGAAGCTCAAGACGGAGTGCGGCTACCAATTCACGTCCAAGCTCGAGGGGATGTTCACGGACATGAAGACGTCCCGGGACACAATGCAAGGCTTTAGCTCGATGATGGCGAACTGCGAGCAGCCAGGGGAGGCACCGACGCTCTCGGTACAGGTTCTCACAACCGGCTCCTGGCCAACGCAGTCGGGCGCGAGGTGTAACTTGCCGACGGAGATCCTCTCGGTGTGTGACAAGTTCAAGACGTACTACTTGTCGACGCACACCGGGAGACGCCTCACCTGGCAAACGAATATGGGAACCGCGGACCTCAAGGCTACGTTTGGCAACGGTGCGCGGCACGAGCTCAACGTCTCCACGTACCAGATGTGCGTGCTCATGCTCTTCAACATGGCGGACAAGGTGACTTACAGGGAGATCGAGCAGGCGACGGACATTCCAGCCGCGGACTTGAAGCGGTGCTTGCAGTCGCTGGCGCTCGTCAAAGGCAAGAACGTCTTGCGGAAGGAGCCGATGAGCAAGGACATCAACGAGGACGACGTGTTCCTCTTCAACGACAAGTTCGCGAGCAAGCTTTACAAGGTGAAGATCAGCACGGTGGTTGCGCAGAAGGAGAGCGAGCCGGAGAAGCAGGAGACGCGGCAGAAGGTGGAGGAGGACCGGAAGCCGCAGATCGAAGCGGCCATCGTGAGGATCATGAAGTCGCGGCGGGTGCTGGATCACAACAACATTGTGAGCGAGGTGACGAAGCAGCTCCAGGCCAGGTTCTTGCCGAATCCGGCGGTGATCAAGAAGAGGATTGAGTCGCTGATCGAGCGGGAGTTTCTGGAGAGGGACAAAGTTGACAGGAAGCTCTACAGGTACCTGGCTTAAGCTCCGGCAGGAATAAGTTTCGAGGAGATGGTTTATAAAGCGCAGCAAAAGTTTTGTGAGGAGCCAAGCCAGGCTTTCCTGTTTGGAGGAGGAAGACTTGAAGATCAACTAGAGAAAGGAAAGAAAAACGAGGAAGCAAGCGCAGTTCCTTCTCTTTCTCTCGCTCTCTCGATTCTTAGAAGCTCTTGTTAATTGCTTTCCAAAGTTCTTTCTCTTTTTTTTCTTTTTTTTCTTTTTTCTTGCCTTCTTTCACTCACGGGAGTTTTGAGGCTTGATCCAGGCTTTGCTTGAGGAATTCTATAGGCCAACTTTTGTGGTTAAGTTGTCACTGCGAGAAAAAAAAAAGACGATTGATCGATTCTAAACTTTTAAAAGGGATTGTGTTGTGAGTCCCGCACTCCTGTCCAAAGCGAAGCAAAAAGAGATCCTTTCTATAAACTTGCAAGGAATGGATAGCTTCCAAGTTTATAAAAGCACTCACAAACTTTTTCGTGGAGTATTAAAAGTACATGTGTATCTAGTGCTCATAATTATAAATCTTTCTATTAGATCATCAAAAGCTAGTATTCGAATATGCGTTAAGAGATTAAATCCCTGGTTTGTTTTAAACACAGTGCCGTTTATTTGTTTTAACTTGCTAAAGACAAGAGGAAATCGCTTTATCTTTTCCTTCTTTAGGTTATTTTGGCTATGGCTGTGTTGTGTTAGCTGCGGCGCGAGCAAGATTAGAGCGCGCTCCCACCGCTACGAAGAAATTCTCCTCCTCCATCGCTTCGCGCCCCTCTTCGCTGTGGAGACTTTCTTTCTCGGAGGTGAGCGATCTGCCAGTGTGCCGCATTTTGCCTCCCTTCCCCGTCCCGCGAATCTGAGCGTCGCGCGGATGAATTTCTTGGCCCTGCATTCTCGATTCTCCAGCGTTTGCTGCGGCGGAGCTTCTAATCGAGAAATTCGTGGCTTTCTTTTCTTGGTGAGCTAATCGCGTTGCTGGAATTTAGGGTGCTCGCGTCCAGCGCAAGAACACGCTGCCTCTGGCTTGGAAGCCGCCATAGTTTGGCTTGGAAGGTATTTTAAATCTTTATTTTCTCTGTCGGTGAGCAAGAGCCTCTAAATCCCACTCCAGGTACTCCATCGAGCAAGAATTCTTCCCCCTCCTCTCTTTCTATCTCTTCAAAGCATGATGAGGAGATGAGGAAGATCATCGCCATGCTGCTTCATTCCAAGAGCTGAGCTTCATCTTCTTCGTTCTTCCCGACGACCACCACTGTCGGAAGCGTCGTCCCCGACCAAAGATGACCTCGGGATCTTCTCCGGAGCCGCTCGACTTTTTCATCTGGACACCGGAGGTAGACACGACTTCTCCTTGTGTGTGCCGTCTAACTCGTCTCTTTCGCTCGCGCCTCCAGGACGTTGGCGTTTGGCTCGAAGAGATCGGGCTCGGGAGTTACAGGGAGACGTTCAAGCAAAATGGAGTGAACGGCGAGTATCTCGATAACTTATCCTCGTTCACTACGGAACAAATCCTTCGGTTCATCCGGCGGTGTCATATGAAATGGGGGGACTTCATCACGCTATGTAAAGAGCTGCGCAACATCAAAGGTGAGTTCAGTGATATCGCTCTTGGATTCCATCTTCATGAGGTGGAGCTAGAGCTAGCTTTGAGAAGTTTTCACGGAGATTTCGAGCTCACTGGCTTGGTTTTTGGATTGTCCCAGTGGCGTGCTTGCGAGGAGAACAGGAGGTTAGAACCCCGTGGTGGGCGCCCTCGTGTTTTACAAGCGTTTTCACGAGGCTAGCAAAGCACAACAGGCAATCCCGTGTTGTTTCCTTGAGATTCGATCCATGAAACATAGTTTACCGGGTACGCAAACGTGATCTCTCTGTGCAAGATCTAATCTTTTTTCTTTTCTTTCCCATGAAGGTGCATGATTTAAGGTGTAGCGTTGTAAGACTGAAATCTCTCCTTGCAGCCATCTCCCGGCTGCGATCCAAGCTTCAAGAGGCTGAGTGAGAGGTTGGAGAGGTTGCCTCGTCAAGTCTCGAAGCTGGCATGGTCTAAAATTCCTCCCCCAGCAGAGACGATTGTCAATGACTGATAAAGACATCACGATCGACACGATGCCAAGAAAGAGAAGAAGAGCCAATCTCAAAGTTCAGTGGATAAACTTATCCAAAGACGACACTGTTGATCCGTACGTCAAAACCGGTCGAATAATCAGACCCGGCTGGACAAAATGGAAACCATGGTTTTAAATAGGAAGATCAACGAAATCTCTACAATCTCAGTGATTTCCACAATAGACATTGACCTTTGATTGACCATAAACGACCGGTTTTGATTCACTGGTTCCAAGAATTTGCAACTAAAATGACACTTCCACAATCTTTGTATTTCAATGGATTTCGATGCTCCCAAAAGAAACATCCACAAGCCCGGCTTATTGGCGGTCGACCAGAGGGATGGACAAGGAGATACTCGATCAAAAATGGAGGTCGTGAGTTCCATGAGTTAAATTACCATGACTTTGTGCCGAAGCAACCGGCTATCAACTTTGAGCTACTTTGGCGATGGAGCGCGCTTGCTCAGCACAAAACACCCAAGCTCTTTGTGTTTCTCTGCGGTGTTTCTTTCTATCTCAAGATCACGATCTCTTTCATTGCTCAATGAACGATTTGAGCAGAGAAAACGTAACTTTACACTGAAAAACAGAGGAGGATGTGTAAACCTAAAATGGAGAGCACCATCGGCACAATCTTTGAGTTTCGATGGATTTTCTATGCTCCCAGAAAAAAAAAAAAAATGGTATGAATTCCACCACGTATATTTTACTTGAAAGCTTCTAAATTTTAGGGTTTAAGTGAGAGCTAGGGCTCTTGGAATGGCGATTGGCGATGGCGCGATCCGGTACAGCGTCCTGCTTCCCACGTACAACGAGCGTGAGAATGTGGCCATAATCACCTATCTCCTCTTCAAGGCGCTCCAGTAAGCCGGCCGCGGTTTTGAATTGGCGGTGATCGATCTCGCTCTCTCTCGCAGGAATGTCAGCTTTGAGATTATCGTGATCGATAATGCGAGCCCTGATGGAACTCAGGATGTGGTGAGGCAGCTCCAGAAGGTTTACGGAGACGATCGAATTGTATGTATCTTCTTTCTTTTGTTTTCCCCCTTGTTCTCACTCTGGCTATTTCTTTGTAAGCTTTTGCGACCGCGACATGCAAAGCTGGGCTTGGGTGAGTTTCTTTCTTTCTTCCTCTCCTCTTTTTCTTCTTCTCACTTTTCTCTTCCCAGGAACGGCTTATATCCATGGTCTCAAGTATGCTTCTGGTGAATTCGTGATCATAATGGACGCCGATCTATCTCATCACGTCTGCATTTTCTACTCTCGTAACTACGACATCTGATGGTGTTCTTGGTGTTTTGCAGCCAAAGTACCTGCGGAGCTTCATGAAGTAAGGAACTCCTTCTGTTTTCTCCTTACAAATCTTTCACTTTGTATCTAGGAAGCAAGAAGAAACAGGAGCAGACATTGTCACGGGCTCCCGCTACATTCCAGGGGGTGGTGTTCATGGCTGGGATTTCAAGCGCAAGCTCACGAGCAGAGGAGCCAACGTACTGGCACAGACACTTCTCTGGCCTCGCGTCTCCGATTTGACTGGCTCTTTCAGGTCAGATGATTTGGCTTTCCAGTTCTGTGGCTCGCTTAACGCTCTCTTGTCTTGCAGACTGTACAAGAAACCAGTCCTGGAAGATCTAGTAAAAGTTTGCGTGAGCAGAGGCTACGTCTTTCAAATGGAGCTCATCGTAAGAGCGTCGAGAAGCAACTATCGCATCGAAGAGGTACGCATTTGTTTCAGCTCTTGAGCTTGTTCTCTAAGGATTTTTTCATTGAATCAGGTGCCTATTACTTTTGTGGATAGAGTTTACGGCATTTCAAAGCTGGGAGGATCAGAGATTGTTCAGTATCTCAGAGGATTGATCCATCTCTTGCTCACGACGTAATGAAAGGAAATTATTTTTCGCTGATTGGAAGGAAAGAATCTCCTCGAGCATAACAGTTCCATTCAAAACGAAAGGTTTAACGGCTAGCTAAATGTTAAATTTTAGGGTTCTTCCCGGCTATGGCGCTTGTAGCTGTGGCATCGCAGTGGTCTCCACAGCGGCGGCTGGACCAGCCGCGCGATTGGGGATGGAGGAATGCAGTGGTACGAGTGGATTCCAGGCGCCTCCGCGGAGCTCGGGCAGCCATGTCCGTAAAGATTTCTTCTTCTCCTTGTTCTTCCAGGTAGGGCATTTTGATCCCTGGCTGTTGGCTTAATTGTCACTGCAGTCTCTGGAATGATTGCGCAGGCGGAGAGCCGAGTGGGAATTCGACCCGCTGGGGATCTGCGAGCCAGCGAATGGAAATTTCGTCGCGGCCTGGGGAGATTTGTGCGTTGTTGCGATGAGAGCGATTGGCAATAAGCAAACTTCTGGAAAGAAATCCACTGGAAAGGGAATTGCGGGTATGGAAAAATTCTTTTCTTTCTTCCATAGGTAGTTCTTACACATTTTTTCCTTTTCCAGCTGCCATCGAGGATAGCTCGATCGATTTCGGGGATTTCTTTCGAGGCAAGCTTCCCGGGAAGTTTTTACTGCTCTTGGGATGGCTAGCTTTGTCAAGAGTCGGGACATATATCCCTCTACCGGGAGTTGACAGGGCAGCCTTCTCTGGAAGCATGACCGACAACAGTTTGTTTCGGACGCTCGACGCCTTCTCCGGTGGTGGAATCGGAAGGCTCGGTGTGTGCTCGCTCGGGATAGTTCCGTTCATCAACGCTCAAATCTTGTTCCAGCTGCTTGGATCGCTCTTCCCAGAACTCGAGAGGCTCCAAAAGAAAGAAGGCGAAGCTGGAAGGAAGAAAGTTCTCCAGTACACGCGCTACGCCTCGGTTGCCTTCGCCATTTTCCAGGTACTGTTTTTGCTGGACAACAAGAAGTTCTTGTTTGTTCACGAAGGAGAAATGTTGCAGGCTATTGGGCAAGTTCTCTATATCCGCCCTTACGCCGACGACTTTAGCTTGGGGTGGATCTTCACTTCTATATCCCTGCTTACCATTGGTGCTGTTCTTACGTCCTACATTGGAGAGAGGATATCAGACATCAAGCTTGGCAATGGCACTTCGCTTTTGATTTTCACCAACATCATATCATCTTTGCCTGCCTCTGTCGGACGAACAATAGACCAAGCACTCAAGGATGCCAATTACGCTGGCCTTGGTACCATTGGTCTTTCGTTCTTCTTGCTCGTACTTGGAATAGTTTATGTGCAGGTACGTGGGAAGAATGTCTTTGATCTCAGTTTCTTATTCAAGGCCATTGTTGCAGGAATCTGAGCGAAGAATTCCTTTGAATTATGCTTCGAGATACAGTGGAGGGCTTCAAAAATCTGCATACCTTCCGTTTAAAGTACGTGTTTTCTTGTCAAGAATATTATGACTGACTGGTTTTGCTCTTCAGATTAACAGCTCAGGTGTGATGCCGATAATCTTTTCAACGTCGGCACTAGCTCTCACGTCCTCCGTAGCTCGATTCTCTGGAGCAACAGGTTTTAACAACATAGTAGCTACATTGAATCCAGGAGGTTTGTGATCATGCAATCTGCATCACCTTTGGATTTACTTAGTTTCTTCTTTGAACAGGATCATTCTACCTTCCCACGAACGCAGTGCTCATTGCGTTCTTCAACTATTTCTACACGTTTTTGCAGCTAGATCCTTCGGACGTGAGCGACCAACTTAAGCGCCAAGGCGCTTCTATCCCGTCGGTCAGGCCGGGAAAAGCCACAGCCGCATTCATCGAGACAGTAAGACTCATCTAGACTTGACGTTGCTCGTATAACACTTTGCCGTTCTTATTGCTCGTCTAGGTCCTCACACGGATTTCAGTGTTGGATTCCACCTTTCTAGTGATCATGGCTGTGTCTCCTGCTGCCGTGGAATGGTTAACACACTTGACCGCTTTCAGGGGATTTGCAGGAACATCAATCCTGATTCTCGTCGGCTGCGCTACTGATACCGCCAGAAAAGTGAAAGCGGAGCTTATCTCGCAGAAATACAGGGTCTTAGACTTCACCAGCGACACCTGATTAATCAGACCCATGTTCATTCTCTTTTGCTCAAGAAATAGTCTAACGGCACTGAAGTTTCAGATTAGGATGGAAAATGCTTCTGGAAATTCATATTTGCATCTTTAGTGCTACAAAGGTAGGCCTGATAATCAAACCTCGAGATGTCGGTATTTGTATATCGTTTTTCTTTTTCCGGGTATGAGCTCGGGTAATAATGAAATACCTGATTAGAGGCAGTATTTTAAAAGCTAAGTGTCTAAGATAGCTTGGAGGGTCAAGCTTCACAGGAAGGAGCTCCAAGGTGCGATTTCGACGATGCATGGTTGATAGTTTTGCTGATTCACGTTATAATATGTAGCTAGAATACAGTGCCGGATATATATAAGATAATAACTTAATATTGGACTTTGGAGAACTAAAGTCCATTTCGAAATGTTGGGGCAATGTAGCGACCATTGTAGAAATTTTTCTCTTTTTCTTTACGTACTGTTTTGGTAATTCGAAAATGTTGATAGGTCCGAAGGTGGCAGCAAAACTATACGGAGCTTATCACGAAGCTTTTTGCTCTCTCCATTCACAATGGCAGTAAACAATTGATCACCCAGCTTCTTCTTCGCCTTCCCCTTTTTCTAAACACACACCACCGAATGAAAGAAAAGGAAAACACAAGCATTACCGACGCCATTCGCTGTAGCTAGGGAGGAAATACGATCGAGCCAGATAAATAACCCTAGCTCCACAAGTTTTGTTTAAATAGTGAACCTTATAGAACCAAGTTAAGGAGTAAGATTTTATGAGCAGCGCACGAACTTTGTGTTAAAATTCTTTGCTGGATTGTACTCTTAAGCAAATCCATAGCAAATGCAGAAGGGTTGTCGATTGCTCTACTTGATGGACGTGGTTCTTGGTTTACGGTCCCAAGGATCGAGCGCTCAGCACTTGCTCAGCTCGTAACAATGGCCAATGAGGCCAAGGAGCTCGCCACCTTCCATCTCCAAGAGTTAGTATTATATTTCCACATGATTTTATGGTTTGTTTTTTTCTTCCAGGAGGTAGGGTGAAAGGGGTAGAATTTTCTATGATGCTGCAGTGCAAGAGAGTGACCGAAGAAAATATGGATCAGATGGTATGCCATGCGAGCTCGTGACAGAAGAAGAGCTTTGGAAAGAGCTAAAGAAAGGGTGAATATCTTTCATGGTGTTTTGCATTTTAAAAACCTTTTTTTTTTTCTTTTTTCTTGTTTTTCTTTTTCTTTTTTTTTTTTTTGCAGCCACTTCCACCTGTAGTGAAAACCAGAACGAAGAAGGAGAAAGCTCTAAAAGGTTTGTAGCTCTTTTTCTAAAGCAAGGAGCCCGCAGTTGAGATAGTTGAGCACACTGAGCAACTAGCCCCAGAGAACACCAAAATCAAAGTGCCAGAACCAGCAGGTGACTAAGATATCTGTGTTTTGCCTTGTTTGGGGTACCTTTCAACTAACAAGCGGAAAGCAGCAATACAGAACGTATCCAAACGGCCTTTGGCTGGAGAGCTCATTGTTTCGGATGAGCTGATTACCACCAGAGAGGTACCTTATAGTTAAGGTTTACTAGTCATACTAGTTGTTTGCTAACCAGGAAGCAGTAAATAAAAAGCAGAGCATTTCGGCAGAAATGAAAGATGAGAAGTTGGAGTTTGGAGAGGTAACTCATAGACTTGTTTTTGTTAATCTAGGAACCTTATACATTTCTACTACACAGGGAATGGATTGGGATACTCATACTTATGTCAGGGAGATCTACAATATTGTCATGGAAATGAGAAAAGGCTGGACTTTACAGAGCTGAGAAAAAACTCGAGAGCTGATAAAAGACGTCCTTGGTATGTTTGCCAAAAACATGAGCATTGAAAAACATTGTTTTTAGAAACACCAGAATGCAAGGTTGAGAAGCTCCTGTGTTTGGCGCAAGCATACAAGCCGATACTAGATGTGAAGTGAGAAGAAGGTTTGAAGTGTAAGAATAGTTCCATTCATCGTTAAATCTTTTTCCAGCTCCTTGGATTGTTGTTCCTGGAGCGGTTGCTTTCAAATACTTTTCACCAAGTTATTTTCTTTATTTGACCAACGATTAGATGCATCTAAACGTTGGTGGCAGCTTCTTGCGAGCATAGTAGGATGCACAATGCGTCCGCCCTGGTAAAACAGAAGCTGCCATCAACGGCCAAATCCTTAGATCGAGCTTCATACGCCCGAAAGCTGCGAGAATGCGCGAGCAAAGAAGCTCTTGATCATGTTTGCAATGAGATCTCTCGCTCCAACTTCAGAGGAGACACCTCTCTGGGAAACATCCAGCTCGAATTGTACAGCAGCCTTGGATGCGTGGATGGCGCGAGATCTGCCTTCGACCGGATTCGAACACCCAACACCTTCTCCTGGAATCACATTATCAACGCATATACCCGGAATGGGCATCTCCAGCACGCTAAGGATCTCTTTGCTAGGCTGCCCATTCGAGATTCCACCACGTGGAACTGTCTCATGTCAGCATTCTCCCGACAAGGGGATCTTGCGACTGCCAGGTATCTGTTCGACAGGAATCGTTACAAAGATACTGTCTCCTGGAACGCTATGATTGCAGCATATGCCCGAAGCGGGCATCTATCCGACGCGATGGAGCTCTTTCACCGGATGAAGCTCGAGGGATTCCGCCCAAATCAATTGACCTTTCTAGGCACGATCAATGCGTGTTCTTCCTACGCCCAGGCGCGGACGATCGAGCTCTCGATTTGCGAGGCCGGGCTCGCTCCAAATCCCGTGCCATCCACGGCATTGATCGAGACCTACGCCCAATTCGGCACCACGCGCGATGCCTGGCGAGTTTTCAATCGTGCGGCACCCCGGGACAAGATCTTGTGGACCGCAATGCTCTCGGCCTACGCCAAGAGAAGATCCATCGAGGAACTCAGGGCCTTGTTCCAGCGATTGCCCCACCACGACCTCGTCACCGCCACGATCGCGCTCTCCACGCTCGCTGCGGCCGGGAATCTGGGCGAGGCCGAGGAGATCTTCCGTGGAATGCTGCACCATGATGGACTGTGCGAGACGAGCATGGCGGTTGCATATGCCCAAGCCGGGGATCTGCCCAAAGCGCGAGCTATCTTTGATTCCATGGCCAATCCACACGTAATCTCCTGGAATGTGATGATCACCGCCTACGCCCAGCGTGGCCACGGCCGCGAGGCGCTCGATCTCTTCAAGCTCATGGAGATCCAGGGCGAGCAGCCGACAATCGAGACGGTGAGCGCGATCTTCGACGCTTGCGCTGCATTAGGGCTCTTCCCACAGGGAAAGCTCCTCCACGCGAGCTTCGCCGGTTCCGGGATCGAGTCGGACCACGTCGTGGGCACCTCCCTGGTGGCCATGTACGGGCGCTGCGGAAACTTGGGCCGCGCTCGCGAGCTCTTTGACGCCATGCCGTACAAGAATATCCTCACCTGGACGTCCATGGTGGGGGCATATGCCCAGCACGGGCATGGCCGCGATGCCCTAGGGCTCTTCCACGCCATGGCGCTCCACGGTGAAGCGCCCGACGACATCGTCTTCAAGAATGTGATCTACGCTTGCGGCCAGGCAGGGGTCTTCGCGCAGGTCTGGAAATATTTCCAGTCCATCCAGGGAGATCACGGCATTGCGCCAGGGATGGAGCATTACAAGATCATGATCGATCTTCTTGCCCGGGCGGGGAAGGTCGATGAGGCTGAGGATTTGCTCGAAGCAATGCCGTTTGAGCCAGACAGGATCGCGTGGACGAGCTTGCTGAGCGCCTGTAGGGTTCTTGGCGACAAGGAGAGGGGATCGCGAGCGGCGGGGCTGGCGACGGCGTTGGAGCCGTGTGGAGGAGGAAGCTATGTGCTCGCAACGCAGCTTGGGGAGGAGGACGTGTCTAGGGTTTGGGAATGCGAGCGAGGAGCTTGACGATCGCTGGGAGTTTCTTCAGGCAAGTTCTTCTTCCTCAGCAAGAACAGGCGGTCGTCGAGAGAGAGGCAGCGACAGGGATCTTTGTGGCAGCGCTCAAGGCATGCACTGGCACGAGAGATCTCCAGACCGGGAGAAAGATCCATGGCGATGCCCTTGTCCATGGGCCTGGGAGAAGCATTTACGTGGAGAACAGTCTTGTGAGCATGTATGGCAAGTGTGGGAGAATGGCCGATGCTCGCGGTGTTTTCGAAGGGATGAAGCTCCACAGCGTTGTCTCATGGACGTCCTTGATCATGGGCTACGTCGACAATGGCGAGAACGAGCTTGCCCTCCAGCAGTTTTCGAGAATGCAGCAAGAAGAACAGTGCGCTCCCAACGAGAGAACTTTCGTAGCTGCGATGATGGCCTGTTCTACCTCGGCAGCGAGAGAGCTCGGCAAGAAGGTTGACGGGAAGCTACTGAAAGCCGAGAGCTTGGAAAGAGGAATTAAGCTGCACGAACAAGCAGAGAAGAGTGGCTACTGCGAGGACGTGTTCGTGGCCAGCACTCTGATCGATATGTATGCCAAGTGTGGGAGCTTGGCGGATGCTCGCAAGGTGTTTGACAAGATGGTAAGTCCTACGGTTGTTTCATGGACGGCACTGATACTGGGCTATGCAGAGAATGGTGAGCCGGAGATGGCTTTGCAGCTTTTCCAGCTCATGGACTCCAAGGGCTGTCTGCCAAACTCCCGAACCTTCGTGGCTCTCTTCGTTGCCTGCGGCCGTCTAGCCACGAAAGAAGAAGGCAAGCACGATGATGGCAGCGTTGTGAAGCCCATGTCCTTGGAGAAAGGAACTCATCTACACTCCCGAGCAGCAAAACTTGGCTTTGATTCGGACATGTTCGTGGCGAGCTCGCTCATAGACATGTACACGCGGTGTGGGAGCTTATCGAGCGCCAGAGCAGTGTTTGACGGGATTAAGACGGGACACGACGTAGTAACTTGGACAGGGATGATTCAGGGGTATGCGGAGAACGGTGAATCGGACGCAGCTCTGAAGCTGTTTCAGCAAATGAGAGCGTGCAACTGTGCACCGAATTCGCAGACGTACGTGGCTGTTCTTCTCGCATGCGGCAACCTGGCTGCTCTTGATTCTGGGAGGTCCATCCATGCAGAGATTTATCGAAACGGGCTGGAAGACAATCAGTTTCTATCGAGCCAACTGCTCGACTTTTACGGGAAGTGTGGGAGCAGCGGCATGGAACAGGTTTTCGACTCGCTTCCAACGAGAACTTCTATCACTTGGAGCGCTCTGATAGCAGGATATAGCTGCCAAGGGAGGAGCCAGGATGTGTTCCATGCATTCGAGAGCATGCGAGAGGAGTGTATCCAGGTTGACAATGTCACATTCTTATGCGTGCTCTCGGCGTGTAGCCATGGTGGTCTGGTACAACGAGGGAAGCAGTACTTTGCGATGCTCTCCGAGCATGGCATCACACCAAGCCTCGAGCATTATCACTGCATGGTCGATCTCTTGGGACGTGCAAATCATCTGGAGGAAGCACTGGCGATGATCGAAAACACGCCTTTCAAACCAACGTTAGTGACTTGGATGACGGTCCTGGGAGCTTGCGGGAAGTGGAAAGACGTGAAAACTGGAAGATATGCTTTTGAGTCGCTGCTCAAGATAAATCCCAGCCACACTCCAGCGTTTGTGCTCATGGCTAACATCTACGGTAGCGTAAGAATGCTGGAGGAGCAACGCAGGATCACACCAGGGCCTTTGGTAAGCAAAGAATTTTATTAAGTTTGCTCGTTTACTTTCATTAACACATCTTACTTTCTAGGTGGTGGAACCGGAACTTTGAGCCCCAGCAATGTATCTCAGGGGCGAGCCTTGATGGATGGGAAGACGACGGTGGCCACGGGATGCAGCAGCCATGTTCCACTGAAAATCTCCCCAGTGATCAGTGGATTATCATAGCCATGGTAGCGGCCAGAGAGATACGACCACACGAGGCTCCCGGAAGCAACCATTGCAAGCTCACTTGCGAATTTCGTCAGCTCCGAGTCGCAACCTTCTTCGTCGGCAATCTTCTTCTGCAAGGCCAGGATAGAGTGCTCTTCTGCTTGGATCATCTCACACAGCTGGTCAATCACATCCTGAAAGCGGATCCCCGTGGGGCCATGGTACGAGAGAACCGAGATCCAGTTGTGGTGATAATCGCCACCGTAAAACTCCTTCCGGAAGGACAGCAGGTCATTGACGAGAATGACGTAATCAGACACAGAGTTGAGGAGCTCCCGGAAGGTTGGAGACTGGATTTGAGCTTGGTTGAGGCGGATTCCCATACAGAACTCGGTCATGATGCCCCCGAGGATGTCCATGAATCCATTGGCACGACGGGTAAGCTTATATTCTTCCGGTTCAGGGACGCTCTTTCTGGTTCGGTGGTGGACTTGCTTCCGGACGCCTTCGAGTGAAGCTGCCAGGCAGTGCAAGTAGCGGTCCAGCAAAGGTGGCTCCATGGCAGCTCGAAGCTCTCCCAGAACTTCTTTATACAGAAGCAGCACAGGATTCCGGATAGCTCCATCCCTGGAATTTCCACTGCCAAGGTTGGTGATGGTGGTGTTGAGCCGAGGCATCTCTTCCTTACTACTGGATTCGAGCAAATCGTCGATGAGTAGGAGGGCCCAGAGATTTTTACCGGCCAGGACGAGCTTCTCCCTCTCGGCATTGGGATGCATCATACAGGCGTACAAACCGATCTTGGAGTGGATCATCTTCTTCCTCACACTCCGATCGGTGATCTTCATCTTGCGAAGCATCCACTCGTCGATCTGGGGACTGATCGTCGCGGATTGCGGGTGGTAGGCGAATGGGATGTTGTTGGGAAGCTGCGGAAGCTCGAAGTGCGTGACAGTGGAGAATTTGGAGATCAAAGTGGCCTCCATTTCTATGCTCCTCTTTGATGCTACGAGAAAGATGGAACCAGTGAAGTAACTTGCTAGCAACATGTGGTTACTATGAAGAATTGATGTTTTACAGCTTGGCACCATGCCTCCAGCTGGGCACTGGTAACAAAAAGTTTATTTATACAAATCCCCACCTTGGGCGCTGTAAAACTCTCGACCATCCTGTCCTGCAGCGCTGATCGCTCCTGCAGTATGAACATGGGAATCAATCGTAAACGACACAAATCTAAAGAAAAGAAAGGGTGAACACAGATACCCGAGCCCCTCCTCTTGATTTTTATTTTACTCTGTCAATGCATCCGACCTGTAATTTGAGCAGGTTGAGCAGGTTGAGGTTTCTTCGTTTGAAGCGCATTGATGATGCTTAATGTATCTAGTGTTTCGACGGTTTGTTAATTGACAGGTATTTGCCGAGTCAAGTCGGACGTGTTCTTTGTGTTGAAGCAGAAATGGAAGCGGCATTGTGGAGTCAAGGAGTGCCTGGGCAGCTTGCTGTTGGTTGTAACCTTGGACGAAGTGTTTAACAGTTTCGATTGCTAGCACACAAGTAGCAGATGCGTCCCTCCCATGCATCCCAACCACAGAGTGAGGATTGTGGTGGCCTGTCTGCGATGTTTCGGTCCCATGGGCCAATAGATTCCCATCCCAATTGTTTGATCAGTGGAGATGTAGTAGTGGAACTTTCGATCATGATCTGCACCTTGGAAATGCTCGTTGAAGCCATTGTGCTGGGATAAAGGTGGTGTTTTTGTCAAGTAGAGTGTTTTTCTTCCAAGACATGTTGTCCACAAGGTTGTGTCTGCAAGATCGATGGAGTTGGAGATAGTATATTGAACCATTTTCTCTTGCTAGTGGCCCATCAGATTCAGAAGGTATTATATTGTACATAGATCTCGATTGGGAGTATACCAGATTCCATGATCATGATCCCAATGGGTACGTTGTGTACCAATAAAACCTTCCAGACTTCTATATATCTAGACACTTGCTCACCAACCAGGCCAAGGAACTCCATCTCCATGAGTTTGTTTTTGTGATTACTTCTCACATGATTTTCCATATTATATTCTTTCCAGGAGGTAGGATGAGAAGGATAATTTGCCATGGTGCTGCAGTGCATGGATCAGATGGGATGCCATGCATGACGAAGGAGCAGCTCTTGGAAAGAACTTATTTTGTGCCTTTCACATTTTAAAATTCAAAGTTTTGCTTGTCACCTTTCAAGACCAAGAACGAATTCACATAATTAACTGATTAGCCAAAACCGAATGAAATATTTGTTTGCTAATATACCTTTCAACTATTAAGTAGAATCATGAGAGTCAATACCAAGATGCGAGATAGTTCATTTTAGGATGGAAAGCTATGGATTACCTACTTTAGATTGTTGCACTGCTGCAATGCAATCAGAAAACATGCAAAGACAATCAGATGCAAGCTTCCCTGGAAGTTTGTACTGCTCTTGCTTCGTCAAAGTCAGGACATATAATCCTAGTTAACAGGTCCTGGAGGCTCCTATGATCGCTGCAATTTTCCAGTCCGTCCTTGAGCTTCAAGATGTTAGAGACGACGTGGTGCCCCGAGGCGAAGCGTTCCACAAGCAGCACTCGAACCGCTGAATCGTTGACGTTGTTGCAGTCAATCTATATCATAAATTCAATTCTTTTCAACAGTATTATGCAACTATCTGGGTCAAAATCTGAATTTGAATCAAAATCTGAATTTTCCATTCATCTTCTCCTCAGTGCCAGATCTGTTTGCTGGGAAGTTCTCTAATCGAAGAGCTGAGTGCTCTGGGATCCGGGTCAGATCGTTTTTCTGACGGGGCCAAGGGACTCGGGCAAATCGGCGCTTCTCTAGGCAGTTCTACTCTAGGCAGTGTGCCGGCGTGTTCCAGCCTACGTCGACATGCGGGTGAGGAGCAACAAAACTTGGCTGACAGTCTTGCAAAGTCTCTTGATGCGAAGGGCTTGGGATCTCGAAGTCTCCGTGGAGAAGATCTCGCTGAAGACTCCTTGGAGTTCGCTCAACTTTTGCGGGAAGGAGCAGGATTCCATCGACATGCTTTCGAGGGCTACATGTCCGCTCTGCTAAATCACCAGTCGGCTTTCTTCAATGGATTTCCCACGATCTTCATCGACGACGCTGGCTAGCTGGACCAGAACCGCAGCTGCCGAGCTGGATGCCCTACTGAAGCTCCTGGTGCGGATCTCTAAGCAGGCGAATGTGGCGAACGTGGTTTTCGCTTCATCAGAGAACTTTAAGGAATGGTTGGATAGCATCCGTGGTCATAAAATCGTCCAGCTAAATGTTGGCCACTTAAATGAAGAGGAGGTCAAAGAGTTCGTGAGGCTGAAGCTTTGGGATGACATCTATGCACACTGCGGGGGAGCCATTCTGCTGCTGCGACAGCTTCTGCGAGTGGCGCTACGCTCACAACCTGGTCAAGTCTGCAAAAACGGGGAGGTGGTGAAGCGGGACTACATGGCAAATGCCCGAAGCTTTGTTGTTGAAGGTTTCCGTCCAAACTTTCTGACCAAGATCGATGAGGCACCCACTGAGGAGTGAGGACTGGAAAAATGTGGTGGAAGCCATGGCAGCTGCCAAGGATGGAGTCGCATGAACTGTCTGTATCTGGAACTGCGCTTAAATCAATGATCCCCTCCAATACAGGGAGCCGACTCCTTGGGACAGGGACATCAACATATCGGCTCCGATTGTCATGCCAGTGAGATCAGTTTCTGGCTAATAGAATATTCTATATGATTTTTTAAACTATACTAAGCATGCATTTTGCATCAGCCATGACTTCCTGAAAAAATTACTAGCCACACTAAGTAGGATGTTATACATGCTTCAAAAGCCTTCTTGCTTAGAAACAGCTTCTTATGCTTCCTTTTTCGTTTCTTGTCCTGTGAAACTAAACCACAGAAAAACTGCTGGACGGAATCGCTTGCGACCTTTTGCGTCCCCTAGAAACATTCTCAAACTCATGGTAAATCGCTTTTGTCTCATTAATCACGTAAAAAAGCGGTGACCATATAAAGATCCAAGGCTGTAGAGGAGCTAGCAAACAACACTCTGGGTTTACTTGGAAGCTGCCCGCTGCTTGGACCGTGTGTATGAGCCTTTCGACTACTACGCGGCTGCTAAGTTATCCACTTAATCTTAATAAGTGGACAGCGCCTCTAAACAGTTGCATTTATGTTTTTCCAGGTCGGGTCGATCGAAATCGCTCGACAAGGTTGGGCGAAATGCTCAGTTCCAAACAGCGTGGGTGTGAGCCTTTGGGATCAACGCGTGTTCCTGATAATGGAGCAGAGCACACAACACTCTCTCTCTCTCTCTCTCTCACTCTCACACACACACACACACACACACACACACACACAAAAGAGATTGATTTTGCTTGTTTGCGGCTTTTCTCACAGCTTATGAGAGAGAGAGAGAGAGAGAGAGATTTTGCTTGTTTGCGGCTTTTCTCACAGCTTATTCCGAGGATGTTTACAAGTTTTGATGACAGCTCGCAAGTGAGCTGGTGAGCTGTGGTTTTCGAGTTTGACGCGCTTCAAAGATTGTGAAGCCTCAACTCAAAAGATTTCCACGTTTTGCTAATGTTTTGGAACCAGCTGGCCTACAAAGAAGAACAAAGCTTTGATCGAGAGAGCGTCCATCTCTTTCACTGACAGACCATAGTTTTGGTTCCAGGAATAAGTTCCGATTCGAGATAGAATTCGCACGCTCCCGGACATTCAACTAAGCTTTTTATAGAACAAATCGCTTTCTGGGGAAGTCTAAAAAGAAGGACGCGAGGTGTCGTTTGGGACAATTCAATGCGAGGAGGAAACCGCCAAACGATCGCAGCAGAAGGACTAGTACCGTACTTTCTTCGCGTTAAGTTGCCTGAAAACTTCAGGATCTCTTTGATCCTCTGAGGTGTCTTCGTTTGTCCATGAATCTCCAGGACTTCAATAAAAAAATCTCTGGGCCATGGTTAAATACATTGAGATCGATCACGATTTTCTTGCTGCTGGCCAAGGGAGAAGCAATCAGCCCAGGAATCACCAAATAGCAGTGCTCGGAAAGGTACATCTTCAGCTTGGACATTTGCCATTTTACAAGGCTGACTACACTAAAGAAGAGGAGGCACGCCTTCGTGTTGCTGGTAAAACTCTTTTCAGTCTGGCTACCATCCTTTCTTGCAACTCTCGCTCCTGCAGTATGAACATGAGAATCAATCAGAAACGACATAAATCTATAGCAATAAAAGGGTTGATGATGCATACTGGATCATCCTCGCGCACTTGTTTTAGCAGATTAATGCTCTTCTCGACTCTCTCTTTCATTAGCACTGCATATAACACACTTTAGGGACACAAATCTTAGTCAGACGCATTAACTTACTGTATAATTCTCGACACTGTTGGAAAACAAAATAATAGACAGGTAAGTGGAAAATAATAATCATTGAGGGTTTCACCTTTTCTCGATCGCCAATGTCAAAATCCACTCGAGAAGTATCCACAGGCTCGGCAAAGTGGAAGTAGATTCTCTTTAAATAATAAGGGAAAGGAATTGCACTTCATAAAAATAAAACGAAATGTGAAGAACAAACCAAAGGGAGAGCTCTACCTGGGAAGATTTGTGAAAGGAAATGTGCTGATGGGATGAACACTCTCAATATCCAGGTTAAGTGCTGTGTACACTTGCCTAACAACGTTACTCAATGGCGACTGTAAAATATCGTTTGAGTCCATAAATACTTTAAATCTGCAACCAAAACAAAAGGAACAATTTAAAGCTTCTAGCATTAAATCCTCTCTAGAATTTTACTCACGCTTCGTCGCCACCTAAAGCACCAAATGGAACGATGATCGCATTGAGACGGATAGCCATTCGAACAAAATCAGTAGTGGGTTTCCAAAAGAGTTTGTATTCTTCCCCCTGCTGTTGCCAGAGATGAATATCAAAATGGTCAAAAAACTATGACACCTCACCTTACGCTTGCAGACTTCTCTTGCACCACCCGGGAACAAAAGTACGTGCTGCCCTTCCTACACATAAATATCCCGAAGATCATATCATGCAGTTTTTACCACGCAAACCTTGAGGACTCTGTAAGCTTCGAACTTGTTGGCTTTAACACAGCCATATCTGTAAGAACGATTTTCAGAGCTGTAGCTATTTGGAAGGCCTTACTTTTCGAAAAAAGTTCCCACTGCAGACATCCAATGACCAGGATGAGCGAGAGTGCGGCACTTGAACCCTCGGAGAAACAGCTAGTAGCACAATGTCAAGAATAGTGTTTGCTACCAGGAAAACAAAATACCTCGTGAACAAGAACTGCTGAATCATATACACCAAATATTGTGTGGTTTCCGACAAACAACACGGGTCTTCCACGCTAAAAACTCACCGCCACCGTGAGAAACTAACTGGCATTTGAAACAACATACCAAGAGAGAAGGAGATGGCAAGTTGTCAGCCCCGGAGATGAATGGAGACGTCAAGAACTACAAAGAAAGACATTAGTAGCATTTTGCTAGCTCTTAATAACTTACACGCCATGGACCGAGTATATCGCCAAGTTGATCCATCGTCTCGTCTGGAACAGCGTTATTTGGCTGATCGTGGGATGCATTAGGATGATGAAAACCGTGATCATCCATGATCTCAGCCAAGTCTATGCAATCCTCGAGTAACGCCATATGTCCACTGAGTAAGAAAGGTGTTGGTAAAAGCCGTAAAATGATCCAGTATGTTTTACCTGTCTGGAAGAATGACCCTCTTGGAGTTTGGAATGAGACTTTGGAGCCGGATACCCTCGGCTAGCGACGCTAACATTCGATCCTTTGCCGAGGATAGCTGCCAGTCAAGCAAGATTTGATGGAAGCATGAGCTTGAATCATAAAACTCACTCACAATCAGCGTGGGCATCTGGATGGATCGAAGCTCGCCATCTGAAAGCTCCGCTTGATCGTTAAGCATGGATAAACGAAACGCAGCACACTCGGCAGGAACGAAGTCTATGGGCGAAAGAAGGTCGTCGTCTGTGGACGAAACACGGTTTCTCTTCACCATCAAAGGCAGGAGAATGTTCTGCAAACAGAGAACAAAGCCATGGTTTCTGAAAGAACTTGGTGGAGCGTCGACTTTACTTTACCTGAGCAAACTCGTAGAGAGGCTCCGGAAAAAGCGCGAGAATGCCAGTGTGACCAACAATGCTGGCAAGCTTGTTGCTTTGTGCCAAGTTCGTGGAAGGATTCACCTGTGATAACACACTGGGAAAACATGAGAATCAAAAAAAAAAAAAAAACTTTTCTTTTCTTCTGCTCGACATACCAAAACGAGACGAGACACAACATCGTCTGCCGCTCTAGCCAAATGCAAAGCCAAACGCCCTCCAAAAGACTCGCCAACCAGAATCACTTGCTCGTAACCTTTGGCCTCGTGTCTCAAGAGAGGAGCGAGCGTGGCCGTGAGTGACGACCAACCTGATCTGTTGCTGCTCGGGATGTATACACATCTTATGTCGTGGCTGCAATGGCGAAACTTTAGTCTAGTCGTGATTCTAAACACAAAGGCTACACGTACCCGGCAGCGACGAGAGATGGCAACTGCGGTCGAATCCCCTGGCCCGTGCAATCCATTCCTGGAACGTAAACGAGGAGAGATCTTCTGTGTGGAACGCGAGCGCTGGGTGGCACCAGCACCTTTAGCGGGTTGAGCAAAGTGACGTGAGTTCCCACACCCCGGGAGAAATCGGGAGTGGGGCAGCTCGGCACGGCAGCAAGGTCATCGACGAGGCTGCCATTCTGGGTCGCGGCGGATTGGAGCTCGGTGCTGGCACTAGCAATGAAAACTAGAGCCCTCTTCTTCATTGTAGAAGAAGCACTTCTTTTTCTTCTCGAGGAAGAGACATACCTGGGTTTGTAGAGGTGAGAAGGGAATAGGAGGGCGCTGGACGTTATGTCCACTCCCATTAAAATAGACTTCCAGATTGAGCATCCACAGTTCCCCTACCAAGACCCTTGAAATTTGTCAAAGAGAATGTTGCCACGCTCTCTTCTCTTTCTCCTTTTAACAAAATACATAAACTAAACCATTCAAGAAGATTTTAGAAGTTCTCGTAAACCAATTTTTAGGTGTGAAAACTAGGACGGCGTCCGTAGCCCTCCAAGGACAAAAGAGCGCGTGGTTTATGTACAACAGCTGCCGGTTTTCAAATCTCGTGGTGTTTCGACATGCAGAATTGGCAGTATATAAGCAGTAGCGAACTCCAAATCCACAGGCTCCTTCTAAGGGAAAAAAAATAAAATGAAAGATCTTTTCAGAATTTCAGGTGTCACTCATTTCGAGCTTCCGCTTCTTCCCAACAACATTCCATTTGCTTGCCACCCGGAATTCCAATCAATCAGCCTCAAAATCGACAAGTGGTTCCTTGGCAAGATGAGAATCGCCGACGAGACTTCCAAGAAGAAGGTGCTGGAGTCCAGGATTGGTTTGTACGCCTGTATGATGCATCCCCATGCTAAGAGAGAGAAGCTTGTTCTCGCCGGGAAACATCTCTGGGCCGTCTTCCTCCTTGACGATTTGCTGGAATCCAGCAGCAAACACGAGATGCCTCAGCTCAACCTCACCATCTCCAACCTTGCCAATGGAAATTCCGACGAGGATTACACAAATCCTCTGCTGGCTCTCTATCGAGAAGTTATGGAAGAGATCCGAGCTGCCATGGAGCCACCATTGCTGGATCGATACGTGCAGTGCGTGGGCGCTTCACTGGAAGCCGTGAAGGATCAAGTTCACCGCCGAGCCGAGAAGAGTATCCCTGGAGTGGAAGAATACAAGCTCGCCCGCCGTGCCACTGGATTTATGGAAGCTGTCGGCGGAATCATGACCGAGTTTTGCATCGGAATCCGCCTCAGCCAAGCTCAGATCCAGTCTCCAATCTTCCGGGAGCTCCTCAACTCTGTGTCTGATCACGTCATTCTCGTCAATGACCTGCTGTCCTTCCGGAAGGAGTTTTATGGTGGCGACTATCACCACAACTGGATCTCGGTTCTCTTGCACCACAGTCCCCGCGGGACTAGTTTCCAGGACGTAGTTGACCGCCTGTGCGAGATGATCCAAGCAGAAGAGCTCTCAATTTTGGCCTTGCGGAAGAAGATTGCTGACGAAGAAGGAAGCGACTCAGAGCTGACTAAGTTTGCAAGAGAGTTCCCAATGGTTGCTTCTGGGAGCCTAGTGTGGTCGTATGTCACTGGCCGCTACCATGGTTATGGTAATCCGCTGCTGACTGGGGAAATTTTCAGTGGAACTTGGCTGCTTCATCCCATGGCCACCGTCGTCTTGCCATCGAAGTTCAGAATGGATACCATGAGATTCTCTTTAGCTCCAAAAAAACGCGACTCGTTTCCCTGATAGTTTTCCTTTGATGTGCATAAAACGCGCTCGTTTTAGATTTTCCAACCTGTAAGTAAGAGCCAATTCCGTAACCTAAGAGCGAAAACTCCGTGTCGCTTTGTTCATCTTCCAGTTCTTTCCCAAGCCCATCAAACCATTCTAGTATATTCTCATACGGAAATAAAATCTAAATCATCCATCATCTCCACAATATATACAGTTTCCCAGATCGCAGGCCCAGTTCTGGTTGACATGGCTGTACTGCTTTTAGATGCTTTCTGAGATATCTTGGCCTTCTCCTCCCCTTCAAAACTATCTAGACAATCGGCAGTAGCTTCTGAAACAGCTGGTATACGTCTTACTTTGGAAAACTTTTTGCAGCCAATCGGCACGCGGCGCCTGGAGGCCCCACCCATGCAGCCGAAAAAAGCTTCCAACCTCTGCCCTTGCGAGGGATTGTTTTCCTTACCATAGCTAGTTCTCCTGAGCCAGTGAGGGATAAATTTCCTTTTACAGCACTCCTGTTGACGGACCGATGGCTGAGCAAAACCCTAGAACTTCGCCTGCTATCTATCAAGCAAAAGCGAGAGCCACAAGTGTAGTGTAGAAGGTTGATTTTCCCGTCCATGGGTTTGCATCATCAATAACAACTCTTGATCCAATGTACCCACACTTCACTTTCGCAAGAAGTCCTGGAAGACCAGGTGTGTATCCATGGCCTATTTTTTCTTGGCTCCAGATGAAGCACTGGGAAAACTGGAGCATCGCTGGTGGGAATTTTCTGTGAGGTCTCGCATTTTGGAGGTGGCATCTTCTTTCTCTCCCGCTCTCCATTTTTTTTCTCCACCAAAGGGGAGCAGAGCTTTCATAGCGGAGTCTTAAGTCCAAGTCATTCCAGCCACATCACCAGGAACAGCTTTTTCACCACCCCAGGGGGCTCATAGCATGGACAGTGTTATGCATTAAACACCAGTTTTGATTGCTCCAGGCGGCCACACTTTAAATGAAGTTATTACTGTTTATTAATCCAATTGATAAATTGAATATTTATATTTAGATGGTAGAATAAACAAGAATATACTAGAAAGTGTTTAGGAAAGCTTATAAATTATAAACTGTAAGGTCCAGGATATAATGCCATATATTAATATTAGCATAATGAGATTTTGATAACTGTTGAATTGGTTTCAATTTGAACCACTTGCTCCTATATATAAATTTGAATTTTTAGGCTAATGATATATACACATTTTTATATTTCACTTTCATATTCACACACTCATATTAAGTTTGATTGTCCTTAAGAAGTAGTTTTAATTGTCCCTAAAGAGTATTTGAATTTGAAAATTTAGTTTAAATTTAGTTTTTGCATCATCTAAATCTCACTTTCCTTATAGTTTTTTTAATTTCTTCTCTTTCACTTTTTCTTTTCATTTATTAGAGTAGTAGCCTACTCCTTTGACTCTGGAGTAGTAGTTGGTGTAGTTGTTCAATGCTATGTAGTTGCAATTGAACAATTAGACTTAATTGATGGTGACATATATAGCATATAATACAACTCCTTTTGCTCTTGTTATCAATCCCCATGTCCAACCAAAGTTTTTTCATAGGAATCTTAAGGATGATATGTATTATTAGTTTGATCATTTACAGTGATTACTACATATCATTCTTGGGATGATGTTTAGCATTTGCATGAGTTCCCCACGTGCCTCTAAAGGACAACGCTGCAAATGTACAATAGTTGAGTATAACTACTCATGTAGATTGGAGCAAACTTTTAGATGTCTTCAAACACACATTTAGATATATCAATAATTGTGATAATGCTTTCCAACAATTGCATCATCTTTATTAAAAGCCATTTAAGTCAGAGATGCAATTTGACATTTATTTCCTAAACCTTTTACTTCATGTGGAGCTAAGTATATTAGAGCAGATCAAGTCCTTAGGCATATGAATTTTATCTTATCACGAAGACTAATAGGAGTATTCACTTTTACATCAACTATTGTCTATTAAATAAAGTGACTATCCTAGATATATATTCTTTTCTTCACACTACTAATCTTCTAGATTATCTAGGGAGGAATCATTGGTTCACCAAGTTGGATTTTGTTTTTGGGTACTGACAAGTGCTGATAATTGAGAATAATATTCTCAAAGACTGTTTTTTATATATCATTTGGTTTGTACAAATTTTTAGTGATGCCATTTGAAGTTGGTGCAAAATAGTGCAACCTTGAGCATCAGGACCATCTCATCTACAACCGACTGGTTAGATAGATCTATTAGCTATATAAGTCTTTTTATTAATTGAAGATGCAATGTGATGTTATTTGATATGTGCGTAGTTGTGTTTAGTGCTAAACTCCTAATACTCTCCCTTATGTTGCGGAAGGATAGTTGAAGTCAATTGTAATTTCTCATCCATTTGAGTTGGTGGCATTTGATTTGATGGGGCCTTTTCTATAGTCGATTGTTAGCAATGAATATATCATTATTACTTTTGATTATTTAACTCATTGGGTGGAAGTTGGTGCTCTTTTTAATGTGTTAGCGACTACTGTTAAATACTTTTTCCTCAATTAAGTGGTGTTCCAACGTTCATATCCAAAGTGAATTCTCTTGGATAATAGTCTTATATTTATGGTTGAAGGATTTCATCTTTTAACATCCCGATTGAGGATACATTACACTTTCATAAGTGTTTATCATCCATAGACAAATGGTTTAATAAAACAGCTTATTCTGACCTTTAAAGGGATGATTGTGAAATATGTGAACTTTTAACATTAAGATTAAGATTGTTCCTTATTGTTCCTTTAGTATATGTATATCATAGGGGTATAAAATTCTATTGGTGCTTTATGTAAGGAACCAACTCGCCGAGGTGTCGTAGGCTAAAAGAACCCCAAACACATGACCAAAATGACAAAGAGTTCATCGGATGGGACCAAGTCGAAGATTGAGTCCAAGACTGACTCTAGGACCGAGTTCGAGATAGAGTCTGGAATCGAGTCCGAGACCAACTCGGGGACCGAGTTCGAGTCCGAGTTCGAGACCGAGTTCGAGACCGAGTCCGAGATCCGAAATCGGGTCCGAGACCGAGTCCGAGGTCGAGTCCGAGGTCGGGTCCAAGATTGGGTCCAAGATCGAGTCCGAGATCGAGTCCGAGATCGAGTCCGAAACCGAATCCGAAGTCAGATCCGAAATCGGGTCCGAGATCGAGCCAGAGACTAAGTCCAAATACTAATACGGGTCAAGGGGTGAAAGCCCAAAGCGTGCGTCTCCCAGGGGGGGGGGGGGGGGCTTCAGGGGGTTCCAAAAGTATAGTAGGGATAGTGAGGTCCAAGAACCAGTCTTGAAGGAACTCTCTAGTGGTGCTTCTAAACTGACTTGAGGTTGAAATTGGGGCCCAAGGGCCTTGGGTGGGAATGAACATGGGCTTTAATGGTGCTGGAAGGGCCCCCCCGGGAAATGCTCAAAAACAGCTCCCCCTCCCCAAAGGGAAACTGACTGCGGTGCTCCCGGCTCATGTGGAGTGGTGCCCCACTTGAGTACCTTGTGGCTCATTGGTTCTCGCCCTTCCTAGGGGTTTGGGCCTTCCCTTTGGGATGGAAGTGGGGGGGGGTAGAGGTACCCATACCGGGCCGTTAGGCCACGGTGTTTCACCCCGACGTCCCGAAGCAAGTGCTACACCCAAGACTTGGGATTTAGAGGGTCCCATGATCAAGTTTTGTGGTACCAAGGGGTGTTAGGAATCTGGAGGCTTGGTGTGCTTGGCTGCTTGTGCCTGCGGGGAGTGTAGCCGAACCTTAAGTCCAGTCTAACCCGGGGAGGGGGATTGGGAGAGATTTGGGGTATCCGTAGATGGATGGCTAACACTCCGTTGCTCGTGCAGTGAGTAGCTGAAACCAAGTAGGAGCTGGTACCATAGGCGGGAACCTTGGCGAGGGAACTTAGCACAAGCCAAGGTAGAGTTGGTCGGATAGACGAGGTAAGCTGGCAAATTGGAAAGGAAAAATTTGTGGCTTACAATTTGGTATCGGAGCCTCTTCCTCAGTTCTAGCGAAGGATAGAGGCGGATTGCTGAGAGATGGCAAGGGTAGGACATAAGCGAACCCAGGCAGAGACGGAACCTCCTCCAGAGCTAGAGCCTCCGGTCGAACAGGAGGCTATGGATGAGGAATCCTTGCATGAGGAGGACTCCAGTGAGGCAACTTCCAAATAGGAGTCTGGTGGTGAGGTTCGGTCGTCCAAGGCTCGATTGGACATTCTAGAAGGACAATTGGCACAGACCAATACCCTGCTGGAGACTCTTATACGCAAGCTAAAGCGTGATGAGAAGCGGAAGAAAAAGCAAAAGACTGCGGATGCTGGCAGTGCAGAAGGTGCGGACCCTTCGGCAGGGACTGAGGCAAAACCAGACAAGGTCAAATAGACCGAAGTGGAATGAGTCCCTCAGGCAGTTCCCAAGTACAAACCAAAGCCCCCACCGGTCTTCAAGGGAGTGAACGACTATAAGGTGGTGGAGGATTGGTTTTATGATATGGAGGACTACTTCCGAGTGTTGCGATTACCGAGCTCGGAGAAGGTCCCATGTGCAAAACCATACTTGGCAGATAATGCCAAGTCTTGGTGGAGAACGACAAAGGCCAACGAAGGACTGGTGGCCACTTGGGAAATGATGAAGGCGAGGATCCGCACAACTTACGTTCCTCCGAATACTACTCTGCATCTAAGGGACGAGCTGAGTAGGCTAAAGCAGACCGGAACCATTCAGGAGTATGTGAATGGGTTTATGGCAAAGAGGATACTTGTCACGGACATGGGGGATATGGATGCATTCCATGCCTTCATATCAGGCTTGCAAACCTGGGCTCACAGTGAGGTGATGCGTTAGAACCCGACCAAATACAAGGAAGCGTTGGATGTGGTCATCAAGGTGCATTTCAACGATAACCTACGAAAGTGGAACACAACAGGATTAGGGTCCACATTTAGCAAATAGGCCA